GTCTCATCAGCCCTCATTGCTCACCATGTTCAGAGAGTCCGGTTTTATCCCATGATTTTTCCGTCACAGTCCAGCTGGCCTTGGTGAGCTCCCCGTAGATCAGCTCCACTGTCTCAGTGGGTGGATGCACGCCTCGTGGTCCCGAATTCTTTGCTCATGTTCTCCCTCCTTCTGCTCCTCCTTGGGACCTTGGGAGCTCAGTCCAGTGCTCCTGTGTGGGTCTCTGTCTCTATCTCTATCCATCACCAGATGAATATTCTATGATGATATGCAAGATATTCGTCAGTATTGCTCTAGGATAGGGTCATTTCAGGTTCCCAATCCTCAGCTGCCCAAGGAACTAACTGGGAACCTCATCTTGGGCACTTGGGAGCCCCTCTAGGGTCAAGTCTCTTGCCCACCCTAAAGTGGCTCCCTTAACTAAGAATTGTGGTTCCATGCTCCCCTATCCACCTTTCCTTTATCCCAATTCTCCTGTTTCCACAGGTCCCCCCTCCTTCCCTTCTACCTTTTCTCTCCCCATCTCCCCTTACCCCCATCCCACCCCACCCCCAAGATCCCATTTTCTCCCCGGAAATTTGGTCTACTTCCCTTAGCCAAGAGGATAACTATATGTTTTTCCTTGGGTTCACCTTCTTACTTAGCTTCTTAAGGTTCACCTATTCTAGACTCCGTGGTCCTTATTTATGGCTAGAAACCAATTATGAGTGAGTACATCCCATATTCATCTTTTTGGGTCTGGGTTACCTCACTCAGGATAGTGTTTTCTATTTCCATCCATTTGCATGCAAAATTCGAGAAGTCATTGTTTTTTACCACAGCATAGTACTCTAGCGTGTATATATTCCATACTTTCTTCATCCATTCTTCCATTGAAGGGCATCTAGGTTGTTTCCAGGTTCTGGCTATTACAAATAATACTGCTATGAACATAGTTGAACAAATGCTTTTGTCATTTGATAGAGCATCTCTTGGGTATATTCCCAAGAGTGGTATTGCTGGGTCCAGGGGTAAGTTGACCCCGAATTTCCTGAGAAACCGAAACACTGACTTCCACAGTGGTTGCACAAGATGGCATTCCCACCAGCAATGGATGAGGGTACCCGTTCCTCCACAGCCTCTCCAGCAAAGGTTCTCCTTGGTGTTTTTGATTTTAGCCATTCTGACAGGTGTAAGATGATATCTCAAAGTTGTTTTGATTTGCTTTTCCCTGATTGCTAAGGAAGTTGAGCACGACCTTAAGTGTCTTTTGGCCATTTGAACTTCTTCTGTTGAGAATTCTCTGTTCAGTTCAGTGCCCCATTTTTTAATTGGGTTAATTAGCATTTTAAAGTCTAGTTTCTTGAGTTCTCTATATATTTTGGAGATCAGACCTTTGTCTGTTGTGGGGTTGGTGAAGATCTTCTCCCAGTCAGTAGTTTGCCTTTGTGTCTTAGTGACCATTGGACTCAAAATTATGTATGTATAGGCCAGTGGTTCTCAACCTTGCTAATGCTGTAACTCTTAAATACAGTTCTTCATGTTGTGGTGACCCTCAAGGATAAAATAATTTTTGTTGCTACTTCATAACTGCAATTTTGCTACTGCTATGAATCACATAAATATCAGAATATGTAGATATTATGTGACCTTGTGAAAAGGTCATTTGACCCCCAAAATGGATACAATCCACATGTTGAGAACTAGGCAAAGCCTCTACTGGATTTTTACTGGTAAAATGTTGAAAATTCTTGTACAAACATGAATTCTTGTCCTACGAGTATCAGTCTTTAGTTTTATCTCTCTTCATCATTTAGATGTGATATTTCTGATGTGTAAAACTTAATTAATTAATTTTTACAGTGTCAGAGATTGAACTCAGAACCATGTACATCTCTAGGTAAACTCACAATTAATGAACAGTATCTCCGAATCTTTTCTGTGCTCATTTATTCACCCACTCAACAAATATTCTAGATTCTGTACCAGGCAGTATTATAGTTACAGGAGAGATATGAATGAGAAAGAGTTGTAATCCCATTAATAGAGATAATAATCCATTAAGAGACATGTAATGTAGAATACTTTTGCTATAGTGTAAAGCTGGAAGTTTCCACAGAGAAATGAACATTCTATCCATATGATAGCCCAAACATCAGTCAGGTGTAGGCGGAGTTTTCCCTCCCCAGGAACTGCTTTTGAATTACCACACAGAGACTTATCGTAATTGTGACTACTCGGTAAATAGCTCTGGCTTATTACTAGCTTGCTTTTATATTTTATGTTAACCCATATTCCTTAGTTATTCTTTGTAATGTGGTGCTAACTTTATTAGCATGGTATATTCATCTTCTGCTCTTTCTGCATCTGGCGACTCCTGACACCTTCCTTCTCCTTCCCAGAATTTTCAAGTTGGCTTTTCTGCTCAACTTTATCCTGTTCAGCTATTGGTCAGTCAGCTTCTTTATTAAGCCAGTCACAGGGACAAATATTTACAGTGTACAAAAGGATTATTCCATAGAAGCCAATCATAGGTAACATACACCTACAGAAGTTCTAATCTTCAAAAGTCAGAGGCAGGAGGATGCTCAACAAGTTTCAGGCCAAACAGGAATATATAGTGAGATAATGTTATCAAAATTACTCACAGCTGGCGACTCTTTGCACATGGACACACATGCATACATGTATATGTACTGAGCTTATAGCATCACCCAGTAATAATGTTCTGTAGCTACTTTGCCAAGTTGTCTTTATTAATTAATTTAACAGGTGACACAATTTTAAGATAAAGAACGTATTTTATGACTCCCTTACTTGGTTGCAGGACATTAAAAAGAAATCACACTGGATCTTCGCTGAATGTTTACGCCATGCTGACCAGCTTTCATAGTGTGAAAGGGTGCTAAGTAGGCTCCTGGGGAGAAATGTCATCAATAGTCCAGCTGTGGCCCTGATGAGCCCTAAGGCCTTCCTAGAAAGATACACCCACTGGTGTAATAATGGCCTGAAAGTTATAGGGAAAACAAATTGTTTTCTGATTGAATTCAGCTTTACAGGAAGAAACTTATGTCTGCTATTGTAAACCTGACAAGAGCCCCGTGGATAGCAAAGTCATCAACTCTCGCTGAGAACCTATTGTTGTCATTTTGCTAAATGGATAAATCATTGAACTGCTTTCTAAATACTTACGCTCACACTCATAGATCAGTGCTGCTACAGGCCAGTATCAGAGAAACTGCTTTTTACAGTATGCAGCTGTTAATGCAGAGGCTCACAACTGTGTAAATGGAAGTTTCTGTCCTGCCCACTCCTGCAGCCATTCAGTCCCAAAGAAACCCACAGAGGCCTATATTAATTATAAACTGTCCGACCCATTAGTTCAGGCTTATTATTAACTGGCTCCCACAACTTAAATCAATCCACAATTCCCATCCATATTTAGCCACATGGCTTGGTACCTTTTACTAGTGACACATTCGCATCTTGTTTCCTCTGACTGGCTCAGGGACTGGCTCAGAGGAGGTGGGTGAAAAAGAATATAAGAGCCAGAGTTTAGAGAGGATTTCTTTAAGACAGTGTCTCTTTGCCATAGCCACTGGACTTAGGAACTCACTGAAGCTGTGGTTATTTGCACAAGACCTGTATGAAATTCTGCTGGTTTTATCCTGCATGGCCAAGGAGCTCAGGAGGCCCTACCCCTCACTGAGGGTCTATGTGCTGTAAATGCATACTGAAGGGGGTGGTGTAAATTTCTTCAGAGGCGTAGCTGCTGATAAATTACCAATATTTCACTAAACAACCCCTCCCCGCAAATACTCATGCAGGCAACTGTAATTAAACTCAGTGGGTCAATAGGAAACCACCAATCATCCAAACAGAAGGAAGTGTTTCAGTGGGAAGAGTGTTGATAAGAGAAGAGAATAGGGATGCATATATATATATATATATATATATATATATATATATATGAAATTGTTAAAGAACAAAAAAAATGAAAGCTTATTTTTATAGTAAAATGCAAAGAACCTATTTTTCTGAACAAATATGATGCCAAAGCTGGAATGAAATGTCCGTTTTCCTGGATGCACTAGCACGGGCAGGAGAATTAGTGAATCTGGCTATCCTGAGACGTGAATCTGATATAAGGATGGACTACAGCTAGATTTGGGAAGTTTAATGACATCGGTTGTTTGTGGGCTGTTCTGTAGCTATTGGCACCTGAATATTGTATATACTCAAGCCACCATGCTTTTTATGTCCAATATGTTGTTTCTTTTAAACTCGCCACTGGATTATGAACGAAATCCTAGGTTTCCACAGCAACTACCACCACCATTCCTTTCTTTTACAGAAATATATTTTTGTTATTTTCTTGTAATTTCATGTGTACAATGTATTCGATCATATTCACCCCTGCTACTCCATCTCCCCTACTCCCCTCCTTCTTTTAAAAATTATTTTATGTGTATAGTGCTTGCATGCATGTATGTTTGTGAACCACAGATGTGCAGTGCCCATGGAGGCGAAACAGGGCATCAGGAACTGGACTTACAGAAGGCTGTGAACCACCATGTGGGTGCTGGAAATTGAACCTGGGCCCTTTGGGACAGCAGCCAGTAGTGCTTTTTACTAAAAAACAAAAAACAAACAGACACATCAAATCCAGTTTTTGCTGTCTACAGTCGATAGTGTCATGGAATGTTGGGCCATCTTCTGGAGCATGGCCACACTCTTAATGGCAACTTACTCCCCAACTCCCAGAAACTTTATCTACTTAGCATTCTCTAGTAAGGCCCTTAACTGCTCTGTAGGGAATTGCTAATTTCTATTCTGTCACGTTAGGAAGGTCCATCTTCTCAGGTAGGCAGTGCTTGGTAAGCTGCAGGCGCTCAGCAGGTGTTAGTTGTTGAAAGAGAACAGTTTTTTAAAATTCTATCCACTCTCCAGATGACACTCCGGCTTCCTTTGCTCTGCTTTTATTGACTACCTCTTGCCACTCTTTCCCTTCCCTCCCTGAGGACGAGGTTCAGAGAGGGCTCCTCCTGGATTCACCCCCCCTCCCCCGCGCCGCGTCGGCGAGCTGACGTCAGGCGCAGCCGGGGCGTTCCCGTCAGGCTCGCCCAGCGGAGCCTGAAGGTCGGGGGCTGCCTGGGCTCTGCTGGTACCGCGGAACTGGAACTGCAAGCATCGATCGCGTCGCCGGCCTCAGTCCACGCCTGGTCTTCAAACCCAGAGCCTCATTTCCCCTGGCACAGAGCGGCTCAGTCTCGGCCCCGCCCCCTGGGCGCTGGCGGTGGTTTCCTAGGGAACGACGCTGCGCGCCGACGGCGATTGGACCGGGTCGCGCGTGCGTGGTGGGCTGTGTTGGTGGCGACCCCGCGGAGGGTGCCGAGGTTTGACTGCTGCACAGAATGGCCCATTTCTCCAGCGACGATGAGGTGATGCTGCAGGCGATGCTCCGGCAGCTGTTCCAGAGTGTGAAGGAGAAAATCACCGGCGCTCCCTCCTTGGAGTGCGCAGAGGAGATCCTCTTGCGGCTGGAGGAAACTGACGAAAATTTCCACAAGTAAAGTCGAGTTTAAGTTTTTAAGCAAACAAACCACTGGTCCAGGGAAGGTGAAAATGATTCGGATAAAGAGATTCATTTGATTTTTGTTAAAATAGCTAATTGGTGGTTCAGTTTGTCTACCAGTTGTCCCAGTGCCGAATTTATTTTTTTCTTTTCTTTTTTTTTTAAAACTCGTTTTCCAGAGCCTCTTCTGCCTGTTTTTCTTTGCTGTTACATCAATTGTAAACCATTCGTGTACTTTAAAGAGCAATCTTAATCCCTGAAATTCGGGATTCCTTTCACTTTACCTAAAAGCAGTGGCCCCCAAGATCCCTATTTACTGGTCTGTTGCTTCACTCCCTGCTGTAGTTAGCCATTCAACACTGCATGGGCTCCCATGCTGAAGTATGTCTGGGTGCCGGTGGAGCAGGAGGGCTCCCATGCAATTGCCCTGGCTCCAGTGACAAGAGGCAGGATGCCAGGCATGGAGGAAAAATGAAAGTTGTCAGGTGCTACCAGAATGGTCTTTAAAAATGTAAACACACCGTAGACTTAAATAACTTTAGAGAGCTAATCCTTTCTTTGGAGTTTATCCGTACACCAAGTTAAGCCTCTCAGTCACAGTCTATCTCCAGGCTCTCGGTTTATGATGAGTTGTAGCCTTTTCAAATCCAGTGTTTGCATTTTATTTGATCTCACAGTCATTGTTTCTTGTGGTCTGCTAATCTATTTAATTCACTCTGGTGCTGGGAATGGAACCCAGGGTCTCATGAATGACAGGAGACATTTTATGGTGCTTTTATTGACTTTTGGATAATTTGAAGTTCAGTTTCTCTGAAAATGGGCATTAGGGGTTCCTTCAGGCCTTTGATGCTCTGTGTTAAAGGTTATTTGTTTACTTGTTTTATGGGTTGTCCCTTATAATTCCCTCAGGTTCCCAAGGGAAGTTTTAAAAGATGTAGAAAGAATCACTGCAGAGTTTCGTATTTAATACTAAATTTTGAGACTTGCTTGGTGTGTTGCTCGGGCTAGCCTGAAAGTTACTATTATGTTTCAACATTCTAAGTGATGGGAGCATGCACCATCCTGCCCAGCTTGATTTTTTAAAATTTATGATTGTGTTTATGGCTTCCTTCATTGTTAGTTACTTCCATAGTATCTCACTGCTATTCTCAATTATTGGATGGCACTATTCTTTAGACATACTTGGAATCAGGTTTCTCTTTGGTTATAGGTTTATTATTTAAAAAGCTCAGTATAGAAAATTTGGCAACTTCCCCCAAATTAAATTTATTACTAACTCATTTGCTTGGTTTTTGTTTGTTTTTGTTTTGACAGGATCTTACTATACAGCTCTGATTGGCCTGGAGCTTGTTGTGTAGATGAGGCTGTCATAGAACTAACAGAGATCCCCCTTGTCTTGGCCTCTGGGGTGTACACCACCACACTGGCACATGTGTGCTCCAAAAACAGTAAACAAGGCAGTGATTTTAGCAGTGTATTTTGGGAATTTTTCAGTTTTATCTAGATTTTTAAACTAATTTACATAAAGATTTTCATTAACATCCTGTTACCTTAATATTTCCAAGGTCTGCAGTTATATCTTCCTTTTATGCGTCCACATATGAAAAAACTTATATGGGATTCTGGGTTTCTTGGTTGTTAGCATTTTTATAAGAAGGTAGCATTGGAGACATTTGAGTCAGTAAATATTTAATTTCAGGTATAATAAACCCAAGTGGGAGACAGTGTGCTCATTGGAGGAGAAACTAATATAGGTAATGCTGTCATGGAGATTTGTCATGCGGAGATGTTAACCTGTCCCTTCCTTTAGTGGCCTCTTCTGGTTTTCTGTCTAAGCTGTATGTATTTTTTCTGAATGTTACTAAAATTAAGTAAAGACATTCACATTTCCACTCTTCTCTAGTGTTACTACCTCCATTTTCCAAGAAAACTCTATTGTTGTTTTTCCATGGTGAACCTGTGACTTTCTCAGAATATTGGTACAAACATTTGGGCAGGTATTTTACTTAACTAGGGAGATTGGTCAATCTGAGAATCAGAATTTGCTGGCAGGATGGTATGCACCCATAATCCCAGGCTGGAGGAGGCTGATGAAGAAAGATTTTGAGTTTGAAGCCAGCCTGACCTACATTTTTCCAATAAAACAGGACAAAAGATTTAGAGATTTCTTGCCAGCATTTGTTACTTATTTTCTTAATTACAAGGCAAGAAATTTTCGCATGTTACAGGCCTTTGCGTGCTAAATTCCTTGGCTCTGGTTAATAATGGCACTGATATTTGCTTCGTTTTATTTCTCTATTTGTTTCAGCTATGAATTTGTAAAATACCTTAGACAGCACATATGTAACACGTTGGGGTCTATGATCGAAGAAGAAATGGAAAAATGTACATCTGATCATAACCAGGGTGAGGAATCCGGTTATGACACTGTTGTACAGCACGTCACCAAGAGAACGCAGGAGTCTAAGGAGTGAGTATGGCATAATAATTATGTTTGTGTTTATAATTTAGATCTCACCCTGGAAGCCCTTTGACTTCCCTTCTCAAGGGATTTTTCTAGCTTCCTGACCTCTGTAGATGCTTGCTAGGGAAGTAGGATATATAGAAAGATTAACTATTGGATTTCCTTTCAAAAGAAGAACCTTGAGGTGGGTAAAATAGCTGGGAAGGGAAAGTTGGGATGCTGGTAGGGCTCATAGATTTTAGAGATTGTTAAAGCTGTGGGAGGTTTTGGCTAAGAGTTAAAAAGAGGAGAAGATAAAACGGAGAAAGAAGAAAAGAGGTAGGAATATGTGCGGGAGTTTGGGAGATGTATCTGCAGGGTAAACTGGGTGGAGAAACATCAGCAGGAGTCTGCAAACTCAACAGAGCCCTGTATAAGCAAAAGCATCACGAGGCATCCACAAAAGTGGAAGGTAAATACATAGGGTAAGAACCAAAATGAGTGAATTGCTGGCCCGCCAACCCTGATCTGATGGGTGAGGGTCTCAGCTCCCTCTGGCTATGGCAGCTTCCATATGGTGCTGTGTGCAGAAGGGGGAGTTGGACCCTTTGGTCCCTGCAGCCTCCGTGTTCTGGGATTTCTGGCATGGGAGGAGGAGAGGTTATAAGTCCTCTTTTGAAGTTTCCTTGGATCTCAGCACCTGTGCAGGCTAGGCAGATGTGAGGAGCACACTTCCCTCCAGTTTCTGCTGCTCTTCCAACACTAATACCTCATTGGGATTTCTTGACAGTACCCCGATGCCATACCCCTCACATTCTATAGAGCAAACTCAGGGCTCTCTAGGTAGTTCACAAGGCTGGCCATGAGCTTTCTGCACACTCTCCTAACATATTTGCCACCTTCTTTCCCATAATCTCACCACACTGGTCTAGCTCTTTATTAAACACTCAGGCAGGCACATCTCTCAGGTTTGTCCTCATGTTGGATTGCTGTAGAGTGTCCTTTCCATAGATTATCTGATTAAACATTCAACTTGGGAGCATCTTAGTTCACTGTCTTCATCTTAAGGCATTTTGTTCTCTATTCTGCCTAAACCAATAGCCTTTCTCTCTTCATCATATTTCCCTATTTTGCTTTATTTTCCTTTCACCTTTTTGTCACTAAGAAAGGATACAATCTATATCTATCTTTTTCTTTTATTTCAGTATTTCATTGATAGGATGGGTGAGCTACAAAGATAAATTTGTATCCTATTTTTTTATTTCTGTATCTTTAATGCCTTGAAAGTGCCTTGTATATTATAGATGCTTAATAGAGACTTGTTAATAAAATTGAAGTGTTTTATTTAATTATAATGTATGATTATAATTAATTATAATTTTGTTGAGTTATAATTAAACTAGAATCAGTTTTATGTTACAAATTGCAATACTGTAGATGTTATTTGTTCTCAAACAGTGTTAGGAGCTTGGTCCCCAGTGTGGCAGAATTAGGAGGCAATAGATCCCTAAAGAGAAGCTACATACAAGAAAATTAGGTCATTGAAAACGGAGTCTCAGTGGGGATTAAGGCAGTTCTTAACTCTGTTTAGTTCTAGTAAGTGAGTGAGCAAGCATGCATGCTTGCCACAGAGAAAGAGATAAACAGATGTTAGAAAGCAACAGTCCCCTCACTACCTCCTGGCTTCTGGTCTTGTCTATCCCTTTCTCCAGCAATCTTGTGATTTGTGTGCTATTTACCAGGTCTGGACCAGAGCTGGGCAGAAACTAATGCAAGCTTGTGATCCCCCAAACTTATGAGATAGGCTTCTTTTCTTCATTACTGTACCTAGGCTCAAGTACAGTTTTAGCAAGGAAAGCAGACTAATGTTGAAAGTGCTATGTCATTAGCAGTAGCTCTTTTTCCTTTATATGTCGGCTAGTCTTCATGCACTGAGTGAGCAGCTACAATATGGTGTACTGTAAAGAGGAAGGAAGTGTTTTCCACCCTTCACTAATCTACAGTGTAAAGAGAAGAGTTTAATACTGTTCTGAAATGGAAATGAAACAGATTCAATTCGGTGTGTTAAGTGCTATGATATATACAAAAGGCTGTATGGAAATATCAAGGAAGAAATATATTAGTCCAAATATGTAATGAATGTTTATAACAAAGAAGCATGAAAACACAAGCCCCAAAGGAAATTAACTTTCCCCTGGAGCATGAAAGTGATGAATGGATGGGTGGGTCTGTCACTGTTCCCATCCAGGGTTCCGGGTCCCTTTCACCGTCCTACTCCATCATCCCTTATGGCAGGGGATGGTAATGTTTCTTATAAAGGAGCATACAATAAACACTTTAGGTTTTATTCCCTGTATATTTTATCAACAATATGAGAACAGCCATAGATCATATATAATGGAAAGAATGTGCACGTGTTATAGTTAAATTTTATTTAGTGGAAAGTCAATTTAGGTCAATAAAATAATGTCTTAATTACTTTTTTATTGCTTATTGTAGTTTTATTACAACTACTAGAGACCAAGGATTCAAATGGCCCATGAGGGCCATTCTGTTTTAAACCATCAGAGATAATATTCTGCCAACCCTAGTGTCAGAGTTAATCAAATTTCTGCTTGAGTATTTATTATCTATTGTATTAAAGAAAATTAATTCTAATTTATTTATAAACTAAGCTTAAAAATATTGGTCTGGACAGGAATTCTGTTTCTCTTATGAGAACTATTATTTATTGTTGTTACTCATTGGAATAAGATGACAATATATAGGCATAAATAGTTCAGACATTAACATATGGAATAAAGTCCATAAAGTTAAAATTTCTTTTTTTAATTTTTGGTTTTTTGAGATAAGGTTTCTTTGTGTAATAGCTCTGGCTGCCCTGTAACTCTCTTTGTAGACCAGGCTGACCTCAAACTCACAGAGATCCACCTGCCTCTGCCTCCTGAGTGCTGGGATTAAATACATTCACCACTGTACCTGGCTAAAGTTTCTTATTTTATAGAAAAATAAAGGAGTTGTGTCCATATTTGGACACTATTTAAATACCTTGTAGTCTGTGTTTAGCTGCTTATTCCAAAGAGAATGCTAAACCTGATCAGATAATAGAGGCACGCAAGCATTTTAGTGACAAGTGCAGAGTTTTATATGATCCTAGTAGGAAATTACTTTCAAAAAAGTTCTTTATAGGGGCTGGAGAGATGGCTCAGTGGTTAAGAGCATTGCCTGCTCTTCCAAAGGTCCTGAGTTCAATTCCCAGCAATCACATGGTGGCTCACAACCATCTGTAATGGGGTCTGGTGCCCTCTTCTGGCCTTAGGCATACACACAGATAGACTATTGTATACATAATAAATAATAAATAAATATTTTAAAAAAAGTTCTTTGTAAGCTATTTAACTCTGTTGTCCTTAAGTTCATCCATGCATAAAATTTAAAACAGTAATAACCACCAAGATTCAAAAAGACTTAATGAATCTTTGTCTTGTGCTTTTTGAACTGTGGACGATAGACTTTAAGTTGTATGGAGTATTATTTTGTTCGAAGTTTCTTGAAAAGTTACTCAGTGCTCATATGGCAACAGTACATTTTAATTGTAATAAGTACAAGCCATATCGCTAATTAAACATTTTGATGTTTATTTATTCAATATTGATACGTGGAAGAGTTTCCTTTTAGGCTTCTCTTGTTATTTAATGAGTTTGGAAGCACTTAGGCAGATGTCCATTGTTATTCTGGCTTTCTTTCCTTGAAGCTTTTTATTTTCCTATTTGAATATTTCTTGAAGCATTATAGGAATGTGTGGATAGTATCTGTTTTCGATATCTGCTTCCCACTGTTGCATTCTGGCTAATTTAACCCTTGATATGGATGATCAGCTACTTAGGTTTGTAAAAGATTATTGCTCTTATTTTCCATTCTGACTGTTTTTATGATAGTTCTTACAGAGGAATTCATGGTCGTCCTTTAAAAAATTCCTATTGGAAACATTTATGTCCAAATGGAAATTTCAGATGTTCATTGGATTAAATAATTCTCACATTTTACTTTTCATACTTCTTCATTAAATTACCAAAATTCCTTTCCTTTCTTTTTCCGTGGTTGCTGTTTCTTCTTTCTTCTCCTCCTCTTTTTCTTTCCCTGTAGTAAGAGGCTGCTCGTTCATTCCCAGCCACTTAGACCCAAAGTAATCACACAGAAGCGATAATATTTACCACTGTTTGGCCAGTAGCTTAAGAGTATTGCTAGCTAGCTCTTACATCTAGAGTGAATTTATCTCTATTAATCTGTGTGTCTCCACGTGGCTGTGGCTTACTGACAAGGTTCCAGCTGGCAGCTCTGTGTCTTTCCCCTCTGGCATCTATCTCCACGGCATCTTTCTGACTCCGCCTTTTTTCTCCCAGCATCCAGTTTATTTTTTCTGCCTCGCTTTACTCTGCTAAACCACGAGCTGAAACAGATTCATTATTAACCAGTGGTATTCACAGCACACAGAGGGGCGTCCCACATCACTTCCCCTCCCTCCCTTCCTCTTTAATCTTCCTTCTCTTCCTGCTTTTACCTTCTCTTGATGCAGACTTGAACTAAATCTTTCTGTGTCCATTTAGAGGGCTGGATAACAGGCATACCTCACTGGATCTAGCTAAATCACCAAATTGTAAATTTTAAAGAAATAGAGAAGTCATGAAGTACCTGTCAACATACCTAACTTCAAAGGATGCTGAGAGTATAGTTTAGCTACTAATCAATTACTGTGAAAGGAGAGAGCAGCTTTCTGTTTGTTTGAGACAGAGTCTCAATATGTAGCACTGATTGGCCTGAAACTTGCTTTGTAGGCCAGGCTGCCATTGAATTTATAGAAATATCCTTCTCTCTGCTTCTTGGATTCTGGGATTAAAGATGTACCACTATGCCTGGCCAGAACAGCTTCTGATGGACAGATCTTTATTTTTATCAGAGCACATTTCTCCGTCCCTCACTCCTTCTGGTAAGGTATTCTTGTGCATCTCAGGCTGACCTTGAGCTCACTAAGTAACACAGGCTGGTTCCAGGGGACCCATCCCCCTCTTCCTTCCTTGGAGGCACTGCACACATAGGTACAGAAACACATGGAGGCAAATACCAATACACATAAAATAATAAAGTAAAAATAAAATTATACATTTTCTAAAATGATAAGTTTTCTCTCGTGGAGACATCTGGAGACTTGCAGAGCTGAGGGAATCTAGAGAATGTCTAGTTTTAAGTCTCACTTCAGAGATCTGTGTCCTGGAAGATAGAGAAAAGAGGTAGAGATGAGATGAGCAACAGAAGTGAACTGGGTTCTGGCTTTATGTTGTGAGCATTTGGGTATGTTGCTGACAACAGGAATGCATGCCACTGGGACAGCTTGGCTTAGAATTATGTTGATTTTATCGCGTGACTTCGTAGATGAAACGTTGTAAGTCTACTTATTGGGTGTACATTGAATTTAAAGGTACAAGGAAATGATGCATTCCCTGAAGAATATCATGATGGTGGTGGTAGAGACCATGATCAACAAGTTTGAGGAAGATGAGACCCGGAGTCAGGACAGGCAGCAGCGACTGCAGAAGGAGGAGCGTGGCAGCTGCTGCACGGACCATTGTTCTGACAGTGACTCCTCCTTCAATCAGGTGGGCTCTTCGTTTCCCAGTCTTGTCTTAAAACAGTCTTTCATTATCACTAGCTTGTATATATGCTTTCTCATTTTTTTTTCTGTTCTCCAATTTTAAGATTCAGAAAAAGTAAAACATAAAACAATCTATTTGGTCGATGAAATTGTACAGAATTGTTTGTTTAATAAATAATTATATCTCAGATAATTTTTAGTCAGAATTATATTTTGAATTAATAGCAACAACAATAATAAGGGTTGAAATAAATCTCTTTAAGTATTAATCAAAGAAGTTTATTGTCAATTTTTATCAAAGTTTAACTGACTGAGATGTAGAGATAAAACGTTGATGAATTTTATGCATTTCTGGGTTGAAAGTGGCTGCGAATTGTCAGTTTTGTACATTTAAAGTCTTAATATGTAAAGCGGTTTGAGGCTAACCAGTCTGGTGTGGCGCACAAAACTAACCCTAGCCCTGTGGAGACTGAAGCAGGGGGATTGTGAGTTTGAGGCCACCCGCCTTATATACTGAGACCCTGTCCTAGGAGCTAAAAACAAACAAAAAGCAACTAAAAAGTTCGCGATTGTGATGGTTAGTTTTAACTGTCCACTTGACACAGCCATGAGTCACCTGGGGTTGTCTAGATGAGATTGCCTTATGGGTATGTCTGTGGAGAGTTGTCTTGGATACGGATGTTAGCTGATACAGGCCACTGTGTGTGGTGCCATTCTGCATGCAGAGGATCCTGAACTGTGTAAGTGCAGAGAAAGCCATCTGGGCGCAGATCTGAGCACAGGTAAGCTGTACACTTAGTCCTTTCTGCTCCCAACTGTGTGTGTGCTGTGACTAGCAGCTCCACTTCCTCCTTCCGTGACTTCCATCCATGGTGGGCCGTCACCTCTAATTATAAGGTAAAGCACTTTCTTCTCCGAGTTGCTTTATATCAGGATATTTTGTCACCTCAACAGAAACCGGGACAGGGGACTTTATTTTCCTCTAACTAGGATGTAGGTAGGAGTACCTGCCATTTGACGGCAGTCAAACTGGAAAAAGATAGGCTTAAGTCTAAATTAGTCCAAATGGAAGACAAGGAAACGAGCTAGACATGTGCCAGGAGCCCCTGGCAGGCATCCAGGCTAAACGCTGTCTGTCTGTTCGTCTGCCTGTAATGATTTTGTTTTTGAGATTTTTAGAACTGAAAAGCAAGTCTAGGCCTATAGGATCAGCTCTGCATCCTTTGTCACACGTCTCCACCAGCGAGAAGGCTCCTGCCTCTGCGGTGGATACAGATTGCCTCCCCACGTGACTTGGGAACTGGGCTAATGCTGCAAAGAAGGAGCAGTATAATTAGAAATTAGACCATAAACATCTTTCCAAAACTGACTTGAGGAGTTCAGATAAAACATGAATAGAAGATGCATAGCAGCCTCTGCTTGGATTGCACCATTGAGCGGGAAGGACTGGAAGTAGCCCAGGCAGATCTGGAGTTGCCATGCTTCCTGGCCACTGCATCGCTGGTCAGGGGAGATTGTGTCAAGCTGTGAGCTTCACACTCCAGACTGACTGTGTGATGTGACAGAGGATGTGATGGAGATTGGGGGTTTTCCATTTTATGGCTGTGATAATTTCTTGTTGATGAGCTCATGGGAAGAAAATGAGTTAATTGCCTTTGCGGGGTTGGCTTAATTGCTTGACCTAGCTTCTTAAGAAATGAAAAGACAGAAAACTTCACTTTAGTGAAGTTCACTCAGGAGCATACTATTTAATGATATTCCTTGGTTAATGAACCCCTTTAATATACTGAAACCCAGGAGAAGAAAAAACCGAAGCATTGTTAATACACTCCTCAAATGGAAGTATTAGGCCTAACTAAGCATAATCAAATACGAGGAGTTCATCAGCTGCTAATTCCCAAATACTGGTTATTACTAGTGACGGGAATAACAGATCTTTCAGGTTTGGACAGAACAGAGTCATAATTTAAAATATTTTTGTCTTTTAATTTTGTTTGGTTTGGATTCTTCAGAAGAAACTATGCCTTCAGATCTGTGGTTTCCTTTGGAATGCCCACAGGCAATAGTCTAGCCTTCTAGCATCTACTCAATGAATATGACTATTCCAGAAAAGACTAATTGGTTTGGAAGTGAACTCTGTCCATGAGGACATTGTGAGATGCGTGAACTTTCTGAAACAAATGTATGAGTGTTGGAACATCCCAGACCTCTCTTTCAGAGGTATGAGCTTGGAGAGGTGTGTGGGTATGCCTTTGCTTAGTAAAGAGAGACTTTTCTCTGAAAGGGTCCTGACCCCAATCTTCCCCAGTGATCAGCTCTTTTATGACTGTGAGGTTGAAGATTAGTGGGAGGACCTTGGGGCAGCTTCCTGCTCTAGTCCATCCAGTTTATATATGCCAGGGATTACCAGTCAGTGACAAGAATAGACTAAGGAAATGATGATCTTTGCTCCTGACTTTTGCAGAACTGAGAAGTATCTTTCTCTCAGGGACTAGGGTCAGAGGTTCATCATTTGACCACAAAGCTCTGTTTGTTAGACGTTATTTACCATTAAGTCATCTGTCTCCGTAGATCAGCCTCCTGATTAGTCTAGCTGGTCCTCACCTTTACAGCTGCTAGCTCACTGTAATAGAGCTGCTCCTGTTACCACTCACTGCTTGCTGCTGGACACCGGATTCTTCACTGTGGAAGCAAGGTGATCGACTCTTTGCCTTGTAACAACTCCATTAAATACTTACATTCTCATTGATGACTTCAAGATCACGGCTTGCTCTGGGCTGAAAACTGTATCTGGATTTTTCTTTTCTATAATTAAAATGTAAAGTTAGCATACAAAGTAATAGGTTACATTTTGACATTTTCATACACATGTCATTATACTTTGTTCTTATTTACCCCTATTTCCTCAGCATCCTCTGTGCCTTTCTCTTGCTCTTTCCCTCCATTCTCTTTCTCTCAAATAGTTTCTCTTCTACTTTCCCTCCTCCACTTTCATGACCTTCCCGCACACAAATTTGCATCTAGATTTTGCAAATGAAATCAAGTGTGGCATTTGTCATTCTGATTCTGGCTTATCACTCTTAACACAATGGCTTTCAGTTTAGTATCATTATTTATTTATTCTTTATGTCTGAATAAAATTCCATTGTATACACTACTTTCTGTTATCCATCTTTTGATAAATGTCCAAGGTGAGTCATTTTTTAGTTATTAAAATAGAGCAACAGTTAACATGTATACACATGAAGATACAAAGTATTTCTGTGTTATGTTGACTTAAAGTTCTTGAATACATAATATTCTTAAGAGTAGTATAGGTGGGACACATAGTTCTATTTTCAGTTGTTTGAGGAACCTCAACTCAAATCCGTATTGATTTTCATAGTGATTGCATTCATTTACATTTCTACCAGCTGTGTAAAAGACCTCTTTCCCTATAAAACCATTTGTTTTCTTGATGGTAGCCATTCCGACTGGGGTTAACCAGACTCTGGCTCAAAGCATTTTTAAATTACATTTTCCTGATAGATAAGAATGTTGAACATTGTCTTAAATGCATAGTGGCCATTTATATTTCTTTTACTGAGAACTGTCTATTTGGTCTATTAACTCACTCATTGATTGGGTGAGTTTATGTGTGTTTAATTTTGCACTTAATTTTAGTCATGAAGCCCCTACATTCTCTAGGTCACTTATTCATTCTGGTGATTGTACTATACTTTTGATGTTGCAATTTTTTGTGAGTGGAATAGTCTTTATTTTATCATTATTTTAGGTACTGTAACTTGATTGTATCTGGAATTTTAATCTATTATTGAAAAACAGGAGACTATAAATAGTAAATGTAGATTTAAAGATACTGAAGAATGAATCAGTTATAATAGTTTTGAACTATAATTTTGGACAAAACAATGTAAGAGTTTGGTGTTGGGCCATTTCGAGCTGGGAAATTGGAATGCTCCTCCCAATTAAATTAATATTTTACAGTTAATGTTCTTTCTTTCTGCTACCCCCATCATTTAACATAGTGCAGAACCAGTATTACACTGCTCTGTAATGGGCTAGCTGTCTTCTTATATATTCCAAAGGCAACCAACCTCAGGAGGCGTAGTTTCTATGAAGAAGGTGCGCCATAGTAATTGTCACCCATTGCTCTGACACGCTATTTCATTGTTACCTGTTTAAGGCCTTTTCTCCTTTGTTTTACAAGAGCTTACTCTTTGTGATGAGCCATTGCTTGGTGAGTGTGGAAGGCAGCGTAATTGCCCTCTCTAATGTGTCCATGTGCTAATCCTTAGAACTTGTGAACATGGGATTTGGGCAAATAGGACTTTATGGATATTATTTTTTTAAAGATTTATTTATTTCATGTTCATTGGGGTTTGGCCTGCCTGCTTTCTCTGTGAGGATGCCAAAGCCCCTGGAACTGGAGTTACAGACAGTTGTGAATGGCTATGTGGGCTCTGGGAATTGAACATGGGACCTTTGGAAGGTGAGCCAGTGCTCTTAACTGCTGAGCCTTCTCTCCAGCCCCCGTTACTGATAAACTGTTAAGTTAAGGGTTTTCATGTGGAGAAATGACTTGGGTTCACTGGGCCTGGGAAATCACAGGGGTTTATGTAAGAAAAGCACAAGTGGCTGAGCATACAGGCCGCCAGGGTTGGGCCAATGTGACTGCTGGCTGGAAGATGAAGTAGGACGTGGCTAGGAAACCAGACAGGCTCTAGGAACTGGGAAAGGCAAGGGAATGGATTATTCCCCCCACCTGGCAATAGTTCTAGGATTTATGTTCTTCCAGTTAGAATTTTGTTGTGTTCCTTTTGCCTATACTGGGAATACAGCTGTTCTTCTGTTTTTCAGAATGTGGGCTTTCAGCTCTCCTAATGTATTATTATTATTTTGCCACAATTCCTCAAGTTTTAATATCTTGAGCTTAACTCATTTTTTGGCACCTTCTGGAATCTTCCAGACTTTGCAGTGTTCTGGAGAGGATTCCACGGTGGCATGGAGACCACAGTTTTCAGCTGTCAAAGCAGCAAGGTCAGTCGTGGCACAACTGACCTGTGGCAGATTCCGCCAGCTTTGGCCGCTCTGGTTGATGAGTTCATTTTTCCTTTTTCTGATTGTTTGGTAAGGAGAGAAAAGCAGCAGCCTAAAATCTTAAAAATATAGACTTATTATTTATAAAAATATAAATATGAAAGGGGACTGTAGGTGAAATTTTTACGAATGAGAGTAATATTGTTGTCCAGCCTGAGGAAAATAGATAGTTTGGGAGGAAACCTGGGTAGGGCAGGTGCGAGCTTGTGTTTGCCTGTTTGCTTGTTTTGGTATTATTCCCTTGAAACAATTTGGTTCCAGACAAATAAAGTAATTACTTTGATTAGCCATGTTAATATTTCTTTTTATGCATACTTAAGTGCGTCCTCATAGCTTGAGTTATTAATAGACAGACTTTATTAAATTTTGCGCTTTTAAAGGAAAGTGCATTTTCTTTGTTTTAGTCATTATAACTAAAACAGCTAGGAAATTTTAGAATAAGCTTAAAATCTGAAAACATCAAAACATTTTTTTCTCACGTTCACTTACATGCACACACACACACATGCACAAGCACACTTCTAAATAAAATAAACATTTAATTAGTTCATTCTCAGCTGTATAACAGTGAAGAAAGTATGCTGTGTGTACTAATGCATTGCTCTCTGTTCCTGACTATGGATAAAATATGACCAATTGCTCAAAGTGCCTGTTGCCTTGAATTCCCTGCAATGATAAACTGCATCCTAGAACTGTGATCCAAATAAATCCTTTCTCTTTAAAAAACAAAAATAACCAAAAAAACATTTTTTCTTTGTTATGAAATTACCTTGTTCTGTATTTCTGGTTTAATTATAAGTAGATGCACATGTCAAAAATTTTAGAGGTACTCATAGAAGCTGCTCCAGGTGAGCCTTGTTCATTCAGAATCTGTCCTGAACTAAGTCAATCTGAAATAATCAATGGCCGTGCCATTGGTGAGCTAAGACCTTGGCTCTTAACCTCTTCTGTGCCTCAGTTTTCTTTTTGAATTTTTTAAAAACAATATATTTATTTTTACTTAGTGTGGGTGAGTGTTTTGCCCTGGTTATGCTTTCCCTTCCTGTGATGAAACACAGGGACCCAAAGCAATCTGGGGAAGAAAGGCCTTGATTCAGCTCGCAACTCTCAAGTCATACTGTATCAGGGAGGGAAGCCAGGGCAGGAACCTGGAGGTAGGAGCTGAAGGCAAAGCCATGGGACAATGCTCTTTACTAGCCTGCTCTTCATGGCTTGCTCAGCCTATTTTCATATTCAACTCAGGGCCACCTGCCCAGAGGTGGCAGTGCCCACAATGGACCAGTCACCCCCGCATCTATTTCTAAGTAAGAAAATTCCCTATAGATTTGTGTCTACAGGTACCCCCGTGAAGATAGTGATACCCACAGCAGGCTGGGTCCTTTCATACCAATGATCAATTAAGAAAATATTTCATAGACATGCCCATTGGCCAATCTGTGTTACCTCTTCTGAGATGACGCTCATTGTGGTTGTGTCAAATTGACAGTAAAAGCTAGGACAAAGACTAAACACTGTTGGCCTTTTTAGACCAAGAGTTTTGACCATCTTTTGTTCTTGCTTTTCTCCTTTATACTATGCTCAGAAATGATTTGTTCAGTTTCTGCTTTAGCACATACAAACACATCTTAATTCCTCTTGGAAGCTTCTTACGTTGTTACGGTCACACCTGTTACCAACAACAGATCCATGTGGTCCTTTACAGATCAGCCCACAGGTACTGCTTTAATACCCTCAGGGGTTGTCATCCAGGAAATATCTAGAACCACCGAAAAGCCAGCGCTTATGTACTGTAGCAGACACTTCACGTGCGCTGGTTAAGTACATTCTAGTGAGTCTCTGTGGCTCTTTATATCCATCCAATGATAAGACATAATACAAACTATTATTAATATAGTGCAGGTCAGCTTTAAGTCAGGCACTAGACATATTATGAATGCTATAACAAAGAGTTGTATAATATTTAAAAGCATTTTTTTTTCAGGAGAAACATGGCTGTGTTTAGGAGGACAAAGAAATTTGATAGAGTTGGGAAGAGATTTAAACTATGTTATGCCTTTTCTTTGTATGCTTTTGTGTATGCGTATGTGCTTGTGTGTGCACACTCGTGTGTACTTGCACGTGTAGTGTTACAGACTGAATCCAGAGCCTTGCACATGATAGGAAAGGGCTGTGCTACCGACCTTCACCTCTAGTCCCAGGTTTTGTTTTTTTCTAATATACTTCATAAAGTGGGAAAAAGACAAATGCAGGTAGAATCGAGGAGGACAGATACAGTGGAATTAATTGACTATGAACTCTCATTTAATAGATGTGTATTGGGTTAGACACTACTCTATGAGTGTAGCAGAGTATCATTAGGCATCATTACACTGACATTATTTTCTTCTCCAATCATGTTTGGTTCTATCCCAGGTCTTTGGAACAGCCAGCCTGTGGTCCTGATGCTCCAGGGAGTGGCAGGGGTGGGTTTACTCTTGTGGCATGGGTCTTAGGCTAGACCAGTTATTAAGAGGCTTCTAATGGAAACATACCGAGACCCTCAGTCAGACATTAGGCTGAGCTCAGGAAATCCTGGTGAAGAGAGGGAGGAAGGATTGTAGCAGTTTCTGAACTGCCAGCAGTGATGTCATGCCGTCACAGAGAGGTAGTGTAGAGGGTGGTGGCGAGTGCAAACAGATCGCCACCGTGTCATCAGGGAATGCTTCTTCCAGAACCTGCTTGAGCTGAGGTCTAAGTGCTAAGTGGGCAACTGTGCAAAGCTCTGGGGAAGCCTGTCGGTGTATTATAAACCTTTTTCCAGATGGAGGGTTTTACTTCAGGATTTTTTCACCAATACAAAGGCTAAGGAGAGTCTGAAGAAGAGGGTAACACAGGAGGGTGACATCAGTGCGGCTGTGACAGGGGAGGGTGACATCAGTGCGGCTGTGATACGGGAGGTGACATCAGTGCGGCTGTGATACAGGAGGGTGACATCAGTGCGGCTGTGATACAGGAGGGAGACATCAGTGCGGCTGTGACACGGGAGGGAGACATCAGTGCGGCTGTGACACGGGAGGGAGACATCAGTGCGGCTGTGAGATGGGAGGGTGACATCAGTGCGGCTGTGATACAGGAGGTGACATCAGTGCGGCTGTGACATGGGAGGGTGACATCAGTGCGGCTGTGACACGGGAGGGTGACATCAGTGCGGCTGTGACACGGGAGGGAGACATCAGTGCGGCTGTGATACAGGAGGTGACATCAGTGCGGCTGTGACACGGGAGGGAGACATCAGTGCGGCTGTGGGACGGGAGGGTGACATCAGTGTGGCTGTGACATGGGAGGGTGACATCAGTGCAGCTGTGAGACGGGAGGGTGACATCAGTGCGGCTGTGACACGGGAGGGTGACATCAGTGCGGCTGTGACACGGGAGGGAGACATCAGTGCGGCTGTGACACGGGAGGGAGACATCAGTGTGGCTGTGAGACAGGAGGGTGACATCAGTGCGGCTGTGACACGGGAGGGTGACATCAGTGTGGCTGTGACACGAGAGGGTGACATCAGTGCGGCTGTGACACGGGAGGGTGACATCAGTGTGGCTGTGACAGCTATGCTGTTCCTGACTTTGTATTGTTTGCTGTGTGGTATTTTTGGTTTATTCATATCACATTTCTGGGTATATGATGTGGTTTTTTTTTTTTTTCAAATCTCTTTTGAGTCTTACAATGTTCTGTACAGTGTGGTAGCTCAACAACAGACTCATGTACAGGAAGTGTCAGTATTCTATAGGGAAATTTCAGTTCTGATTACAAAACCACTGGAAACAAAAGTTACAAGTTTCTGCAAATCTAAATAGATCACCTTTGTCTTGTTTAGAGCCTATAGTGTGCCTGAAGTAAGGTTAACACAGTCATTTACATGGTCCTTCCGGAAGTCTAATAAATAACTCTATGTTCTATGAATTCTCTTCCAGAGTTACAAATTCTGCCAAGGAAAACTACAGCTGATTTTAGATCAGTTGGATTTTGGGCAACCGAAAGAGGTAAGCTTAAAAGAGAGCTGTTGTGTTCAGGAAGGTACCATGCATAGTCTGACTGCAGTCAGCAGTAGCTGTCTGTCTTGGTTGTTGTGATAGTGATGGCGTTTTTTGTTTGTTTGTTTTTTTAGGTGCTAGGCCTTTATTATTATAAGCATCTTGGGTTGGTAGCCACGATTAGCTCTTCCGTCTGAACTGGACACTCATGTTGTGTTCACTCATTTCCTTCATCCCTTCTTTCCCTCTTTTCCTGTGTGTTCTAGGTGCATGTGGGACTCGTGTGTATGTGTGTGTGTGTGTGTGTGTGCGTGTGTGTGCATGCGTGTATGCGCGTGTGCATGTGCTACGTGTGTGTGTGTGTGTATGTGTGTGTGCGCGTGTGTGCAGTCCCTAGGGCAGCATCACTTGTCACTCTTTATTGCTTATCACCTTATCTATCTTTCTATCTATCTATCTATCTATCTATCTATCTATCTATCTATCTAGTTTTGAGACGGTCTTTTTCTGAACCTGGATCTCCTTGACTGTCTGAACTGACTGTCTACGAACTTCTGGTTTCCTCCATTTCTGCCCTTCTACCCCCAATGTTAGAATGTCAGACATGCACAACTGTGCCTGGGCTTTTATGTGGGTCCCGGGTGCTCTGTACCATTTTCCCCTAGCTTCAGTTTGAAAGGGATAAAGCTGTGTGGCTGTTATCCGTTTTTAGTATTTTATCATTAAGAAACCCCAGGGCTTGCTTCATTTTTAGAAAATGTGAGCATCCGTTTAAAGATTGTTTTCAATAGATAGCATGGTATACGATCATGTACAATGCCTTGAAATATGTACATACTGGCATAAGTATGTTAAGATAGTAAGCATATATATTACCGCCCATACTTAGCCTTTTTAAAATTTTTGATTGAGTAGCTTATTGTAGTAATAAGAGCGGCGGGGCTGCGTCCCCAACACCCCAGCCGCCTGCCCGGCTAGCTTATGCCCTGAAATAATTACACGAACACTGTATTCTTTTAATCACTGCTCGGCCCATTCTCTTCTAGGCTAATTCTCACATATTAATTTAGCCCATTTCTAATCATCTATGTGTGGCACCCCAAGGTGCGCTTACTGGAAAGATTCTAGCCTATGTCCATCCTGGGTCGGAGCTTCATCCCGGGAGCGGGGCATGGCGTCTCTCTCAGGCTTCTGCTCCAGGGAGGAGAGCTGTTGAGACTCTGAGCTTACTTCCTCTTCCTCCCAGTATCCTGTTCTGTTTTCTCCTCCCACCTATCTTCTAACCAATAAAATGGGCCAGGGCAGTTCCTTTATTAGCCAATGACCTTCCTCCATCATTTCCCCTTTTTCGGTTTAAACAAAAAAAAAAAAAGGCTTTAACTTTAACATAGCAAAATTACATATAACAAAACAGTTATCAAGTAAAAGTTACAATAATCTTTATCATAACTAAGGAAAACTATAACTATAACTAACTATTCTTAACTCCATCAAAGACTCCAGAAAGATATAATATAACTATAGAAATGACAGAGACATCTCGCTGCCTGGACAGTCACCCAAAGTTCCTCTGTACTGTTGGGGCATCCATCTTCAGCCTTCAGGCCCATGGTATCCAGCAGACATTTCCATAAAGCAGGAAAATTCAAAGTCAGTTCAGTCACTATCTGTTGTGTCCTGTAGAATGTCTCGCAGACTCTTCCAAAATGAATCAGGAACCCCAAAAGATCATCTCACCTTAGGCAAGTTCAGTAGTCCTCTCTCTGCGGGTTCTCTGTGTCCAGTTTATGCAATAGTCCAGGCAAGAGCAGTTTCTTGCCCAAATGGCTATCAAACTCCATAACGAGCCTCTTCGATGCCCATCTTCCTCTTGAAGTAGATTGGTGCTGCCAGGAGCAGAGTGTCTCATTGTCATGAAAAGTCCTAAGTTATTAAAACATTTAAAATGCCATATTCTATAATCTTTGAAAGATATGAAGAATGCCTATCTAAAATATATCTATGCACATCTAGAAAATATTAACTAACATGACTACAAACTTGACTATTATTTATGATTATCCATCAACAACCTATATTTCCTAATTATACATTACATTTTAATAATGAACTACACAATCACAACACCTTAATCAATATCAGAAATACATATACATATAACAAAATTGACCTTAAATTTCTATCAATAAAGCAAAATCTATACTAATGCAAATTATTCATACCTATATCATATCCCCCTTTAAATGTAAAAGAACATTTATAAACATTTTTTGGGAATATGGGCGCAGTTATTTCTCTCCAAACTGCTTCCTGCTGAATGGGGGCGTCGTTAATTAGGTCTTTCATGGTATAACTTGTGTGCTAGTTTCATCTCAGTTAGCAGTTGAGCGAAGCAATTTTCTGAGGATGTTCACACCAACCCTTCAGGAGGGCGTGGTCCATCATACCAAATCGGAATAGAAGAAATGAACAAGGTCTCATCCTCTGTGAAAACAAAATAAGAAACTCCTTTCCAAAGTATCATATCCTTAGATCCAAATTCATAATATCTATGTTGGATTAGTTCAGCAGTATTTATAAATAAATATCTTTTAGCATCTGTTTCTCCTTCCTCAGCATTTAAACAATTCAAAGAGAGCATAATAGCATACAGTATCAAAAGTCTCTGTGTATTTTCCATCTTTGTACGCTTTGTTTTAACCTCTATTTTGTTTATTTTTACTTTCAACTCTTTGCTTTTTGAGACAGGTTCTCTGTATCTTTGACCTGAAGTAACTCTGTAGACCAGGCTGTCTTTGAACTCTCAGAGATCCGCCTGTCTCTGCCTCCCAGGCATTAGGGATTAAAGGTGTACACTACTACACCTTGAACTCACAGAGATCTGTTTGTCTCTGCCTTCTAGGCACTGGGATTAAAGGCATGTGCTACCACACCTTGAACTCGCAGAGGTCTATCTCCCTCTGCCTACCAAGTGTTGGGATTAAAGGTGTGTACCACACACAACAACTCTCTTCCTTTTTTTTTGTTACTTTAAGAACTTCAACTTTTAGTCTGCTTATATTTTTAACACACTGTAAACCATTTAAAAATTTTCTTTGTCTTTGAATCTCTCTTTACTGTATATCTCTCTTTTTCTGACCACACGAGTCTTTAATTTACCAAGCAATATCAGTAGGATTAAAGGCGTGGCTTTGCCGGCTGGATCCAGCCCATTCCTTAGCTTTCCAGCCTCATGGCTGAGGTACTGGCTGTAGCCAGCAAGCGAGCTTCAGCAGCCTGTGCTTGCAAACCGCACAAACCGCCTGTGTAAAAGAGTCAGAGTTTGTCCTGGCAGGACAGCCCAGAAAGCCGGCATTTTTAAATGGCACAGCTTTTTTCCTGCTATGGCTGAAAACCAAAAAGCATGTGTTCAGCTTTTCGTCAACACCATTTAAGTGTTTAGTGGCAGGACCTCTTAATGAGCTGCAGGCTTTGCAGCTAAAGCTGAGTCAGGAAGCCTCTCTTAGATGAAAGCGCATGCTTGCCTCTAACAAGCAGAGCAGGCCTGAGAACTAGTCTAGTTGCCATCAAACAAATCGTAGCACTTTACTCCAAATGCTCTATTCAAAAGCTCTGTCCTCCACAGGAGCCAGACAGAGATCGCAATGGCGGCACAGCCCCAGGAAGTCGCGCTTTAAAATGACACAGCGTTTTTTTCTGCTACTGTTGCCGAATCAGGAAATCTCTCTACAGCATGCCACCAACAAACAGCAAAAATCTGTGTTAAACTCTCTCTCCCTTATTTTTAAGCCTTCTCAGGTTTTTTAAATGGGTTTAGTTGTCCACACGTCTGGGCGCCAACTGTAGTAATAGCTCAGTCGGTAGAGCATGAGACTCTTAATCTCAGGGTCGTGGGTTCGAGCCCCACGTTGGGCGCCATATGTAGTAATAAGAGCGGCGGGGCTGCGTCCCCAACACCCCAGCCGCCTGCCCGGCTAGCTTATGCCCTGAAATAATTACACGAACACTGTATTCTTTTAATCACTGCTTGGCCCATTCTCTTCTAGGCTAATTCTCACATATTAATTTAGCCCATTTCTAATCATCTATGTGTGGCACCCCAAGGTGCGCTTACCGGGAAGATTCTAGCCTATGTCCATCCTGGGTCGGAGCTTCATCCCGGGAGCGGGGCATGGCGTCTCTCTCAGGCTTCTGCTCCAGGGAGGAGAGCTGTTGAGACTCTGAGCTTACTTCCTCTTCCTCCCAGTATCCTGTTCTGTTTTCTCCACTGTAGTAATAAGGGCGGCGGGACTGCATTCCCAGAACCCCAGCCGCCTGCCCGGCTAGCTTATGCCCCGAAATAATTACACAGACACTGTATTCTTTCAAGCACTGCTTGGCCCTTTAGCTCTAGCACTGACAGGCTAATTCTCACATCCCGATCAACCCATCTCTAACAATCTGTGAGAACCGGTCTTACCGGGAAGATTCTAGCCTAGTCCATCCTGGGTTGGAGCTTCATGCCGGGAGCGGGGCATGGTGTCTCTCTCAGGCTTCTGCTCCAGGGAGGAGAGCTGTTGAGACTCTGAGCTTACTTCCTCTTCCTCCCAGTATCCTGTTCTGTTTTCTCCTCCCACCTATCTTCTAACCAATAAAATGGGCCAGGGCAGTTCCTTTATTAGCCAATGACCTTCCTCCATCAGCTTATAGTGTTTCCAGACAAATTTTTAGGATTAGAATATTGTATACATATACATGTACAATAGATGTCACTAACTTATTCATTGCAAACGATATTTTGTAGTTGACAAACATCTCACCAGTTCTTATGCATGAAAGTTTAGCAGTTTATTAGAAAAAAGACTTTGGGGAGGATCAGCAAGTGAATCGCTTGTCAAGACCCCTGATGATCTGAGTTCAGTCCCTGGACCCTCATGGTAGGAGGAGAAAGCTGAGTCCTATAAGTCTTCTGGCTTTTGTGCACAATTCCACACCCCTACATATCCACTCTCCCACATTAAGTAAGCAAGCAAGCAAACAAACAATGAAAAACATTTAAAAAGAAAAAATTTTGAGGAAGCAATTATATTAAATTTTATCTGTTCATATTTTGAAAGGTTTTAGAGACTACTATTTATTGATGTCTTGTTTTTATTAGAAAGTCATTTTGAATTAGAAACTACATAGGATTTTAAATGTGATAACATAGTAAACATTTATTTCTAAGTGTTTCTAATCACATTTTTTGCAGTATTTCATGGAAAAAATAAGCTTACATTTAGTTTATTAAAGGGAATTTAATATGGTTTCATTTTAAAAACTATGTTAGTGAAGGAAACAAAGAGGTTTGCCTGCACTATTTCCTGGGACTAGCAACCATGTAAAATCCCATGAGGGAGTTTGATTTTTATGTTGTTGATCAGGAAAAACAAATTTTATCAAAGCAAGAGGATAAAAGGTGAACTGAGCTTTGATAAATACAGCAGTGTGAAAGAACAGATGAAAAAAGAAATTAGCCCAAGAAGAAAAATTTATGGGCTGTAACTCAAGTTAAAATATTTGTTTGTAAGGCCGTAAAAGTACACAGCAGGAATGAAAGACAAGTGCGGTTACTTTTCTATTGCTGTGATGAAACAACCATGGCAGCTTACAACAGGAAGTATTTGATTTGGCTGATGGTTTCAGTTCATAATGATGGAGTGAAGGAACAGCTGAGTTTTTACATCATGAAGGGGAGAGAGAGAGAGAGAGAGAGAGAGAGAGAGAGAGGAAAGAGAGAGGAAAGAGAGAGAATCACTGTGAATCACAGGAATCTTTTGAAACATCGAAGCTGGCCCCCAGTGACATACCTTCTCTAGCATGCTTCCAAATCTTTCCCAAACAGTTCCAACAACTGGGTGCCAAGAATTCAAGTACATGAACTTTTGGGGGCCATTCTCATTCAAACCACAACAACCAGTACACATAAATTATTTTTTATCTGTTCATATTCTGCAAGAGCAGGAGAACAATTGCATATGGAAATAGAAAATCAGGACTAATTGGGCTTAATGCTTACAAAGCCAAGGAAAATTATAACCTTTGTATATTGTAAATAAATCTTTCTTTTGGAATTGCTTATCTTAATTATATTTTAAAAGTTTCTCTAGTGGTCCTAATATGTGGAGACCAAATGTCTGCAGTTGGTCATATTTTCCTTATAGAAAGTATAAATTTTAAAAAATTAATGAGTTTCTTTTTTTGAACTCCTGTACGTAGCACGAACTGGTTACTCTCACTCCTGTCCACTCCCTATTCATCAGCTTCTCCCTAAAATCTTTTACATTTATTTGTGTCAATTTGAGAAACAGATTTTTTGAGTATATATATATATACACACACACACACTAATAAATTACCTCCCATGAGAACAATACTGAGATTTATCCTGAATGAGCATGTTGGAGTTTGTGTCGTACAATTGAATTTACTTTTTAAAATTTAGTTTTTAAAAACTTTTAATTAATTAATTTTTTCTTTGGCAAAGTCACACAAGTCTTTTAATGTGTTTTCGTTACTTACCCCACCCTGTTTTCTGTCCCTCTCACCCCTGATAGCCTTTCCTTACTAAGTCTCTTTTCCTATATTCATGACTTTTTATTTTGTTTTGTTTCCCTCTGACTGTGGCCCTGGATTTGGGCCTGTCTACTGCAGTCTGCGGGCTCAGTAGTGGGTACAAAACTGGGTATTATGCATTTCCTTCTGTCAGAGTCTGTTGGCAATAATTCAATTCCTCTCACATCCGTAGCTGACCCTGGGCACGACTGGTCTTGTAGAGGTCATGCAATTTCTTTCCGTGGCTGTGCCATGCTCTTCTCCTCATCTTATTGCTTTCTTGCCCCCAGATGTGGTGGTTCCTGAGATGGTGCAGATGTTTTGTTTAGGACTGATCTCTGCTGCCACGTGTTCTCAGTATCTTGTGCAGCCGTGGGTGTCTGCATTGACCTCTGTTCACTGCAGAGAGCTGCTCTTCTGAGTAACTTTACGCTAGCATTTGTTAATCCATTCCTGGTTAGGCCGCTTGAGGCAGGTCATCTGGGGATGTGTCCTGGTTGAAGGTTTTTTAAACCTTAGACTTTTGGGTATGGCTTTAGGTATATCTTTGGATATGTTATTTAGTCTCAATTTTTCAAATGAATTATTTTCCAGAAATGTTTCTTTTTAAATGAATAATTCTAATTTATCCTACTGAAATAAAAGATATCAGAGAATACTTTATTTTCCTTTTGGCATTTTGCTTTATTTTCTTGATTATTAGCAAAAATACTAAATGAAATTAGATATGAGATTAAATTACTTTTATGAATTGCAAATTTTGTCTTTAAATTGATTACTTGTAAATACATTCTTGCTTAGAGACCTTTCTTTTGGATAAATTTCAAGTAGTAAATTCTTAATGGGATTTTATTCAAAAAGTTACCAGGAAATGAGAAATTACTTAACATTGGGTGCTTCTGATTTCTCAATCAGAATGTTTCTTTCTAATCTTGCTAATGCCTATCATGGGTGTGTTTAAAAGTTTTTCCCATGGGACTCTATAGCACTCTGCGTTTCCCCCCATCTGAAATAGTTGAGTCTGTGATGGAAGTCTCTGCTGCCTCTCTGTTTCTCCCTGGGTTGATTTGTATCAGGTGACCGGAGTTTGAGTAGAAGCTTGGCCTTGCTGTGTTGGGTTTTCTTTCCTTCCTTCTTTCTTTCTTTCTTTCTTTCTTTCTTTCTTTCTTTCTTTCTTGGAAATGCTGTCCTGATTTTATTAGTACACATGAATTGAAATATTACATTGTACTTCATAAATAAGAACAATTATTATGTTAGTCACAAAACTCTAAAATATTATATGAGATGAAAATGCCTACTGCCTTTATGAGATCATAGATTCAGACGTATTTGTTTCTTCCCATTCTAAAATTATTTTAAAACTAACTGTCTAGATTAGGAACTTTTTTAGTTCTTTTGGCACAGTTCTAATAATCTTGATGACTTTCTTAATTCTGATATATTACAGATTTAGTTCATGTAATTCCTGTCTCTCTAAGGATATTTGGTTTCTTTTTTTTTTTCATTAAAGATTTCTGCCTCCTCCCCGCCACCGCCTCCCATTTCCCTTCCCCTCCTCCAATCAAGTCCCCCTCCCTCATCAGCCCAAAGAGCAATCAGGGTTCCCTGCCCTGTGGGAAGTCCAAGGACCACCCACCTCCATCCAGGTCTAGTAAGGTGAGCATCCAAACTGCCTAGGCTCCCCCAAAGTCAGTATGTGCAGTAGGATCAAAAACCCATTGCCATTGTTCTTGAGTTTTTCAATTGAAGCTTTGTTCTACTGAAGCGGAACCTTCTCCACTTGTGTCCCTTGGGTCATAGTGTTTGGGCGGGGTGTGGGGGGGGATTGTGATTGGATTCTGTAATGATTAGGAATAGCCTTTTTGGGGGAAGGCAGAAATTCATTTTTGCACTTTACTGCTGAATTAGCTTTTCTACTTCAGTGGCTAAAAGGCCAGGAAGTATGGTCCAGCAGAAAGATGAAAACGGTTGATGAGATTGTTCCCTGGGAGCTGTTCACAGAGGCTGGAATAGGAATGCTTTTCCAGGGGCTCGGCGGGCAGTACGCTGGAATTAAGTCTGACAAACTGTAGAAGCTCCAGTTGGGAGGCCTATGAGGATGGGGATGTCCAGGATGAGGCTCCTGGAAACTGCTGCACGATGAGTCCAAAGCAGCCACCATCCATTTCTCTTGGCTGTGACATAGTCGCAGTGCACGTACGGTTTCAGATTTTGTTACAGAAGACAGCCTGCTTTTCCTTTCTCTATTTAGCACTTAGTTTACAAAAACTGTTCCCCCGAGTTATTTTATAAAAGGGTGTCAGATTCTCAAAAGCAACTCATCAACACATAGTTCCTCTGGCTCTTCCTTTTAGTAGTGTGTTTAATATTATCTTGGAGAATTGACATTCTTCCAGCATTACTAATGCTGTTATTTTAAAATCCGCAGGTGAGATACGAAGCTTTACAGACGCTGTGCTCAGCCCCTCCATCCGATGTCCTGAACTGTGAAAACTGGACCACTCTCTGTGAAAAACTCACCACGTCTCTGTCCGATCCAGATCCTGCGTTCACTGTAAGGAGACAGCCATGAATTGCTCTTTTTGACCCAAGTGGGATTTCATCATTTTCCTTAGTAGCTCAGCCGTGGAACTTCAGTTTAAGGTTTAAATCACAAGGAAGACAAGAGGCAGCCATAGGAAAACAGGGTACCAGATACATCTGTCTGCTTTAAATCACACTCTTCCATCAGTGGGGATACTATTAGACTAGTGACAGAAACGATTCAGGAACACTTTTGTTATTTATATCAAAACAGAAAGATGTAACCAGGCAGTGGTGGTGCACACCTTTAATTCCAGAATTGGGAGGCAGAGGCAGGCGATCTTTGTGAGTTCAAGGCCAGCCTTTTCCACAGAGTGACTTCCAGGACAGCAAGGGCTGTTACACAGAGAAACCCTGTCTCGAGGAAAAAAAAGAAAAAACATGCTTGTCTAATATTTAGATGCAATTCAAAATTACAAATCCAAAAAAGTATTATACACTTCTACAAAAACTTTGATATGAGAACTTCAAGGGGAAAAAAAGAGATATTTTAGGGTCACCTTTAGCATTTCAAAGCTAAGAAGAAATACAGTTGTCAGTTTGCCTGTCCCCCGCCCCCCCCCATATGTGAGGGAATAGAAGCATGTCTGAATATATTTTCTTTATTTTAAAAATGATAACTTTATAAACATGGTAAAGTTACTGTGTAGCAAGGTTCATCTCATTACTTGGGTTCACAAATTATAAACAGTTGTTAGAAAGACAACTGTGGATAGGATCAAATCGTTTTGGACAAATATGACTTTCTTTTGTTTCAAGTTTTTGCTGCATCTAAATTGCCAGCTACATCATTGCTGTTCTATAGAACTGTTGTGTGTAACTGCCTGAAGCCTGTGGCATTTGAAAAATGACAGATTCTTATGAGTTTCTGCAGCTATGAACATGGACTTCAAACGCTTAACAGCCTTTGTTCAGTGGGAATGTCTTAGAGATATCGGAAGATATCATTAACCATCTGGGGACCTATCTCCTGTGAAAATATCAGCCTGGGTGATATAAACAAGGTTATTAATTTTGTTCCTGTAGATTAGAAAATGTGAGGCAAGATTGTTTTTATTTAATGGCACCTTGTATTTCGCAGGTAAAATTACTCTTCCCCTGATATTTAAGTGGTTTATAAGAAAATGAAGGGATTGGCACCATTGTAATGCCTGCTAGTGTCAGGCACATTTTAACTTGATTTGGTTCTTATTCGTTTTTTTTCTTTTGTACCTTTCTTCATGAGTTTTGATAAATTGAAAATTAAAAATTTATGTAGTATTTTTTTCTAATGAATAGGCACCATTCCCAGAAAACCTCTCAAATGTTTACTAAATATATGGAAACAATTCCTGGATTTGGAAACATGAGGTCTTGAAATGGAGTGTTGCCTATGGGCCTACTGCTCAATGACACCATTACTTAAAGGCTGTGGGACCTCCCTGCAAGCCTTCAGCCTCATTCCCAGTACCCACTGACCTCCAGCTTTCTGCCCTTGCTGTTACCAGGTTTCACAGCCATGCGTTTTTATCATCTGTTTTACTATTAGTTGTGGTAAATTTTACTTTTGGGCATTGAACAAGAATATGCCTTTTAAAACAGACATGCCCATCACCTGGGTTTGCATAGTGTATTTTGTGTTTATTTTCTGTTTAAATGTATAAAGTGTTTCATCTGTGCTGTTGTAAAAAGCTTAGGTAAGAATGTGCTGTCTCATTTCTGTAGGACCGGATTTTAAAGTTCTATGCACAGACTTTTACACTCTCACCGTTACACATGACCAAGGAAATTTATACAAGCTTAGGTATGTTTATTACATCACTTCTAATGTTTTCTCTTACGTATACTCAAGAAAAATGCATAAGAAATGATGTTTCCCAGAAACATTATGTTGTATAATGACTATATATTTTCATCTTTCTTTTCAGCTAAATATCTGGAGTTATACTTTCTTTCTAGAGAAAATCACATTCCTACTCTTTCAAGTGGAGTAGACATCAGCAGTCCCAATGTGACCCGCTTACTGAAAAAGGTATCCGTTTACGGCAATGCACACTATGAAACATAGATCTATTATTTCAGAATTACAGTATCTTGAGAGCTTTTGTACATGTCTTCCAGGTTCGCCTTTTGAATGAGTATCAGAAAGAAGCTCCATCCTTTTGGATTCGACACCCAGAGAAGTAAGTCCCTCAACTCAGGCGATGTAAGGCATGGGCTGTGCCCCTCAGGTGTTTCAGAGACAGAAGGGAACTTACATGGTTCAGTGTGCTGCTTAGGGTTTGTCAGCCTGACACAAAATAGAATCACTCAGGAAAGGAAACCATCAGCTGAGGAATTGCCTTCATCACATTGGCCTACGGGGCATTTTCTCAACTGCACATTGGTGCAGGAGGGCCTCCTGTGGACTGGGCCTTCTGTAGGCTGTGGGACTGGGCTGTGTAAGAGAAGTGTGCAGTGAGCCAGAGGAAGCAGGCTCAAGGAGGCAAGTCAGTAAAAAGCGCCTCCATGGTTTCTACCTGAAGCTCCTGCCTCAAGTTCATGTCTTGATGAAGTATAGCTGGTTCAACCTTTTCCTCTTCAAGTTGCTTTTGGGCATGGTGTTTATCACAGCAACATAGACGCACACTAGGACAGAAGGTATTAACACAGTTTTTCTTTGGTATATGCATTCTTAGCTATACAAATGGTCCTACCCAAGTATTGTTTTTATGTTACCAACAACATTGTGAAAGTAGGATGTTGAGGTCTTGGGTTCTTAGTGACGTTTGCTACTTTGGACAAGTTTTTTAAAATATTCTGATATGATGGTAAGAGCATCTGCGAGTCTCAAACTGAAAGGTACATCTGGAGACTTGAGTATTGAAGTAGAAAGAACGTAGGTTTTTAGAACAGAAAAACCGACTGTGACTGTTAACCTTTACTCTTTATAGAAAATAAAAAAGAAAAGAAATTCTAAAGATTACATTCCACATCGTTATTCCAGAAGGATAAGAACATCACTGTTCCCATGTACACTAACTGTTGTTTGTTTACTTTTTAAAATGATTTTTCCCCCAAATCTAAGGTATATGGAGGAAATTGTGGAGAGCACTTTGTCCCTGTTATCGGTAAAACATGATCAAAGCCATCTTGTCTCACAGAAGATTTTGGATCCCATCTATTTTCTTGCATTAGTTGATACTAAAGCTGTGTGGTTCAAAAAATGGATGGTAAGGAAAAATTGGTTCTTCTCTATGATTTTAGTGATTGGCCAGCTTTGTGTGCCTGGTGTATGCTGAATTCTAATTGATTTTCTGCATATGTTAATCCTTTTACCTGTACACAGATGGAAGTGGTGGTAGGGCCAGTGCCCTGTTCGGGGGTGTCAGATATAAAGCATGGGGAAGATATTTTGCTCAGAATGTTTTGCATAGTGAAAGTCAGGATGGGATTTTTATGAAGTGATCTGTTTGAGTCTATTCAAGATGAATGATCTATCATGGATCTTAATATCCATGAATCTAAGCCTATAAAAATATAAATAACTGTGGCAGTTTTTCTTAGGTTCAGAGCATTGGTTTTCAACACACTTCCTAATGCTGAGACCCTTTAACAGAGTTCATCATGTCATGGTGACTCTCAAACATACGATTATTTCCTTGCTACTTCATAACTGTAATTTTGCTACTGTTTTGAATTGCAGTGTAAATATCTGATATGCTGGATATCTGATATGCGGCTTCCAAAGGGGTTGAGACCCACAGTTTGAGAACCACTGGTTTAGAGGCTAATGCCCAGAATCAGTTTTGTTTGCTGCTTCCCTGACCCTGCATTATGTCTAATGCCTGAATCTGGCAGTTTCCAGTGAAGCTTATGACATCCCCAAGCTGGAGGTCATGTTAAAGCGATCTTTGTACTGTCACCCGCCAGCTGGTGTGAAGTAGCAGAGTCCCTATCTTGTAGCAACAGCAACGCTGATTTCTGTGCTCAAGTCTTTCTCTCGCACATTGTCTACCCAGCTCTGGGTTTTTGTCTCGCCGGAGCAGAGGGAGGGGACAGGGACTTGCCATGCAAGTGTGACCCTCTCTGAATTCAGCAGACCAGTTGAAAGCTGACTTTGTCTTCGGATGTTGAAAGTCTGTGATATGTGCCCAGTTTATTAGAGCACGACTCTGTAGTGTGCATGACCTTACATAACCTATGTAGTACTGTTTGGTAGTCTTTAAATTTATTAGTATTAATTAAATCAGTTTAATTAACCTGAATCTTTTGTACCCTACATCTGATGCTTTTTAATTTTCTCAAAGATGAAACTAGTTTCATTGAAGACAATATGCAAAAAGTATAAAAGCATATTAAAGAAAACCCTATAAAACACAGAGGTCACCATTAAGTCCTAGATTGTAGGCAGAGGCTGCTCATTGGTTTTTTGGCCTCTCAGATCCAAAATAATCACCCAGAAACAGTATTATTATATCACTGCTTGGCCTATTAGCTCATACTTCTTATTGACTAGCACTTATATATTAAATTAACCCATTCCTATTGTTTTATATTTTACCACGAGGCTCGTGATTTACTGGTACTGGAGTGGGCATCTTTCTCCTCTGGTGGCTACATGGTGTCCCTCTGACTCTACCTACTCTCTCCTCTTCTATCTGCTTGGAATTCCCACTTTGCCCTATTCTGCACTGCAATAGACCCAAAGCAGCTTCTTTATTAACTAATGGTATTCATAGCATACAGAGGGGAATCCCACATCCTAGGTTTATATAGATTCATATTTACATAATATATATCAATATGGTTAAGTGTTTTAAACAAAAATTAAATTATAGTCTGGTAACTGCAAAGCCTTTTTACTTAACATTTTGATTTTCATAAAGTGAATGAGGCAGATCACCAAAATTAAACACTAAAAATTTATTAAATTAATTATTTTATTTATGCTCTTTAAAACAACAGGAATTTATCTCATTCCCCTGTACCATTTGAGTCTAAGGTAAGAGTTGGCAGACATTTAATGGATAGGGCCGGGCAGTCAGTGTTTCTGGTTTTGTGCACTGAACAGTTTTTGCAGCTTTTCAGTCTAAATGGTATCAGATACAGGCTGTTCCAATAAGACATTTATACAAATTCATAGTGGGTAGATTTTGTTTTAGGGCTGTAGTTTGCTGAACTTTCTGTTTTGAACCAGGTTGGTCTTGAACTCATTATGTAGTTGAAATGGACTTGAATTCTAATTCTCATACCTCCATCTCCCAAATGCTGGGGATTATAGCTCTCAATCACCATGTCTGACAGAATAGGGTAATACTAAAGTATGCCAACATATGTTCTCTATTAATACTGAGAAATGGACTAATTGAAATGATTTTAAGCCAAAGAGCTAAATCACACAGGGGTTTGGTGAACTTTGAATAAAAGCACTGACTAATGAATTAAAAATTCTATCACCAGAATTCTGATGAAGTTTTTAGTGATGTTTTAATTATTTTATTGTTTTTAAATAAAATGAAGGAACAAATTTAAGCATTAAAGTTGCTTAGCTAAAAAACATATCCTTGACTTCTTACAGTGTCATATATGTATGTGTTTAATTCCATCTATTATTGGTCCAAAGGAAATAAAGACATTTTGAGCATTGCCATTTATTTAAAAATAATAGTGATATAGAGTGGCAAAGATGTTGTCTTGTTGGAGAATCTCACCTTTGCAAATTTCTGTGTGTGTAGTCAGTGTATGATTAGTGGTCTTTGCCCCTCTCATTTACATATTATTCCACCTTGGTTCATACACTGCTAGCTGGGCATACTACTTTGGAGGTATTCTTTTTAAAAAAATTAGCATAGAAATTGGATGTAGGTAATGAATTGTTGCCCTCATCTCTAATCTGTCACTAAATGGTCTACACTACTTTTATGCAATTTGCATTCTTGTGATTCCTATGCTTGTAGTTCATTGCACAGAGGTAAACTCTGCTTGACATTGATTATAATATTTTAAACCATAGTTATGGTGTGGTTTATGATATTGTAAACGATGGAGGAAATGGATTTTAAATGGTATACCTTTAACATTAAATGCTTTTCTCTTTAATTTTAGCATGCGTATTACAGCAGAACTGTAGTACTAAGACTACTTGAAAAGAAATATAAATCTCTGGTAAGCATGTCTGGTATTTTTGCTGAGAAATAATATCACAAAAAAGTTATGTACTGTATTAGTGTCTTAAATATGCAAAGTTGAGTGACAGTGATTCATATTGGGTAATGAGGCAATCCCTTTTAATGTGATCATAAACTCCTATTCTATGAAATGTAAAGAGATAAAAGTTGAGTCTTAATGTACAATAAGGGAAACAGTTAGGAAACAGGCAAGTATATGGCAAATTGGGCTGCCTTAAATGATAGACTGGCTTGAAAGAAGCCATATTTTTAGGTTATTAACATGAAATTTGACTCAGGTCAGCTATTAATAAGGCAGTTGCTTCTATAAAATATACTGATATGCTGCGTGAAAGTGGCCCGAAAAAGACTCAGAGAGGAATGCTTTTGTGTTTGCATAAAATTGATCTGAATTTTACTAAATACAGCTAGATACTGTTAATGTCTTACCACAAATAGCCATGTCCATTGCTATTATGTAATAATGTATAAGGATACTGAAAGGAATTAAAAAGAAATAAATAAAACAGATAATAATTGACAAACATGAAAACATGTAATTTTAAAATGCATTTAAGATGGTAATAAATATGATTTATGTATTGAGGCAGAACTTTCAATCTATAAGTTATTTGAATGGAGGATTCCTGATTGTGAATTTTTGGATTTGAGCAATGGAGCAAAAAGTGACCATGGGGAAACTTGATTTTGTGTTTGACAATGTAGAGAATATATATAGCTGGAGAAGGGGAGAGGAGCATTGACTAATGGCAGGGGACTTTATTTGTAGAGGCCAATGGTCCTGGAAAAGGTGTAGGACAATTGAAATAGATTTTTTTGCTGTTATTAATGCTTTATTTCTTTTATTGAGCTATACATTTTTCTCTTCTCTCCTCCTTTCCTCCCCCTCTTCTTCTACCCTCTCCCATGATTCCCATGCTCCCAATTTACTTAGGAGATTTTGTCTTTTTCTACTTCCCATGTAGGTTAGATCCTCTTTGTTGTAGGTTCTCTGGGATTGTGAATTGTAGACTGGTTTTCTTTGATTTATGTCTAAAAGTCACTTATGAGTGAGTACATATGGTATTTGTCTTTCTGGCTCTGGGTTACTTCACGCAATACGATGTTTTCTAGATCCATCCATTTGCCTGCAAATCTCAAGATGTCATTTTTTCTGCTGTGTAGTACTCCACTGTATAAATGTACCACATTTTCCTTATCCATTCTTTGGTCAATGGCATTTAGGTTGTTTCCAGGTTCCGGCTATGACAAACAATGCCACTATGAGCATAGTTGAGCACACATCCTTGTGGTACAATTGAGCATCCTTTGGATATATACCCAAAAGTGGTATTGCTGGGTCTTGAGGAAGGTTTCCTAATTTTCGGAGAAATCTCTATAATGATATCCAAAGGGGATGTACCAATTTGCACTCCCACCAGCAATGCAGGCATGTTCCCTTTACCCCACATCTTCTCCAGCATAAGTTGTCATCAGTGTTTTTGATCTTGGCCATTCTTACAGGTGTAAAATGGAATCTCAGAGTTGTTTTTGATTTGCATTTCTCTGATGATTAAGGATGTTGAACATTTACTTATTTGTCTTTCAGCCATTTTAGATTCCTCTGTTGAGAGTTCTCTGTTTAGGTCTGTATTCCATTTCTTCTTATTGGAATATTTGTTCTTTTGATGACCAATTTCTTGAGTTCTTTGTATATTTTGGAGATCAGTCCTCTGTTTGATGTGGGGTTGGTGAAGATTTTACCCATTCTCTAGGCTGTCGTTTTGTCTTGTTGACCATGTCCTTTGCTTTACAGAAGCTTCTCAGTTTCAAGAGGTTCCATTTATTAATTGTTTCTCACAGTGTCTGTGCTGCTGGGGTTATGTTTAGGCAGTTGTCTCCTGTGCCAGTGTGTTCAAGTGTACTTCTCACTTTCTCTTCTTTGAGGTTTAATGTGGTTGGCTTTATATTGAGGTATTTGATCCATTTGGTCTTGAGTTTTGCGCATGGTGATAGATATGGATATCTTTTCATTCTTCTACATGTTGATATTAAGTTATGCCATCACAGTGGATTTTTGATCCTACTGCACGTACTGGCTTTGTGGGAGCCTAGGCAGTTTGGATGCTCACCTTATTAGACCTGGATGGAGGTGGTTCTTGGACTTCCCACAGGGCAGGGAACCCTGATTGCTCTTTGGGCTGATGAGGGAGGGGGACATGATTGGGGGAGGGGGAGGGAAATGGGAGGCTGTGGCTGGGAGGAGGCAGAAATCTTTAATAAATAAATAAAAAAAAACAAAATAACACAGACTCAGAAAAAAAATAAAAAAAATAAATAAAAAATACCATCTGGAAGACTCTTAAAAAAAGTTATGCCATCACCATTTGTTAAATATGCCTTTTTTCCCATTTTACATTTTTTTTGCTTCTTTATCAAAAATCAGGTGTTCAAAGATGTGTAGATTGATATCTGGGTCTTCAATTCGCTTCCATTGGTCCTCCTGTCTGTTCTTATGCCAATACCAGGCTGTTTTCAGTACTGTAGCTCTGTAGTAGAGTTTGAAGTCAGATTGTGATGCCTCCAGAAATTCCTTCATTGTACAGGATTGTTTTGGCTATCCAGGGATTTTTGCTTTTTTATATGAATTTGAGTACTGTTCTTTCAAGGTCTTTGAAGATTTTTGCTGAGATTTTGATAGACATTGCATTCATAAACTTTTGGTAAGATTGCAATTTTTGCTATGCTAATTCTACCTATTCAAGAGCATGGGGATCTTACATTTTCTGGTGTCTTCATCAATTTCTTTCTTCAAAGATATAAAGTTCTTGTCATACAGGTTTTCCACTTGTTCGGTTAGAGTTACTCTGAGATATTTTATGCTATTTTTGGCTATTGTGAAGGGTGATGTTTTTCCTATTTCTTTCTCAGCCCATTTATCATCTGTGTACAGGAGGACTACTGAGTTTTTTGAGTTAATCTTGCATCCTGTTGCATTATTGAAAGTGTTTATGAGTTGTAAAAGTTTCTTGGTTTAATTTAGGATCGCTTACGTAAATTATCATATCAGCAAATAGTGAGAGTTTTATTTTTCTTTTCCTATTTGTATCCTCTTGATTTTTTTTTTTTTTGTTATCTTATTGCTCTATCCAGGACCTCAAGAACTATATTGGGTTTTTTTTTGTTTGTTTGTTGATTTTTATTGAGCTCTACATTTTTCTCTGCTCCCTTCCTTGCCTCTTCCTTCCCCTTCAGCCCTCCCAAGGTCCCCATGCTCCCAATTTACTCAGGAGATCTTGTCTTTTTCTACTTCTCTCAAGAACTATATTGACTAGGTTTAGAGAGAATGGACAACGTTGTCTTGTTCCTGGGATCACTGGGAGTTTCCATTCAGTTTGATATTGGCTGTTGGCTTGCTGTATGTTGTCTTTATTATGTTTAGGTATGTTCCTTGAATCCCTGCTCTCTCTAAGACCTTTATCATGAAAGTGTATTGTATTTTGTTTAACGCTTTTTAAACACATAATGAGATGATCATGTAGTTTTTATTTTTGAGTTTATTTATATGGTGGATTACATTGACAGATTTTTATGTGTTGAACCATCCTGCATCTCTGGAATGAAGCTGAGTTGATCATGGTGAATGATTTTTCTGTGTTCTTGGAATCAATTTGCCAGTGTTTTATTGAGTATTTTTGCATTAATGTTCATTGGTGTAGGAGGTCAGGCCCTCTCTCCTTGCAACAGGTCATGAGTGAAATTGATCTGTAATTCTCTTTCTTAGTAATGTCTTTATGTGGTTTGAGTATCAAGGTAATTGTAGCTTCATAAAAAGAGTTTGGCAATGTTCCTTCTGTTTCTATTGTGTGGAACAATTTGAGGAGTATTGGTATTAGTTCTTCTTTGAAAACCTTGTAGAATTCTGAGCTGAAACCAGCTGGTCCTGGGCTCTTTTTAGTTTCTTAGATGTGATAGGTTTGGATCTATTGCATTTGAAATGCAGACCTCACCAGGCATAGATCTGGATCTCTGAAGTTTGGTTTAGGCAAGATGGAAGTAGAGAAAGATTCTTCAACCAATTTGTGGATTTGGTGATTTTCTAGAAGGAGTCCTAGAATCTAGCAGGTATGTTTCAGGCTGTAATGTATTAAAATGAAAGGGAACAAAATAAAAAAGAAAAGATCTCTCCAGATGCCTAACGAGAGGGTAAGTTTCTGCCTGTCTTTCCCCATTGGGTTCCCACAGGCCAGCTTACCTCTTCCCGGACTGATGATTGATAAGTTGAGTGAAATATTGTGTATGGAGGAGTCTCTTAGAGACTGTGCCCAGATTATTTTACTTGATTTGGTCTGGGATCTTAGATTAATAGATTGAAAACAGATGTACAATATGAACAGCTCTATTTGTAGAAACACTTTAGTTATATGAAAAGCTTTTTCCTATTTTTAGGAATATTGACCAAACAAAACAGCAATAACAGAAAAGTGACCTCTGCATGAACATGGCCTGCTCTTTGGAAGAGAAGTGTGGGTTTGCTCTAGGATCTTATATCAGTTGTTACTGTTAATCTGTTCTTTGTGTGAGGTACCTTTGCATTTTCAGATCACCAACAATTTTATATCACCTAAGTTAACTCTCACCAGTCCTTACTTACCAGGGTGTCTATTTTCTTCAGGTATTAGAATTAAGAGTCATCTATAAGTAGTATGCCTGTGGGGCAGGAGAGATAGCTCAATGGTTAAGAGCATTTGTTGCTCTTGCAAGGGATGCAAGATTGCTTCCCAACATCCACACAGTATCTCACAGCCACCAACCACTCCATTTTAGGGGGCTCATTCCCCTCTTCTAACCTCACAGAGCACCTGCATGCATATGGTACACAGAAACTCACACAGGCACATATTTGTAATTAATATAGGTAAATAAAATTTTATAAGAAATGTGTCTGTGATGAAGGGGATTGGAAATTTTTGTCATTGAGAGTGGGGATATGATAATTGAGATCTTTGGGGACAGCCGGGCTGCACATCAGTTTTATGCCTTTCTTCTCTGAAATTTGAATTTTTAAAGTTAGTTTTCTGCAGTTCTGATAATTGAGGTGACAAATGTTAGATCCATTTGGTATTTGACTGGGCGGGTGAGAAGAAAAGGCCCCAAGTTAGGGAGGTGAGAAGAGACCTAGTCTGTCAGGCATCTGCACATCTAACATAAGGATAGTCTGTTTCCATAACTATACTTTATTTTTAAAAAAATTAATTATGCATACCTGCATGTGTGTCAGTGCACAATGTGTGAACCTGCTGCCTGCAGAGTCCTCAAGGTCTTTAGATTGTCTGGAACTGGAGTTACAGATGGCTGTGAGTTGAACCTGGTTCTCTGTAAGAACAAGTGTTGTTATAACCCCTGATCCCTCTACCCAGTACCTGTAGTTTAAATTTTAACAATAAGTTAACAGTTAATGGAGTAGTTTTCTCAATTTGTATGCTTTTAGATTAATTTTCACGGTCAGCATTTTCAGTGATAGGATCTTATATAGTATTTCATACATATACATAATTAGCCTTTTTAATATCCTTGATTAATTTTTGAATTTTTGGACACAATGGCTATGTATTTCTGAAGCCAATCAACTGTTATTATTATTTTTTTAATCAGATAACTACAGCAGTTCAGCAGTGTGTTCAGTACTTGGAATTGTGTGAGACTATGAGAACTGATGACATTTGGGGACATTCAAAGCATTGTGGTAAGTATTGTTTTATTACATATGCTAAAATGGCTAACTTCATTATTAGCAACTTAGTAATGGCTTACATTTCTTAAATATCTTATTTTAAAAAAATATTGTATTCATTGTACATGATACTGTATTTCTCTTAAGGTGCATATATTGTATGTGTTGAATACAATTCATTCCTACCATGTCTCTCTATCTTCTTTTTTACTTCCCATCCCGTGTCTTTTATTCTCCTAGACAGTCTGACCTCTGCTTTAATATCATATACATATATGTATATATGCATATATATGTGTGTAATAAATCATGTATATACAAAATGATTTATTTGTAACATGTGCATATATATATATAATTATATATATATATATATAAAATTTTGTGTGCATGACATGGAACTAAAATGAGAGAAAATGCTTTTGCCTGAGACTAGCTTAATTTTTTAACATGATTCATTATCTCTTGTTCAGTCTGTCTTCCTGAAAACGACATAATTTCCTTTTTTCTTGTGTCTGAAAAAGCTATTCAGCACACACATACACCCAGACATACACATGCGCACACACACTCACATATATGTGTATATATCTCCATTCCCTTGTTGTTGAACCCCTTGGCTGGTTCTATAACTTAGCTATTGTGAATGATGTCTTAATATTACTGATGTGTAAACAAGTCTGTGGTACACAGGCTTAGAGTCCTTTGTGCCAACACCCAGGAATGGCGTATCTGGATCATATGCTGCTCTTAGTTAGCATTTCCTGAAATTCCTCCATATTGATTTCCATAGTATCTGGGCTAGGATACATTTCCAGCAACAATCTTAGGGTTTCTTTTTATTTACATCCTATTTTGAGTTTTTTTTTTCAAACTACCTTGCTATCCTTTTATTACTTTTGTGTGTATGGGTATTTACTTGTTTGTACGTATGTCTATGTACTACATGCATGCCTCATATCAGTGGAGGCCAAAAAAGGGCACCGAATTCCCTGGAATTAGAGTTACAGATGGTTGTGAGCTATCGTTGGAGTGCTGGGAATTGAGCCCAGGTCTGTTGGAATAGCAACAAGTGCTCTTAACTACTGAGCCATCTCTCCAGCCCGACTCATAATTTATCTCCTTTATGGCTGCCATTCTGACTGGGGTGAGATGGACCCTTGGTGTCCGTCAACGTCAGTTTCCTTTCTCTGATGGCTGGTGAGGCTGAATTTTTCATAATTCTTTCATCAGTTCTCTTTCATCTTTGATAACTGTCATTCATTTAATTGGCTCATTTTATGTTTGGGGTGTTTGATTTCCTGTGGTTTTGGTTTTGGAGTCACTTGTGTATTCTAGATACTAATTTTCTGTCTGATGTGTAGCTAGCACAGATTTTCCCATGTTGTGTAGGATGTCGGCATTCAGTTCACTGCTCGCTTTGTTGTCCGGACATTTTGATATGAGGCCCCATTTGTTGATTGCTGGCTTTATTTCCTGAGCAGCAAAGTTATATTGAGAAGTTTATCTTGAAGTGTCTTTTCCAATTTATGATCTAGCAGTTTTAGCATTTCAGGTACTATTTTGAATTCTTGGGTCCATTTTGAGATTATTTGTTCAGATTGAAAGATAAATGTATAGTTTCATACTCACATGCAAAGATATCAATTGTCCCTGTGCTATTTAGTAAGCAGGTTGTCTTCTCTAGTGTGTCTTTTGGGCCCCTTTGCAAAAAAATGAGGTGATTGTTTTTATTTGAATTGCGTTGGTACCATAGGTTATGTTACTGTGACTTTAGAAATCAGGTTCCTCCAGACTTAGCCTTTTTAGTAAGGACCGCTTTGACTCCCTAGGGTCTGTAGTACTTCCATGTGAATTTTGAGATTAACTATTTCTGTGGCATATAATACCAGAATTTTGATGATAATTGGATTGAACCCGCAGATTGCTTTTGGTAATATAGCCATTTTCATTTTATATTTACGTCTTCAGTATTTAATGTTTTATTTGTAGAGGTCAGTCACTTCTTTGGTTCAATTTATAATGAGGACTTTGCTTTGAGGAATTATGAATGGAATTGCTCTCTTGATTTTTTTCTCAGAATGCTTTTTTTCTGTCAAATAGGAAGGCTACGGATTTTTTTTTATGTGGATTGTTTTTTTGTTAATTTTGTGTCCTGTCATATTGTTGAAAGTGTTCATCAGTTTTCTTATGATGTCTTTAGGGTCCTTTATGTGTTCAGTAATTTTTGTAAATAAGGATACATTGACTTCTATTTGTATCCTCTTGTCTTACTGTTCTAGCTACTGTTCTATTGTATAATAGTTGGTAAACGTAGACAGACAGTACTTCAAGCACTCTATTATATAATTAGCAAAAGTGGACAGGCACCCTTGTCTTTTTTCTGATCTTAGTGGAAGTACTTTTTTATTTTCTCCACTTAGCATGACTGATGTCTTTTGCTATGTTGAGGCATGTTTCTTCCTTTCCTAATCTCTTCAGGACTTTTATCATGAAAGGATGGTGGAATTTTAGAAGCCTCAGATATACCTATTGAGATAATTTTGTGATTTTTCTGAAGTTTGTTTATGTAGTATATTATTGTTATTGGTTTGTATATGTTGAACCATCTCTGTATCTGTGGAGTAGAGTCAGCTTCATCATGATGAATTATCTCTTATTCAGTTTGTAAGCATTTTATTGAGAATGCCCACATATAATGTTCTTCAGAAAGATTGGTCCATAATTTCTCTTTTTTATTGTTGTGTCTTAATTAGACATGGGTTGCAGAGTAATACTGACATTGTTCAAAGGGTTTGACAGTTGTCCTCCTCTTTCTGTTTTATGGAATAGTTAGAAAAGCACAGGTGTCAGCTCTTCTTTAAAGGTCTGGTAGATCTAACAGTGAATTTGTATGGCCAGGACTTGTTTTAGCTGGGAGATTTTGTTTTTCTCTGCATCACACTCACTGCTTGCTCTAGATCTCTTTAAATTGTTTATTTTGGGGCTGGACAGGTGACAGAATCAGGTTAAGATCACTGGATGATCTTCAGAGGACCTTGGTTTAATTCTCAGTCCCCACAGTGTGGTTCCCAGCCATTTGTAATTTCAGTTTTAGGGAATCTGTTGCCTCTTATGGCATCCAAGGGTACCAGGCATACATCAGGCCAAAATGCAGGCAAAACACCCATAATATAAAAATATATCTTAAAAATAGTTTATTTCATTTTAGTTTAATTTTGACAGATCATTTCTGTCTTGAAAGCCATTTGTTTCTTTTAGATTTTATGTGTTTTATAATGATATTAGGAATTTTTTGGTATCTGTTGTATAACTATTTTCATTTTAATTCTTGATTTTATTACTTTGTTTTTGTCAGTCTTTTGATTAGTTTGACTATAGGTTTACCAGCCTTGGATAGGACTTGTCTTATTAATGACCTTTCTGCCATGATGAGCTATATCCCCCAAACTGAGAGCAACACAGACTTCATTGCAATTAAATAGCTTTTGTCAGGCATTTTGACACAGTGATCAAAAGGAAGTATTAGAAAGAGTATCATCACTGTGGTAAACTGGCCATGCGGCTCTTAGTTCCTTTGAACACGATTTCTGGGAGGAATATGTAAGATGTTGGCATTCTGGAGAAGCAACATAAGGCAGCAGAAAGTGCTTAGCGGACTATGCTAGCGGGGGTTCCCAGGTCTGAAATTCCTGGAGAGATGCAGACAATGTGGGTTATACCTACAGGGTTTTACAGGGCAAGGGAGGTTATCAGGTTCCTGGTTAAAGGCCATTCATGTAACATCTGGAAAGAACTGGGCTATGCTCTGTCTGAGTAGAAAATTTCAGTGCGGTTGAATTAAAGGTAATAGACCAATTTATTGGTGGAGGATATTTAAAAATGACATGACAGAACCAGAGAAGCAGGGAATTTACTATGAGATTTCTCTTCTGGAAATATCAGAAGTTATGTCCATGAAAGTCTCACCAATATGACTGCCTGCCCAGGATCTGAATAAGACTGGCACAGTAGATTTGCTAATATGTTTGGGGGAAGGAATGTTGCGAGCTGAAGAAATTGTCTTCTAGAAAGAGCACACCAATAGCAAATGGTCAGCCCTGAAACAAACGTTCAAGTAACATTATACAGACTGAGTGGGTTGTATTTAGGTATTTGAAATAAATAAATACATATGTGTATATTTATATAAACACACACATGTAACAACAAAAGCCATAGACTTGGAAGAGGGCAAGGTGAGGGAAGTACGTAGGAGGGCTTGGAAGGAGGGAAGGGAAGGGGTAAATATGCAATTATGTCATAATCTCAATAAAAATTTTTAAACAAACAAAATCTCAGCTTAGTGTTCAGGTTCTACGTGGCTATTACCGTTTCTGGCTACCAGTTTGAGTGATCAGAAGATGGAATAGAAAGATGAAGAATATGCAATGTGCTAAGGAGAGAAGCTTCATGCATGTGGAGAAGATTGAGATAGCAGCTACAGGCAATGGAATGGTAATTTTTGACACTAGGGACTCTAGGGACTAGTGTCATGAAAGAGAAACCTTATGCTTTGTATTTGGATAATATGAATGTTTGCTAGAGGGTAAGACTGTAGCCTCTAATATTTCTCCAGCCTATAATACAGAGGCATTTTAGTTGGATTTCAATTGCTATGAAAAAACACCATGGCTATTAGCAACTGGGGAGGAAAGGGTGTATTTCAGTTTACAATTCCACATCGTGGTTCATCATCAAAGGAAGTCAGGGCAGAAACTCACCTTAGGATCCCTGAAGCAGGAGCTGAAGCAGAGGCCATGGAAGAATGCTCTCCCTGGCTTGCTACTTGTGGTTTGGCAGCCTGCTTTGTTCTACACCCCTCTCAGAAGACCAGGGCCTCCCACACCAATCAGGAAAATGCTCCACAGGTTTGTTTCCGGAGACACCTTCTCAATCTCAGTGTTCTCTTCCCAAGTTGTCCTCTAATCTTGTTCAGTTTCTATAACCATAACCAGGACAGTGTGCTATTTTAGATTACCCTCTTGATCCTGTTGCAGTGTCTGCGTGTGCTCTAAAAAATAGTCATCAGTTGCTGAATTGTGGCCTTCTATCTCTCTGCTGGTGCTTAGACCTAAACCCAGGGCACTGTCCATGCTAGACACCTTGTCTCCCACTGAACCACGTCCCAGGGCCACCATGTGGACTTCCTTTTGATACCTTCCTCTACATCGCGCTCATGTGTGTGTATTATTCCTTAAAAAAACGAAACTAAAACAGCCTGTTTGTGCTGCATGTGTGGATGACCTCTCTGCCGGCCTTCTGATCTGGGAGGACTTTACTAGAAGTCTGTTTTCTTTCAGGCTCCAGCTCTTCATCTGATGTCCTTTTTCATCACAGAAGTGCAGCTTCAGTACCATGTGGCCTCCCCATTCCCGAGTCCATGTTTTCCTGCCCCTCTCCGCCCATCTCACAAACTAAACCTCTGAGTCTTCTCCCTGTTCAGAACACTGTCACTCTTGTTTGGATTCCTCCTCCTCCTCATCTGATAGGCTGTTCTCTTTCACCTGAGATGTGCTTCTCTGTTCTTTATTCATTCCCGGAAACTTTGCTTGTTCGCCTCCCTGCCCCCACACTCTGCTCTTCTCCTTTTGGGAGAGTCCATTGAGTTTCATGGCTTTAGGTATTTACTTAATTTTATGTAATGTAAATGGTAACTGAAATCTTCAAGGGCACATAATTTTCCTGAATTTCACACTTGGGTGTTACTTAACGTTGTTGTTGGAATTTTACATCAGCACTTGTGGGACTTTAACACCAAAGACCCAAATTACTGTTTATTCTCTCTCCCCCTATTGTTTTTGTTATTAGAATTACTTAAAAGTATACGATGAAGTTTATCACAAAGCTATGAACGTGAGTTTTCCCTACTTTTATCATTCTTTTGATGCCATTGTGTAATTCTTGCTAAGTCATATTGATTTAATCTCCTGAAACATGTATTTTTGTCTGTTTACTCTTTGCTAATACCTTTATTTATTTATTCTTAAAAGATTTATTTTTAATTTTAACTGTGTACATTGCACTCATGTGTTTTTATGGGGGTGTGTGCCTGTGGAGGCCAGAAAAGGCTTCTGATCCTGTGGACCTGGCGTATGGGCAGTTGTGAGTCTTCTGACCTGAGTGCGGGGAACTGAACTTGGGTCCTCTGGAAGAAAAGTATGTGCCCTTCCCTCCTCAGTCTTTTCTCTAGCCCCTGCTTCATAATTTTGAAATGGAGTTTCTTACTTCAGACTTTGACCTTGTTTCATCAACTTTCTGTCCCACTATCATGGTCCGTTCTTGAAAATTCATGTTCAATTGCATTGTCTTTCTAAAATCCCTCCACTATCTTCCCCATGGCCTCAAATCCCCTCTGTGCCGTATTCCTCCGTGGTCTAATACTTTTATCCTCTGAGCTATCCCACTTGTCCTCCAGTGCTCTGATTATACTATGTTGTTATAGAACACTGAATGGAAAGACAAGTTTCATGCTACTTACTGTAGTTTTCAAGGGATGTGTGTGTATGTATCTGTTTATATATGTGTATGTATAGTGTATATATGTGTATACATGTATTCATGTTTATGTGAGTTGTGGGTGTCTGTATATGTATATGTGTAGTGTATATATGTGTGTACATGTATGCATGTTTATATGAGTTGTGTGTATAGGTGTACATGTGTGAGGGTGCATGTACATGTGGAAACCTGAGTTCAACTTCAGATGTCATTTCTTGGGGACCACCTTCCTTTCTTGTGACAGGACCTTAAGCTGGCCTGAAACTTGCTGAATAGGCTAATCTGTAAGGCCAGGGAGTCTCAGGAGCATATTGTCTTTGCTTTCTCTGAGCTGAGATTATAAGCATGTGCTGCAATGCTGTTTATTGTTGTTTGTTCTTAATGTATTCTGGGAATGAAATTCAATTCTTTGTTCTTTCAAGGTAAACAGTTTATTAACTGAATTATCTCCCTTGCCCTTTTGAATAATTCTAAATACCAGTGAAAAGATTAGGATCTTATAAAATTGATGCTCAATATAGTTTGAACATATGGGTGATGGATAAATGAATGGGGAATATATAATGTATGATTCTTGTTTTAGAGATTCTAATTTTAGTTGCAAGCATGATTGTAATCAGTATGACCTACTGTATGTAGTACAAACTAAATATCCCTTCATCAAAATGCTTGGGACCAGAACTATGCCCAATGTATTTTTAGTCTTTATTCAATATTGGGACATTTCCATAAACTTTATGTGTGTTGCCTTTTTATATGGTTGCTTTTGTTTTATTTCTGTAGCTGTGACAAACAGCAGCAGATGGGAGGAAAGTTTATTAGGCTGACAAGTCCAGGTTACAGTTTATTATTATGGGGGACATCAAGGCAGGAACTTAAAACAGCACATCCACAGTTAATAACAGAGAATAAAAACAGATCTATGCTCATTTGATCTAAGGTAGCACTTCCACATTTATTACACACAGAATAAAAGCAGATCCATGCTTGTTTGCTCTCCCACTGTTCTGGACCGCTGTCTAGAGAATTTTACCACTTACTTTGGCCAGGGTCTTTGTACATAAATTAACAATCCAAATGATTTCCCTAAGACATGCCCACAAGCCAACCTGATCTAGATATTTCTCATTAAGACTCTCTGCCTAGGGGTTTATAGGTTGCATTAAGTTGACAGTTAAAACCAGCACAGTGGTAAAAATTAAATAACTTTTTTGTTGCTTTCTTTTGAAGTCTCTCTTTGGTGATGAGTAAATTTGGCAGTATGATGGTATTTTTAGATTGAACACTGGCAACAGTGGTTACCAATTTTATAATGACTACTCCCCCTCTGATCTACTGTACAAGATTATTGGAAATATTGAGGAAAATAAATATTAAAAGTTTATATCAGCAGTTTCTACAGCATAGATGATAAGATGTTTGATTGTCAGGAGGGATTGAAGACAAGTATTGTGAAATACATTATTATTAAAGTAAATGGTCTTTTTTACTTCTATTTTCAGGAGACAAGCAAAAAAGTTTCTTCTACTCAGGACAAGAGCTGCAGTATATTTATTTCATTCACTCGTTGTGCCTTTTAGGAAGATTGTTGATATATACACAAGGCAGAAAACTATTTCCCATAAAGCTGAAGAATAGAAAAGGTAAGTGCTATTAGAATAAGTGAGTAGGTAAAGGTATGATACAATTTATAGTATACAGGTTCATATTTATAAATTTGGCTTAGTATTGTCATAGTCACTGTTCTGTTGCTGTGAAGAGACACTATGACCATAGCAACTCTTATACAAGAAAACATTTAATTGGGGCTTGCTACAGTTTCAGAGGTTTATTTAGTTCTTTGTCATCATGGCTGGGAGCATGGTGGCATGCAGGCAGACATCATGCTGGAGAAGCATCCAGATAGACAGGCAACAGGAAGAGAGAGACACTCGGCTTGGATCAGGCTTTTAAAACCTCAAAGCCCAGCCCTGGTGACATACTTCCTCCAACAAAGCCACACCCATTCCTACAAGGCCACACCTCCTAATGCTTCTAATGCTTCCATTTCCTGATTAAGCTTTTAAATCTATGAGAATACCACAGTATCTGCTTGGCACCATTAGTTTGCTCTTTATTCCTGTGATTAAATACTGTGATCAAAAACAACTTGAGGGGGAGAGGCTTTATTTCATCTTATAACTTAAAGTCCTCCATGAAGGAAAATCAGAGAAGGAATTCAGTACAAAAACTTGGAGAACACAATACTGAAACCTAAAGCAGAGGCCTTGGAGGAGTGCTACTTACTGACTTTGTATCCCTTGGCTTGCTCATCCTGCTTTCTTATACACCACAGGAAAATCTGCCAAGGGGTGGTGCTACCCACAATGGGCTGTGCTCTCTCCATCAATCATCAGGCAATAAAATGCCCTATAGGCTTGCCTATAGGCAATCTGATAGAGGCTCTCAGGTTATTCTAGCTTGTATTAAGTCTACAAAGGAAACTCAACTAGCATAGGATCTTAGCTACATACCTTGTAGTCATATGTACTGTTGCAATTTTTTTCTTTCTGTCTTTATTCTTTTCAGTATCAGTATATGCTTATTACTGTATATGTATTTAATTATTCTCTTATTTCATTTTTTCTAAAACTCTAGACCAGACATACTTGGTGATTCAGTTCTGGATATGAAACTAGAAGACCATTTAAAAATTTGGGTTAGCCTAAGGATTGTCTATGACCTTTCAGGGAAGGGTGGGATCACTCCTGGGCTGCTGGTCCCAGATTCTATAAGAAAGCAGGCTAAGCAAGCCTCAAGGGCAAACCAGTAAGCTGCCCTCCTCCATAGCTTCTGCATCAGCTCCTGTCTCCAGGTGGCTTCCCAGAGTTTCTGCCATGATTTTTCTCAGTGACAGGCTTAGGAGCTTTAGGTGAAGTAAACTCTTTCCTCCCCAAGTTGCTTTTGAGTATGGTGTTTTATCTTAGCAACAGAAAATGGAACTAAGCCAGAAATTGGTACTAGGTCATGGGGTGTTGGTGTGACAGGCCTGACCACATTGTTTGGAGGAGGATTGTAGACAGACTTTGGAACTTTGGGCTTGCAAAGCCATTGAGTGCTCAAAGCTCTGTGGGCATTTAGAATGTTGAGAGCAATGCAGGTGGTGGAGGCCTGGCTTGTAACTTTTCAGAGTCCCTTAACAATTCTACCGGGACAGTTTAAGTGATCGTTTGAATTAAGAATCATTGAAAAGCAACCTTTACTCTGCTGGCCAGCTAGGGCTGAAAAATCAGCTGTGATTAGAAGGGAAGAGAACCAGTGAGGCAGAATCTTCTGGGGATGTGCTTCCTCAGGGTCAGCACACAGAAGCTGTGGTCTAGAGGTGCCCAAAGCTCTCCCTGGTGCTGGCAGCGGAACTTGATAATGAGCAAGAGTCCACTGGGTGTTTCTGTTTTTTAAAGCGTGATGGGGTCCTGGAGAACAGCCAAGGTGTGGCATGTGAGAGTGTAATAGAAGCCCGTTGGTGAAGGAGCAGCATTAATTATAGAAGGAGCCCCAAGGTTGGAGATGGCATGGAGAGAGGTTAAGGGGTAACATCATGTGGAAGGGTCAGAGGCCACCAAAGAGAGCCTTGGGGAAGCTATTGATGAAGATATAGCCCAGCTACAGGAGAGAGTCTGGTATCTTAGAGACTAGTACCTTGGAACTACCTCCAAGGTGGTAGTGGATGAGAGCCACTCAGCCTTCAGGACAAGCTGTTTGTGATGTGCATGGCAGAGCTGGCCAAATGGAGTCCTTTGGAGTCAGAGGATTGTGACTGGGTCCCATACATCAGATATTGAACTTTTTACACCACCAAATGTTTGCCGTGCCTATATTTGATTATGATAGTCCTGAGTCTCCCTTCTTGAAGTAAGAAAACGTGAAACTTATTTTGTCTTTTATAGGAGTCCACAGTTGAGAGATTTGAATTTTTGAGAGGCTTAAGAATTTTACAGATATTTTGGACATTGTAGAGGGACATCAGATATTTTACAGAGACTGAATATTTTAGGATTTTGCATATCTTAAAGACATTAAACTTCCAATGTATTTGAATTTTTAAACACTGTGGGACCTTTAAAGTTATATTAAGTTTTATACTGGGATATTAATATGACAACATGGGGATTTCTGTCTTAGTTCAGTTTTCTGCTGCTGTGATAAACACCATGACCAAAAGCCACCTGGGGAGGGAAGGGCTTACTTTACCTTAAAGCTTCTAAGTCCATCACTGAGGAAACTGGAAGGAACTCAGGACAGCAACCTGAAGACAGGAGCTGATGCAGAGGCCATGGAGGATCGTTGCTTACTGACTTGCCCTTATAGCTTGCTCAGCCTTTGCTCTTAAAGAACCCAGGATAACCAGCCCAGGGATGACAACATGCAGAATGAACTTGTTCCTCACATTTCCATCACGAATTAAGAATATGCCATACAGGCTTACCTTCAGCCTTATCTTAGGAAGGCATTTTCACAGCCGAGGTTCTGTCCTCTGAAGTGATTTTCTAGCTTGTGTCAAGTTGACACAAAACAGCCAGCACATAGGATGATGCTGGGGAGAGCATCATATCGTGTATTACTATACTGTTTTTACTCTGTCTCATTTAATTTAGCAAATTTGAGATCAGTTATCATCTTTTATTCTCTACAGATATTTATTTTATCTGTACTAAGAATGCATTATAGAGCAGAGTTCAGTACACTTTCTGAAAGCTGACAGTGATTATTATGGCCTTGTTGGATAACATAGTATGTCTATGGTTGTATAGAAAGTTAACACAGCCGTCCCCAGACTGCTTTTCTTAGAGTAGCTTGTTTGCAAGCTTGACTCTTGGTTGGCATATGGGGAGTTGAACTCCTGCTAGTTATAGCACTGACGAAGGTACTTAAACTGTGTCTACTACCCCCTGTGCCTAAACTGTACAACATTAGCATTTATGTCAAACACCAGTTTTGTTTTTGGAGTTGAAAATTTAGACATGTACTGGACAGAGGGTGTGTCTGTGTTCACAACCCCCCCAAGAAAAACCTTGGTTACTGCATCTCTAGTGGGCTTTTCTAGAGGAATTGAATGCATTCTGCATGGATCCCCTGGGAGAGGCCCTCAGAAACTAGTGCCTGATTAGCTCTGGATTTTGCCTTCAGTAACCTTTCTGTTTGATTTTGCTTTGCATAGTTTTATTGTAATGTGTCATGTGATCATGATTGTATGGGGCCTGTGGGTCTTCCGACTCAATCAAATCAGAACATGGGTTTTAGGACCTCTGACACAGTTTAATAACGGAAAATCCATTCTTAGCTTGTCAGCCTTACAAAATCTGGTCATATGAACTGTAGTTTATTGATGCTGTTACCGAGTCTATTTGTTGCGAACCCTCTTGTCTAGTTGTTTTATTTGCCCTAATCTATTTGAGCTCCTTGAGAACTGACAGGGCATTATGTACTTCTCTTACAATGTTCAAGGCTGTGTCGTTTAGTTTAAGACAGTGTGGGGACATCATGAGCTCTTCAGTGACAGAGGTACTATTTCATATGGTATTGCTGGATGTTGCAGAACTAGAAAGACCAGTGAATAGCCTTGATAATTTTGCAGGTATTCATCTTAACTTTACATGCCTCTTATCTATAATAAACTTAGCATTTTATGTTCTTTATAATGACTGTATTTTGCTCTATCTAGAATCACAGCTCATTTCAAAACTGAATTTGAGAATGAGGAGACCAGCAATCAACTTTAGATTATATAGTTTTTTTTTTTTCTCCAGAATGTTTTCATGAAAGCTTCTACAGCAAGTCTTGGTAAACTGTAGCCTGTGGGCCAAACCTGGCCTGCCATCTGCTTTGTGTTCCTGTGAACTAGACATGTCTTTTACCTCTTAAAAAAGAGACTGTTTTGTGGCATGTGTAAAACATGAATGGTCACTACTCATGGTTCTCACTCAGCATTTATTTGTTGATTGTATATGTCCACCTCATGCTCCAGTAGCCAGCCCGAGTGCTTGTGATGATTTGGACAGAAGGCTTAAGTTATTGTAGTCTTTCATGGAAAAAATGCTGACCTTGTTCTACCATGCTAAAAAAGCTAGCTGGTCCAATATAGTAAGCTGAATTTTACTTGTGATAATTGATTTAACTCAAATAGCCATGCTAAGACTCGTGCATCTGTCATGGATTTAAATGATCAGCTTCAAACAGATGGCAGAACTATGCCTTAGCATAGCATGACAGTTGGCGTGGGAGCTGCCTTCTAATGGTGTTCTGGAGTAGTGGGTTCACAGTGGGTTTACACTGAAACTGTGATGCAATCTTACAAGTGAGTAGAAGGTAGATAAATGTTTCTTAGCTTGTAAGCATGTTACAAATTACTTCTTTTTTTTTCTTTTGTAAAGATTCAGTATCTCTCAAAAATCTGCTGGTTTTGTTTACTCAACTCATCTATTATTCACCAAGTTGTCCAAAGATGACATCAGTTGCTTATTCAGGTAAATGCCCCATTCCTAAATTGATTGGTTGATTGATTAACTGTGGTACTGGAAACTCAACTCATGATGCATCTCTTTTAAATGGAGGAAAAGAAATTAAACATTTGGACATTCTCTTGTCTTGATGCTCTGAGTTATTTAGCAATAAATATCTGAGTCTTCTTTTCTCTTGGTGCTTTGAGTTACTTATCTATTTTGGTAAATAGGTTATTTATTTATTTAATTCTTTTTACTGAGCTATAAATTTTTCTCTGTTCCCCTCTCCTCTCTTCCTTCCCTCTCGTTTTTCATCCTCTCCCATGACCCCCATGCTCCAAATTTACTCAGGAGATCTTGGGAAAAAAAAAGATAAATAGGTTTTATTAAGACTCTGCGTTATTTGTAAGACATAACATTGGTTCTGAAGTCAACCATAGAGTTCAGTTTTGTTCATAGATGTTTAAAGACTTCTCTATTCTATTAATGTTTTAATTTGGAGTCTGTTTGGCTGAGAATTTTAATGTTTTCTTAATATCAAGATTCTCAAGTCATATCAAGAGGAATTTGATTGATAGATGTGCTTCCATTTGATTATTTTCTACCCTTTGCTCTTTCTAAGGTATTTTGTTTAGCTTGTTTGTTTTTGGTTTGTCTTTGTCACGGTTGCTATTTAGGTGATGAAATTCCATGATCAAAGCAACTTGTGGAGGGCAGGGTTTATTTGGCTTTCATTTCCATATCAGTGTTCGTCATCATAGGGAGTCAGGGCAGAAACCAGGAAGCAGGAGGCCATGGAAGGGTGCTCCTTACTGGCTTGTTCAGCCTGCTTTCTTACAGAACCCAGAGCCATCTTGCTCAGTGGTGGCCCCACCCACAAAGGACTGGGTCTTTCCACATCAGTCAAGTTAGAGAATTCTTTTCAGTTCTGTTGATAGCCTGATCTTTGTGAGGTATTTTCCTCTCAATTAACTCTACCTTGTGTCAAGTTGACATAAAGCCAGCCAGCACAACTGATCCCTTGTCTACTTGATACACAAACATCACTTTTAAGGCACAACCTTTCCTTTCTCATATATCCCCAAGATCTCACACTAGTAGGAACATCACAATATAGAATATCCCAAAATTTAAAGGTTCCAGAGTTTTTAAAAATTTAAGCATATCAAAATTCAGTCTCTTCCCTCACCAGCTGCAGTACTTGGGAGAGTGGCCTCTCCACTTGCCTGGGCAACACTGTAGAGCTAGCCATACAGGTATATATATGTGTGGGAAAGCCAATCCTGAGGAAGTGAAAGCAGAAGTGGCCCTTCCCCTTGCTCATAGTGTCATGGAATGAACTAGCAAGGGCAATACTGGAGAGCTCACCCTGGTATTGAAGACAGGAGACCTGGCAGGCTGACCAGCCCTGAAACTTCCTAGGCCCAGATCCAGGGTTATGACTTGGCCTACCCCAACACGCACCCCATCTGTGATCTGCTGGAGCACATGAAGGGTCTTGTCCTGCAGACCCGAAGATGTAGGATCTCCGCCACACATGGCAGCAATAGGATATCCAAGAGCAGTTCCAGTGAGGGCCCAGGATCAATAGTGTAGCAGAAACCAGAGGCCTTGAACCAGACCACTGACTCCTTGCAATGTACACTTGCACATAAAATCTGTGGATAAGAGGGTTTACTGCACGACTCACAATGGGACATTATAACTTTCATGATGAGATTTTTCTTCTTTACTCTTAAATTTTATTTTAGTTTCGTGGTGGGGAAGTTGAAAGGGAAGAGGGTGGATATGAAGAAATAGGATATGAATGGGATTGAGATGCATGATGTGAAAGACATATAGAATAAATAAGAAAGTTTAAATAATAAAAAAAACTCAATCTCTTTAAAATAAAATCTAAAATCTTTTAAACTTCAGAGTCTCTCAACTATGGGCTCCTTTCAAAAAAAAAAGTAAATAAAATACTTTAAGGCACAATCATATGGTTCAAATCTAAATTTTAGTTGTTTTGGGGATTTTTTTGTTAAGTGTAAAGAAAAAAGTCCTTTATGTTTTATTCTAAATTGCTATTTGTTCTTATGTATGTTAACCAGCTTATAAAAATGTTTCATATTATTGCCATTTAAAATAACTTCTACTTTTCTTTTGTATAGCAATAAAAATCTCCAAAGTAAAACATAATACCAGAAATAGAAATGTAGACCATAGTCTTTTAAAATTGGGAACTAGCTTGGAAATGCTAGAACATATTCTGAGAGGAAGTGGAATAAGTAAGAGAAAAAATGGATTGGGTTACATATTAGTCATGGAAGCTATATGTACCAGGTAGTTGGTATTTTCTGTGTGGTTATAATAGTGCGCTGCTCTTCACTGGGATTCCGAGTTTCTCTCTGTCTTTACACAAATGGTGTACTAGCTTAAGACCCCTCCTGTGTATTTCTATAGCATTGCTCATAGTGAAAATGGTCTTTCCTTATTAAAAATAATCAATATTTTGACTTATTGTCTAGTCGACTGTCTGTCTTTCTTCTCAGGCCGCAATGCTCTGTGCATTGTTCAATAGGTGTTTACTTGATCGTGTGAGTGGCCAAGTGCACTTTGATAGGTGTTTCTCACTGGAAACAGGGTTTCTCATCCGGAACTGATTGAAAAATCACTAACGCCTTTCTTTTTCAGTCGGGTGTGAACTTGAAGTTAACATGCTTACGGAATGAAGACTACTGTAACCTGAATTTAAAAACCTTAGTAGTTTTGTACTCTTTCTTTTTAGGGCGCTCATATCACATTAGTGTGAGGAGGGTAGATTAGCTATCTAATATTAAATCATCACATTTATTTCAGTGGTCATTCCAGCCATGTTACAAAAGTGCTTCCACCTGTGGCTTTCTAACTCTTGTTCTAAAGGATGGGATGGTCATAGGAACGCCCCAGTTCTCCCTGCCTTTCAGGATAGCAGTGTGTCACCTTCTGAAAGTGTCAGTTCTTGTGTGCTTTCGTTTCGCTCAGAGTTCTTTCTAAGTGCTTCACTTAACTTCTGCTAACCTCATACACCCGAGTACAGAAAGAACGTGAACAAAATGAACATAACGAACTTGTGTTCTAGGAGGGAAAAGTCGAGTCTTTCAGCTTTATCTTCCATATCAAGGCTTCATTTGGTGTTTGACTGAGAAATGGTATATTGTCTTTTGTCATTTTTTTTTTATTAGCTTCAAGAGATAGTAAGCTGATTGAGATAAGAAGTTTCAGGTTCTAATTCTCATCTTTGGGCTTTAGTTGTATGGTCTTTGAACAGCTGAATTCCCTGAACACTTGGTGGAGCAGGAAATATTGCACAGTGAAAAGCCCCACTGAGCAGTGTCCTGACTCTGACCTTCTTTCTGCTTCTCAGAGAACTACTCTCCGGCAAGTATGGTGACTGATGTCCTGCAGATCCTCTGCGACCAGAAAGAATGTGCCGTGGAGTGCTTGTACAACAGCACTGTGACAGAGACACTTCTCCAGCCCATTCATAACCTGATGAAAGGAACCGCGGTGGGTGTCGCCAGAGAGGAAAGGAGCCTCTTCAATGGCCAATATTCAGGGGATCTTTATTTCTGACATGGCTGAGATATTTTCTTACCGATAGTTCTTACATGAATCTTTGCTGTATGGATCATTGTTAAATCATAGTTTATGCAGGCATTTGATGCATTAGTTATGACAGGAGGCAGGAATGCACATACACATACTACATTTTATTTTTATTTTTATCAAGCTTAGGCCTGCTGGTGTGAAAAACATAGAAAAAAGTTATTCTATTAAGAAGCCATTTGTCTTGTGAATGCAATAAATCTTGTTAATGTCTTATATATTTTAATGATAGTTTTATAGCTTTTGGAAATACAATTGTTTTCCTGAAGAGCCAACTGTGCCACGTAGAAAGAACTAATGTGAGAAAAAAAGGCATGTACAGCCCCAGAATTGATGTCTTCACAGATGTTCACACTGTGTGCCGTCAACAGCCACGCTGTCTTCCCAGTTCACACAGTGACCTCAGAGCTGAACAGCCATGCTGTCTTTCCTTTCACACAGTGTGATCTCAGAGCTGAACAGCTATGCTGTCTCCCCAGTTCACACAGTGTGATCTCAGAGCTGAACAGCCACACTGCCTTTCCAGTTCACACCACCATGCTGCCTTCCCAGTTCACACAGTGTGATCTCAGATCTGAACAGTCACACCGCCTTCCCAGTTCACACCCACGCTGCCCTCCCAGTTCACACCCCACGCTGCCTTCCCAGTTCACACAGTGAGATCTCAGAGCTGAACAGCCATGCTGTCTTCACAGCTTACACAGTGTGCTTCCTGGTGCTAGAGAATTTCCCCGGAGAATAAGCTGAGGCCGAGGGAAGTGACCTGTTCATAGCAGACACCCAGCACTTGGTGAAGCTGCTGTCCTCACCAGGATGGCCATGTGTCCAATACAGCAGTCCACTTCTCTGACTTAAACTTGGTGTTGTTGACTTTTGAGTGCATGACAAGGTTCATGTCTGTTACCTGCTTTGTAGCATCTTTTATCGTCTCTCCTCCCTCTTGGGCCACACATTGTTGACTGCTGCTTGCTGTAAAATGTCACTGTTTTAAACTTTGTGTTTACCAAATTTTCTAAACAAGTTTATGTATTTTTTGTTTATTAAGTCCCCCTTCACCAAATGAAACCTGCCCCACATGGAAACATCCCTCCTATGCAGACTAAGGTGCTTTTTCTTTTTCTTGTATCCTTGTGCTGTGTCCTTCTGCAGTTTTCCTTGTATTTGAATTATTATTTGCAGTTTTGAGTATTGCACATATCTATTTGGGAAGGTATGCACATACGGTGGTGTACATGTAATCACTTGTCCAATTCTTTTTTCTTTTTCCACCATGTGGGACTTAGAGATTGACCTCAGGTCATCAGACTTGATGGCAAATGTCCTTACCCTCTATACCATCTTGCTGGCTTTGATTTGTCCTTCTTGAGTATAAGCTAGTTCACTGATACACAGTAAACAACTATCTAGTACCTATTTAAGATATCCAGCATAGTCTTCTGAGCCACTGGTCTGGCAGTGCTGTTTTAGATATTAATAATCCAGAAGACAATCAAGTATATTTTTGTAAAGGGAGACTGTGCTTTCGTTTTCTGGGCACCCTGATCTGAATAATCACACCAAAACAATATTAATTACAACACTGTTTGACCAGTGGCTCAGGAATATTCCTAGCTAGCTCTTACATCTTAATTTAACCCAAGTCTATATTAATCTGTGTATCTCCATGAAGCTGTGGCTTATTGGTTAGGTTCTAGTTTCCTTCTCCTTTGGAAGCTCTCTGATTCTGCCACTTTTCCGTTCTGTCTCTGCTTGGATTCCCTACCTTGCTATTTTCTGCCCTGCCATAGGTCAAAGCAGCTTATTTATTAACCAATAGTAATAAATCATATTCATGGTATACAGAGGGGAATTCCATATTATCTCCCCTTTTCTGTCTAAATAAAAGGAAGGTTTTTACTTTACCGTAGTAAAGTTACATATACAGAACAGTTCCATGCTATTGCCTGTAAGAAGGTTACTCTGATCACTCTCTGTGGAGCAGATATTTAGCATGAGCAGCACAAAGTTCTATAGGAAAACTGTGTGTCTGACAGAATATTTGTGTACAAATAGAACTTTAATATATGTGAGATATGTAACACATTCTAGATAAAAGTTTCAAGAAAAGTGGTTTATATGAAAATAGATTATGTATGAAAATTGTGAGATAATCATGTGTGTATCTACATCTTTATATTTTCTGTATACATATGTACAATCAGAACACAGACAAACACATACACATATATACACACATACATAATTACATGTATAAACACACATATATACATAGGTACATACATAAACACATATGCATACAAACATGCATACACAGGTATATACCAACACACACGTATATTTTTTTCTTGGGGCAGGGTCTCTAGGCTGACTTCAGACTCTCAGTCTTCCTGCCTCATTTAGCCTTATGAGTGCTGGAATTACTATTGATATGTGTACTTATTTTCCTTTCTTATTGGTGTTACAAAATAACTAAAGAAGATAATGTAAAAGAGAAAGGGATAGGCATCTAATATCTAATTTCAGATATCTAGAGTCATGTAGTGACCCATTACCACACTGGCGCTCTGCACTGGGTATTATAAGAGAACAAGGCATGTTTACTTTGGCTCCTAATACAAGAGACAGTCCGTCATTGTAGGGGCATAGAAGCTGTTCGCATTGTATCCACAGTTAAGAAACAGAGACTAATACATGCTGCGCTCAGCAGCTTTTCTACACGTCCAGAATCCAAACCAGGGAATGACACCCCCTCCAGTGGACGGATCACCACTACCACATCAGTTAATGAAGAGAATCACTGCAGGTGTCTCAAGGCCTGGTACTTCTCCATTCTTTCAAGTTCACAATTAACAGTAATCATCATCATCCTCATTCACACACATGTGCACGTGTGTGCCTGCACACACAGTAAATGTAATGTGTATGTGTGGGGTGCAGACATGTATGTGAAGATATGCATGCCTGTGTGTGCCTTGGGGAGCACAGAGCACTTTGTGTATCCTTCTAGTCCTCTTTTCCATATTATTCCATTGAGACAGGTACTCTGCTGGAACCTGGAGCTACCCAGGAAGCCCCAGCATTCTCCCGTCACTTCCCGAGTCACAGACATGTACAGTCATGCCTAGTTTTAAGTGTGGGTCTTGGGAACTTGAACTCGGTTCTTCATGCTTTGTTAGCAGGTACTCTTACCCACTGAACCATCTTTCTAGTCCCCACCATATATAATTATAGAGGACTATACCTGATTCATATTCATTAGTGGAATTCATGAAAATTTTAATATTGTATTAGTTGTAAGATGCATGTTTTAAAATACAGAGAATATGGACATTAGCGTTCATGCAGGAAGAAAGCAATAAGTAGACCCTGAAAATAACAGGCGTTTCTGTAAGTTGACTTCAGCATTAACTTAATGTCCAGGTTTCATTATTTTCTTTATGCTATTATATATTGGCTAAGATGTATTAACAATTCCATTTAAAGTGAGCAGATATGACTGATCAACTTTGTTGTCCATGTGGTTGATATTATTGACTATTAGTGAGCTCATGAACTGGCTGTCTCTGCTCAATCTTTGTCCAGTTAGGTAAATAAGGGGATGGTACCGATATAACCAAGTTAGTGTATTAGATACCATATATATCATGAAGAACTTGCAGAAATATGGTACCTGAAAAATACAAGACAATGCAGATAGGGAGAGGGCTACAGCATTAGGCATCCAAAACTACACATGAAGCTGTAATACAGACATGATTCTCAATAACTGACTTAGGTGAAAATCTTGGATTTATTTGCTCCTCAACTCCGCTGGTGAAAGAATATAATCTAATGACACATTTAACCCAGACATATTATTTCACAAGCAGAAGTCCTTAAGGTTTCTGTTGTTGTTGTAGCTGTACAATTTTATTCTACTACGTTCCACCCCTGCTACATCATAAAATTAAATGATTTGTCTTGTCGTTTTTTTAAAAATGTGCAGGCCGCTCCAGATTGCTCTGAAACAGCTTTAATTCACATAGCGGATATTTTGGCAAGAATTGCTTCTGTAGAAGAAGGACTTACGTTGCTTCTTTATGGAGAAAACATGAACTCTTCTGAAGAAGAAAGGTGTGTGGACATGTTAGCCTGTGTTCGGGGTGGATAGGTTTCCCAAGCAGGCACTAGCGACACATTAAGCCATCTTTGATGTGATCTCTTAAAATATTTATCTATTGTCTTTACGTGTATATGTGTGTGCCTGCACAAGTTTATGTGCACCATGTGCTTGCAGGCATCCCTGGAGGGTAGAAGAGGGTGTGGGATGTCCTGAAGGTGGCATTACTACTTACTTCCAAAGATTACTGCATAATCTTAGCTCACAGTAAGGGTAGCGGGCGTCATTCCAGATGGGAACCCACACCTTTTCACCTGCTCCCCAAGACCCTCTGACAAACCCCAGACTTCTGAAACCACAGGTAATTGGGTTCAGTCAAACAGATTCAGAGGAGAAGCCACACCCCCTTTCCTCCTCTGCTGTCACCCAGTCCTAGTTCCTCCTTTGCAGTGGTAAAGTCTTGTGGCATTTAGGCTTCTAGGCTTTCTCTGTACTTCTGATGGCGCAATACTCGGCCAATCCCGTGAAACTGTAAATGTGTCTACTCTGGTTTATAAAATGGCATCATGTACTTTACCCTAAATCTCAGTCCTTAAATACAACATGGGTATTTTCTTGGATGAATACGGAATGTAACATCATTTTATTGTAGCATTATGTTCTTACTTAGTTTATTTTAATTTATTCAGATTCCCCCCTCCCCTTAACAGCAGGCTCTGCCTCAGATCTTACCTCCATAAATGACACTGTAATGAGCAGTCTTTAGCCTATTGCTAAGATGAATTATGTTAATTGTTTTTCAGAAGAATTGGGCTTAAAAATATTTATTTATTTTGTATATGAGAGCTCTATTTGCATGTATGCCTACATGAGAGAAGAGGGCATCAGATTCCATTACAGATGTCTGTGAACCACCATGTGGTTGCTGGGAATTGAACTCAGGATCTCTGGAAGAACAGCCAGTTCTATTAACCACTGATCCATCTCTCCAGCCCTGACATTAATTGTTTTCTAAGTGCCAAGCAGCCTACTCAGGGAGTAAGTTACACTTGATTATGAATATTCCTTTTCACCATTTTGGCTTTGAGTTTCTCATGGTTATAGGTATCTCTGCCATGCTGACACATAATATCAACCGCTGAACCCTGAATATCTTTGTTTTTTTTTTTGATATTTACTACAAGCTTATTTCATGAATTAGAAATGATTTCTTCTGTTTCTGTCTTCTGAAAGGAATTGTGGAGAACTGTTATAATTTCTATAAATTTTTGATAGAATCCATTTGTGAGACAATGAGAACCTGGTGTTACCTAATTCTTTTAATTGCTTAATTTCTTTATTAGATATATAGACCTGTTCAGAGTTATTTCCTTTGGTATGAAACTTAACAGGTTGTATCTTTCAGAGAAATGGTGAAGTTACTTATTTATGTCTTCGAGTTGCCAGTAATATGCTCTGGCTATCTGGTTATTGCTGGGCTACCAGTGGTGAAAATCTCTGCTCTTGTTCTGGTACTAATCATTTTAACTTCACTGTTGTTGTTGTTATTATTATTATTATTATTATTATTATTGTGCTAATTTGAAACTTAACAATTTTGTGGCTTTTTCCAGAAAATCAATTCTTGATCTTGTTGATTATGTGTGTATATTTGCATGTGTGTGGTGTGTGCGCACATACATGTATTCACAGGCGTACACATGCTATGATATATGTGTAGGTATCAAAGGACAACATTGTGTGCTTGAAGTAGAACATCTTATTCCTGTTGGAGCACAGTAAATTTGTTCAGTTCCATGGATAATGAAATTGTCATCCCATACTTTCTCATTTCCCTCCAGCTTTTCTTTATTTGTTGCCTTGGTTTCTTTTATTACTCCTTAGATGTTGGTAACCGTTACAAGGGCAGTTGTCACTTGTGGTCTTTATATTGTGTAGAAAATGCCATGACATTTTTCTGGGAAAGCCCTAATGAAGCCTCTTGCAGTTACCTGCCTGAAAAAATACAAGCCTCTCAGCAGGAGACTGAGTGGAAGCTGGGCTGGATCACGAGCATCAGTGTGTCCTCTTGATTTGATCTTCCCTTTGCTTCCCTTCCCTTATACATTTAGTTTGCCGTATTTACCTGGAGATGTTAAGTATATAATGATTTTTTTAATTAGGAAGATTTATCTTTTGTCATGAATTCTAAGACCTCCTTATCTATTAACTTAATCCTTTGGAAATTTATTTTTTTTTAATTTTTTAAAAAATAAGACCTTACTAATAACACAAGCCAGCCTTGAACTGTGATTCCTCCAAGTAATCAGTTCTAACTCTATGTAAGTTCATTAAATTGCATGGACTTTGAGTTTGCTTAATTTTGATGTGTGATGTTTTATTTGTTAGTTTTTATAAAAAAGTTTATAAAATTAAAAAACATAAAGTTTCTTGTTAGAAAAATTTTTAAAAAATGAGTGCCACTATGCCTGGCATTAATAATTTAAAACTAATACATTTTTATGTTTCTATATGAATATCAATAATATTTCTAGATGAAATCAGGGTTATGCCAGTAACATGTGATGTGTATGTGGATTTATTTTCAAAGAAAGCTTTTTTCATATTGAAGCTGAACAAACAAGATGTTAATTACCAGAAGTGCCTTCCAAATCATCATTGTGTAAAGTTTGTATCAATTGTTTTCTTAGGGAAAATACTAGAATTTTTGCAAATGCAATTAACAAGAGTCTGGCTCATTAAACTTTGTTTTTCACAATGGAGCAGTGAGCAGCTAGCTAGCTGTAAAAAGGAATTAGGGGACCAGAAAATGACTTAGCAGGGAAACAAGCCACCTGCCAAGCCTGATGACCTGTGTTTAATTCCTGGTACTCACATGGCAGAACCAGAGAGCTGGTTCTGGCAATTGTCCTCTGATCTCCAGGTTGTCCTGTGACTTACACACACAGACACACACAGACAGACAGACAGACAGACAGACACACACACACACAGACACACACACTCACACTCAACACACACACACATACACATGCATAAACACACACACAGACACACAAGAATTTAGGAATATTTTTATGAAGTGCTTTGGCATTAGCTTTATGACAATGTATGTTTATAGAACCCCGCCTTTTGTAGGACAGGACAGTTGGGTCATCCATTTGCTTATCGCTTAGGAGGGAATTATTAATGACAGCTGAAAGGCAAGGAAAACAGTTCTAGGGAACAGAAGAGAAGAGCAGAGCATATATGGAGACACGATCAATACTTTGGTCATACTTAGATTTTATTTTGCAATTAAGTAGCTGCATTAGGCTTCAAATGTAAAACAAATCCAAAAGAAATAACTCACAGTTTTTAAAACCTACGAAGCAAGCGAGTAAGTAAACTTAACAGTCATATTAGTGACAAACTCATTTCATCTGGTAACCCCATTATTGTTGAACTTGTAGAGAGAGTGGTTTAATGGAAATAACCTTCAGTGCCAGTTGTATTTGGTATGTTTAGAAACTGTATTAATGTTACTTTGAAATTTTTATGGATAATAAATGGATATGTAATGACATCGGGAACTACTTTTTAGTGTTAGATATAAAAAGCATAAAATTAAAGAAACAAGTAAAATCTTGACTGTTTAATTCATATGGAAATGCATTTATGAGCTTACTTTTTCTTCTAAAAAGCTTCATCTTTTCAGATCACCACCATAGAACAGGTCTAGAAGGAATGGTATTATCGACAGTGAACAGTTACCTGCATTGTGGTATCTCTGTTTCCTGTTCTTTTTGCTAAGAGGAGACAGGAAGCCTTGAAGAAATGACTGTTTCTAGGTCAGGGATAAGAAGTGTACAGATTCACCCTTGCATGATTTTGTTTCTAGAAGTCAAGGTAGTTATTTAAAACTAGCAGGATAGGGCCAAATGTACCTCGAGGGAGATTCTACTCTCTTTAAGATGTGCAACTTGAGGCTCAAAAATAATGGGTGCAATAGGTTGAAATATATTAGCTCTATAAACATGGATTTTTAAAAATATTAAAAATATAAGAATAATAAAAATAAAGCAAAATGGGCTGAATAGTTTCTTAAAGAGTCTGCTGAGATGCCAAATGTATTTATTAGTTTGCAAATTGATAAAGGTTAGAATATTTTTCCAGCTTTACTTTACACACTGTATTTTAAAGTGTTAAACAGAAAAAATTCTTTGCGGAAGAAGTCTAGTTAGTAAATACAAACAAAATCCTTAAAGCAGAAAAGATGCATGTGGTATTTCTTCATAAAATCTTGGTACTCACCATAATAGTTGCTAAAATCATCAAGTGTAAAGCTTTTCTTGCTAGAAATGCCATCTGCCAAGCTAATTTTTAGTATCACCAAAATTGGGACCACCAGGTTAGTGTTGAATTCATGCAGGAGGCACACACACCACTCACAAAGTTATTTTACCAAAGAAGAAAAAAAGAGAGAGAACCAAACTTTAAGCCTCTAGATCTAATTATTATCTTGTAGAACATTTGGGGAAATAGGAAGTGGGGTTGAAGATACTATGGGAAAATAGTCATTCAGATATAAAATCATTGAATCATTGACCTGGAGAAAAAGGGTTTAAATCCCCTGGCACAACCTATAAGACCCAATGTATGAAATGTCCTTTACACAAACCTGTCTAGAGGTAATGACATATTTTTTTTTTAAAACTTTTTATTTATTTAACTTTATTATGTTCGTTGGTGTGAAGGTGTCAGATCTCATGGAACTGCATTTTCAGACAGTTGTGAGCTGCCATGTGGGTGCTGGGAATCGAACCCGGGTCCTCTGGAAGAGCAGTCAGTGCTCTTAACCGCTGAGCCATCTCTCCAGCCCCGGTAATGACATATTTAAGAGAATGCAGAGAAGTTTGATGTGGGATGTCTAATAATAATAATAATAATAATAATAATAATAATAATAATAAATTATCATGTGGGTATATTACATTTAAAATAGGAATCTTGTTATTTAGAGATGTGTACTGGGATCCATATGCGAGGCAAGGATGGTGAAATGTTTGTAATGCTGTTGGAGAAAGGTAACTGGAGGCTTTAGCGTTCTCTGAGTCTAGTGCTTATTGCCTCTGTTTTGAATTCATTGTGCTAAACATCTAGAAAAAGTAGTAACACTGCTTTTCTCTGCAGTTAGACATACTAGGCCACCTTGTTTCTTTCTCAAATATTAGCTGTGTGGTATTGTGCAAGTTATTTCTATAATCTGTACATGTACTCTCTGTTACTGTAAGCTTCTACTTCAAAAGACTGTGGGAAAAACTATTTGAGGACATTAAAATACCTGCAACAGTAGGTTTTACATTGGAAGCATTTCTGTCTGTGCTATTATTTTTGCCAAGAAAACAATCTCCAAATTCTAGATAGGGTGGCTGTGTTGTTATTGTGATGGGGAAGGTAGCAACAGCTCAAACAATAAGACTCACTCACTGGAAAATCAAGAGCACTCATGTGTGACCCTGACCACATGGCATCTGTGTCTCTTAAGTGGCTGTTTTCCCCTATCTAACTACCCTTTTCCATGTTCCACTGGGACGTTCATGCTCGTGTTGATGGATGAGGCATACTGACTTGTTTGTGAACGCTATGAGCTATCTAAAGAGAGCTAGCAAATGAGCTCTGTGGAAATGGTCTGTTTTGCTGCCTGGCCTTGAAATCACATCTGTGATCTATCTCTTCTTAGTCCTACAGGTGCTCATATAATAGCCATGTTTTCAAAGAAACTTCTTGATGAAGATCTTTCTATTTTCTCTGGATCAGAAATGTTGCCTGTAGTTAAAGGAGCTTTTATTTCTGTGTGTCGTCAAATATATGCCACATGTGAAGGCTTACAGGTGCTGCTTCCTTATGGTTTACATGAATCTATAGCAAAGGCGTGGAGGCAGGTATGTATTTTAATCCCCCCACACACCCTACAGGTTTTTATTTCATTTACAAGCATCACTGTAAATACTACTGTGGCAGATTTTTTTTTTTCCTCCCAAGACAGGGATTCTCTGTGTAGCCCTGGCTTTCCTGGAACTCTCTCAGTAGACCAGGCTGGCCTCAAACTCAGATTCGCCTTCCTTTGCCTTCTAAGTACAGGGAGTAAAGGTGCGTGCTATCACCTTTACTCACAGGATATTTTAATGGGACATGCTTCTTCTTCTTCATCATCATCATCTCCTTCTCCTTCTTCTCCTTTCTCCTTCTCTTTCTTCTTCTCCTCCTCCTCCTCCTCCTCCTTCTTTTTCTGTTTTTTTCCTTCCCTCCCTTCCATCCTTTCTTCCTTTTTTGAAACAGGGCCTCACTATGTAACTCTGACTGGTGTGGAACTCACAGAGATCTGCCTGCCTCTACCACCTGAGTGCTGGTATTAAAGGCATGTGCCACCATGCCAGGCTAAGTATCATTTCTTTCACATTGTCATGGGTGGTATTAGCTCTCCATGCTTCTTAGCTTGGCCCAGGATGACCTCAGACCCTCCTCTTTTAGTAGAGGTAGGCCCTAAAGGTTTACCTGATTACCATGATGTTTTTCATTGTGGTAGCAGGAGCTTTAGGTGAATTCTTTGTGTCTAGACTCACTGTCTTCTGTGGAGGTTATGACATCAAGAACATAGTAGAGCAGCGGCCATGCATAGACCAGGGGATTGCTTAATCTTTTAGTTTTATTGAAACAGATAATTGAATTTTGAAAGCAACTGTGTTAAAATGCATTAAGTTTAAAAAAGCAGAAGTGCTATCAGAACAGCAGAGAAACAAACTAATGTATTTTTTTACTTTCTGTTTTTGTTTTTGTTTTTTTTTTCCTTTCTTTTAGACAAGCTTGCTATCAGAAAGGATCCCCACTCCAGTAGAGGGCTCAGACTCAGTTTCCTCAGTGAGCCAGGAATCTCCCAACATGTAAGTGTACTTGTTCAACATTTCTCTATTGTGCTTGCTGAAATAATATAGAAATAATTGAAATTCATTGGAAAACTATGGCAAAATATTTTCCAGGAAGTTAAACTGTATGTATAGAGCTTCAAGGAAAATTACACTTATTATTTATAGATTATGTGATACTTGTAGCTATTAACAAATCTAGAAATATTAGATAACTTTTGCTTCATTGTGTATTTATGTTTTTCGTTAGGAAGCTTAGTATATTGCAAAGTTTTTAGAAAAACTGGAGAATTATCAAATACTAAAATTGGAAAATTAACTTGCATGTTCAGTAGAAGTAAAATGTTTTCAAATGCTGGTAAAATCTATTTTACGTGTTTTTCAAAATATGGTAGAAGTGCAGTTTAATTATGGTTTGGCATTTGAAAATTATGTAAATTAATATTTCAGTGTATATCTTTATGCTCTTTTATAAAATATTAATCTGTGTGCTAGCAGGTTAGCAGGGAAGACACTTTATTAAACTAAGGTTTCATGACCTACCTGTTCCGGGTTCTTATTTTAGTTCTATGGTTGAGTATTGGCACAGTTATGAAAACATAGTAGGGACAGCCTTCAGGGATGCTCTTTGCTAAGTGTTGACTTTGGATTCTTTTTCTTTTGTAGGTTAGAACTTAACTTACAAAATCAGTTAATTTTTTAAAATTTAAGAAAAGTGTAAAGATTCAAGATAGTTCATTTTCTAGAAGTTTCCTGTATATTTTTTTCTAATATGGTTATCCAACACTATCAACTGCTGTTTTTCCCCCCATTTTTCCATTGAGAAATTGTGGGAAAATTAGACAAGCTTTGTATAGTCACAGGCTGTAGCCATAGCTTTCCTCAAAGGCATACCTCACCGTCCTCAAATGTCATCGCATGTAAAGCAGAACAGAATAGATGTTTGCTACAGGGAGCTGTTTCTGTTGAGGGAGTGTCCTGGATAAGAGGCCCTGCTGGTGCAAGAGTGCCCTACCTTTGTGATTTGTGTTTGTTTTATATGTAGGTGTAGAGAGGCAGTGTTACATGTGTATGTACTCTACATAAAAACAGTGCCACAGAAAAAGAGGTTTTCAAATTCCAGATATTATGTTTGTGATATATGTATATATGTTTATATATATATATATACATATATGTTTACACACACATGTTTGTGTTACTTAGGACTATCTAGAGAGAATCAGTAGGCTAGATTCATGTATCAACATAGGGGAATTGGTTCACACTGTTTTAGAGTTCAGGATGTTGGAAAAGTTGATGCTTAGTTGGGCAATGGTTGCCTACACCTTTAATTCCAGCACTTACTAGGCAGAGGCAGGCGGGTCTCCGAGTTTGAGGACAGCCTGGTCTACAGAGTGAGTTCAAGAACATCTTAGCTATTCTGATCTTAGCCAGGTGTTAATGGAATCTCAGAGTTGTTTTGATTTGCATTTCCCTGATGGCTAAGGATGTTGAACATCTCCTTAAGTGTTTCTCAGCCATTTGAGATTCTTCTGTTGAGAATTCTCTGTTTAGATCTGTACCCCATTTTTTTTAAAACTTTTTTTTTACTTATTTATTTAACTTTATTATGTTTGTTGGTGTGAAGGTGTCAGATCTCATGGAACTGCATTTTCAGACAGTTGTGAGCTGCCATGTGGGTGCTGGGAATCGAACCCGGGTCCTCTGGAAGAGCAGTCAGTGCTCTTAACCGCTGAGCCATCTCTCCAGCCCCTCTGTACCCCATTTTTAAATTGTAGTATTTGGTTTGTTGATGTCTAGTGTCTGAGTTCTTTATATATTTTGGAAATCAACCCTCTGTCAGATGTGGGGTTGGTGAAGATATTTTCCCATTCTGTAGATTGCTGTTTTGTCCTATTGACAGTGTCCCTTGCCTTAGAGAAACTTTTCATGAGGTCCCGTTTATAAATTGTTAATCTTAGTGACTGTGCTATTTGTGTCCTGTTCAGGAACTTGGCTCCAGTGTCAATGCATTCAAGGCTACTTCCCACTTTCTCTTCTGTCAGGTTCAGGTATCTGGATTTATGTCGAGGTCTTTGATTTCCTTGGACTTGAGTCTTGTGAGTGTGATAGATATAGGTCTACCTGTGTGCTGCATGCTGAAATCCACTTGGGCGCAGCACTATTTGTTATAGATGCTTTCCTTTTCCATTGTATAATTTTGGCTTCTTTAAGGAATGTTAGCAGGTGGTGGGTGGTATCTTCCCTGGAGTCCGTGGGGACCACTCTGGCTTCTGGTAAAGATACTGGGTCTGTGGGGCCTAGTGTGGAGCCTAGGGAAGGGCATACAATCTGGGATTATTGGGTAGGCTTTAACAAGTTTTAGCTGGGGCTGGGATGTTTATTTGTCTGGGATTTCTAGATCCTTCCTAGCCTCTGGTAAAGCCAAACACTTCTAAAGTAGAAGGTCAGAATATGGAGTCCAGGGGAGGGGTGCAATGCACTGTCCACTGCACCATGGAGCCACCTCCTAACTCTAACTGTAGCCTTTAAAAAGAAAGTATAGAGTCGTTAGGTGTTTGTGTTGTGTTTTGAAATGCAATATGGGTTTGATGTATCTTCATCAGTCAATGGTCTTCTACATATACCACAATCCTCAATGTTGTAGATATTTAGAATTCTTTTAATACCTTATTCACTTCTTTACACTGATAAGCTTTACACTTGTTGACCATTTTTGTAAATACTTTATTCCACAGCTTGTAACTTTTCTCCACATAAGCATATTTTTTACCTTTATACCTTTTAGTTTCCAAATATAGTTTTGCTTTGATTGTTTGTTAAGCTCTGAGTATGGTGAACTATTCCTGCCTTTTATATCTAAATTGCCCTCCCTCCCTCCCTCCCTCCCTCCCTCCCTCCCTCCCTCCCTCCCTCCTTCTACCTCTCTTATGTATTTCTCTTTCTTACTCTAATTCCTCCTTCCCTTCCTGTCTATTTTTTAAAGACAGTTGATGACGGTGCAGCCCTGGCTGATCTATAACTTGTTATGTTACCAAGCCTGGCCTAGGACTCTTCCGGCCTCTACCTCTTCCTCTGTCAAGTGCTGGGATTATAGGTGTATGCTGCCATGCCAAGCTAATCTATTATGTCTGGAAATGTTTGTTCTTTCAAACCACACTGTCACCACACAGTCTTTCCTACTTTAAGCATATGTTCTTATTCCTAAGTAGTTTAATTTTGTAGAAATGTTGATGCAGGCAAACATTTCTCATCAGTTCTTGAAGCTGCCATTACAGTATTTTCTGGACTGTATGGCTCTTGACAGGTCTTGTTATCTACAATATGGCCGCCCATGTTTAATAGGTGGTGGCAGCTCTTGCTTGTAATTTAACTGTTTGCTTAATCTCTGTGATTTATGTTAACTTACTTAAGTACTCTGGATGATATTTTAATTCATACACAGATTGTATATTTTTCTCAATTTTAGGAAATTCTCAGTATTTAATTGAGCAATAAAATATATTTATGGAATATAGAATTTTTTCAAATTCTTATGGTTTCTTTTGTAGGCTTTTTTTGACCACCAACCAGCTCCTAAATCATAACATAGGGACTTAATATTAGTCATGACTGCTCAGCCTTATCTTATGCTTGTCCCACTAGCTCTACTAGCTTAAATTAGCTCTTTTTTCTTCATCTACGTCTTGCCTTTCTTTCCTTCTGTATGGCCTATTCTGAACTGTCATACCGTCTGTTTTGTCTGACTGGCAGCTACCTGGCTGACTTGCCCTGAGCATCTATCTCCCTTTCTTTCTCTCTCATTCTCTTCTCCCTCCTTTCTCTTTCCCCTTCTCCTATTTATTTTTTCTGCTTGACTGCCCCACCTGTCCCTCTGTTGCCTAGCTATTGACTGTTCAACTTTTTATTAGGCCAATCAGGTACCTTAGGCAGGCAAGATGAAACAGCAACACACCTTTACATAGTTAAACAAATGCAGCATAAACGAATGTAACACATCTTTACATAGAGAAAGTAATATTCTGCAACATAGACAAATGAAACACATCTTTACATACTTAAAGTAATATTCCACAACAGTTTCTGTTATTTTTTAAAATCTGTGCAGAAAGTTATCAGTCTTAAAAATGTATTTTGACTGGTACAAAATGAACATAGTTAAGAGCTGCAAAAATCTGGCTGCTCATAGTTCTATTTTTAATTGCAAGGGAAATAGTCTGAAGGTCTATAGACATAAATGCCTTGTTCATTGGGTCCACTCACGTATATGTCTCTGTCATTTAGCATCACACAGAGACAAGAGGGCCTTTTTATAAGGGCAGCTCTGCTGTGTAGCATGCAGTCTCGTGTTCGACTTTTTCAATAAATGAAAACAATAAAGTGTTCTCTCTGTTATCACAAATAATGTGTTTTGAGGAAAAAATGTTACTATTCACTTCCAAATAAAATAGAAATTTATGAAAATAAAAGAGAAAACAAGCATATTATGCTCTAGGCCATAAGAAAAATGTTTTAATAAACAGAAGGCACAACAATAATGGAGAGTTGAGGTTTAGGGAATCCAAGTGCAGTGGAATTACCGTGGGAAATTCCAGCGTGGATAAAGCTGAGGCTGAGTCTCGGTGCTGCACCTGAAATGCACTGCGATCATCAGTGCTGGGAAGCTGTGATTTCCATCTGGGCTCATAATATCTACTGAACAACCTGGGGTTTGTGTATTCTCTGTCAGTTTAATTCTTGTCCATGCTGCTCTTACAAATTTTCAGTTTTGTGGGTATTAAACGTCCCTTCCCCTGTTCCAGTGTGGCTTGGGAAGACAATTTGCTAGATGATTTACTGAACTTTGCTGCCACTCCCAAAGGATTGCTTCTTCTTCAGAGAACAGGTGCCATCAATGAATGTGTGACGTTTATGTTCAACCAGTACGCGAAAAAACTGCAGGTATGAATAACCATCTGCTCTAGGCAAAAGGAATTGTTGTTATGAAAGCTGTCGAGAGCATCATTCTGCTCTCCGTGTGTGATGAGGTTATTAAGCTTCAGTTAGAATGCTGTGTGGCACTGTACCACTTGATTTTTTTTTAAAGGAAAGCTTTACGTAGTTGATATTGCTGTCTGTGGCTATATTTTGAAATTGCAAGCAGCAGATGGGATTGAAATTTTCAGTTACTTTTCCAGATGTTTTATAAGCATGATATAGTACATCCATATGTACCAAAACTGGGAAGAACTTCTGGGGAAAAAAATCCTGTTAAGGCTAAATGTATGTATCAGTGAAGGTTTAGGCCTTGGGTGTTTTAAAAGACACAAACTTCCCTTTAGAGAGATTATATTATACTGTTAAGTAAAACTTACAAGATAATGTATTTCATCATATAGCCTAAAGTAATTGACTCAAAATCAAGATTGTTTTTTCTCCCATAATAAAGATCCTTAAGTTTCTGGGATTTTTTTGGATCTTACATGTTCTGCTGAGGTTATTTTTCTCTGTAGCTCCTTAGCCTTTTGACCAGGACCAAGGCATGCACGCACATGTGTGCAATGTGTATGAGAGTGTACTGTGTGTGTGTGCACGCACTTAGGTGGATGTGGAGACTGATGTTAACTGCCTTCCTAAATTGCTTTCCACTTTCTTTTCTTAGTATACGTATCAGTTGCTTCATTAGGTTTTTGGCAAGAAGCTTAGACCACCAGTTTGTGAGGATGAATTCCATTTGTTAGAGCCCCAAAGGACTGCACACTTCCCTGGAGCTGAGGAATGGCTTGACTTTTTGCAGACTGTCAAGTCATAGCTTTCTGATCAACCTTGCCCTGTGCAGTAATCTTGTATTTCTCCCATTCCCTGTCAAAGATCGGCCTCCCTGGCATTGTACTTGCCTAGTTTATTTTTCTTGAAGTAGGCATCAGTGAGGTGTTTAGGGACATTAACATCCCTGATAGCAGCTTTTATGGCGGTGGGCAGTGGCTGGTTTCTAATGTGTTCTGTGCAGAGGAGATTAAGGGAAGTAGGTCCAGTCACAGGCAGCAAACCACTGAGTGCCCAAGCTGTTCCAGGAAGACTCTCTTGCTCCGTAACTGCCCATTGAGGATGGTCAGGACTGGGCATGGTGTGGTGTGCAGCTTCTTACATGATGGTGGAAGACTTTCTTCCCCTGGATTTGCCCCTTCCCTGGTGGGACTTTGGCAAGAGAACACCTAGGTGTGTTGCCAAACTTCCATTCTTGTCACCTCCAGCTGGCTTTGTGACAGTGGCAAGATCCTCCCATGCCTTTAAATTTTGTTTTCTTTCAACCTTGGATTTAGCAGCTGAGTACTTACCCTGTGCAGGACACTGCTGGGATTCACGACAGATTGGGAATGTTTCCAGTTCTTCTAACAGGTCCGGCTCTCAGCTGCAATGGGGCTTTCCTTTTACCTTTTAATTTTCGGGTTACCCTTTTGAGAATGCCTCAGCCCAAAAGCTGCAGGTATCGTCTCCTTTCTGTTGGACTCCTCAGTGTTTTCACCCACCATCTTGCAAGATGGCAAAGAGCTCCATCTTATTTTTGGAGACATGGTCTTTCAACTAGGAACTCACCAATTTGGGGCTAGGCTAGATGGCCGGCCAGCCCCGAGGATTGCCAGCAATCTTGTCTTTTCTTCCCCAGTGTTGAAATTGTGGGTGTGTGCTGCTGAGCCCAGCCTCCTTCTGCCTTCCTCCATCCTCGAATGCGGACGGATGCAGGCCAATTGACCTCATGCTTCTGCAGCAAGCATTTTACAGACAGAGCCAGGTCCCCAGTCCTGTATCAGTTCTTTCACAGTGTTTTGTTTTGAAATCTCCGGCAGCGATTGTGTTTGATGTTTTTGTGTTTCCTGATGACAAGTACTTAACTTTTACTCTCTTAAATTCTAATCCCCTACATTTGCTTAAAACTATAAGAAAATAGGGTCATGCAGTGGTGACACATGCCTTTAATCCCAGCGCTAGGGAGGCAGAGGCAGGTGGAGTTCAAGGCCAACCTGGTCTACAAGGGCTAGTTTCAGGACAGGCTCCAAAGCTACAGAGAAACCTTGTCTCAAAAAAAAAAAGACCCCCTTTTCTTATCTCTGTTCATAAAGAATAAATAATTTCTTAGGTAGGCCCCTAATGTTCTTTGCTTGAGTAAAATATATCTCTGTGTTTTCATGGGTTTGTCAAGGTTAGGTGTTTATGTGCTGATATGTTTTTATCTTGTTTTATTGAAGGTGGACCATGAGTACAGAAAATGTAGTTACCCTGTTCTTCACTTTATGGCACACTTACCTCAGCCCTCTGTACGATGTTCCTATTCTGTTTTATTTATTTTATTCTAGGGTCATTCCAGGTTGCTAGTTCCATTTCACCCTGTACACATTTCCCAACCTCATGTTTAGGATTTTATTCTATGTAATACCTTTTCTCACCCCCCCCCTTTCTATATTATTACAAATGTCCCAGCTTATTTTGAGCCCTCCATAGCTGAGCTTGGACCTGTCCCTGTATACTAATTAACTGTTCAGGCTTTGTTTATACTGTTTCTCTTTACAAAGACTTGCAAGCAACTCAAACACATTTTCTTTTTCACTCAGGTGCTTCAGATCAGGCAGGCATGTCTTTACATGATACATCTAGAATTAGATGCCATTTTTATATTTGTAAATTTCAAAACACATTAGTTTTTCCATTCGCTTGCCAAGAAAAGTGACTGTTCCTTTGACACCGAATTTACAACACTACTTCTCCATTAGCATATTCATCGTGCTTTACTGTGTACTGCAATTCCAGATATTTTCATCATTTACATCCTCATTTTTCAAAGAAGACTAAAGGCTAAGCTATTTTCTTAATTTTGTATTAGAGAGGGTGGGAGTCCAGGTTAGTCATGAAATGTGTTTTATGGAGCTATTAGCTGGCTAGGTATAGTGGTAAAACTCAGATTTCGTTCCTAGTTTTTGACTGTGTGCATGAAGATTCACCTTGTTTAATAAGGTGTCCAACTTACAATACCTTTTTTCCCCCCTTTTTAGAATGAGTGGGGATTGGACAAACTATGTGGCTACCAATTTTCCAATTTTCAAGACTAGTGGGAGGGACTTAAAAGAAAGATGCTCTTTGGCAGGAATACAGGGAATGGAGGATAGGTGTTTATCTTCCTGGACTTCTGTATCACTCACTGCAGAACAGTGGATTGTAGTTCAAGGAAAATGGGAAATATGGCTTAACAGGATTGAAAAGCAAGGGTAGCTTATAAAGATATAATGAATGGAAAATAGAATATTGATGAAATAGACCTACTTTTCAGCATGGTCTTTTAACTCCTTTTTAGCTACTTTTTCTTTGCCCTCAAAATGTATGTTTAAAGAGTTTGAATGTAAATCAGATGCTTTTAATGAAATGTTTTAAGGTAGCAATTCTGAATGGTTAACTCTGTTCAGAAGTTGGACATCTTCTAGCTTGGCAAATTCTGATGGGCGTGGCACAGTGCCACTGGCCCTCCTTATTCTGATGAATGTGACCAGATAGAGTCACTTCTGCACTCACCCCAAGTAGGTTTATCTTGTACAGCGGCAAATCCTGAAGGACTTTTACACAGATACAGATGTACTGATGTTTAGGATTGGGCAAGTCTTCCTTAGCAACAAAAATTATATCCTCTAGAAATAGCTATTTAAGGGAGAAAGTATTATTTTGTTGAGTCTTTTTTTAATTTATCTAGAATGTCTTTTTATTTTACATACCAGATCCAGTTCCTCCACCTTCCCCTTCCTACTGCATCTCACCTCCCCCCATCCCATTCCCAATCCACTCCTCAGGGGTTGTAAGTTCTCCCTTGGGGAGTAAAAAAGTCTGGCATACCAAGTTCCCCCACCCTCCTGTATCAAGGCTGAGCAAGGTATCTCACCATAGGAAGTGGGTTTCATAAAGCCAGTCATTGCACCCAGGATAAGTCCTGGTCCCACTGCCAGGGAACCCCCAAACAGATCAAGCTACATAACTGCCACCCACATTCAGAGGGCTTAGTTTGGTCTCATGCAGGTTCCCCAGCTGTCAGTTCAGAGGCCTTGAGCTCCCACCAACTGGGGTCAGTGGTCTCTGTGGTTTTCCCTATTATGATCTTAAACCCCTATTGTTCGTATGATTCCTCCTTCCTCTTTTCAACTAACCCATTTAAGAATCTGGCAGTATCTGGGCAGTGCTGGTGCTTGCCTTTAATCCCAGCACTCCAGAGGCAGGCAGATCCTTGTGAGTTCTAGGCCATTCTGGTTCACAGAACTAGTTCTAGGACAGCTAGGGCTGTTATACAGAGAAACCCTGTCTCAACCCCCACCCCTGCCCCCCAAAAAAAAGAAGGAGAAGAAGAATCTGGCAGTCAAAGTTTATAAATGAAGAAGTGACCTAAAAAGTAGTAATAGGATGATATAATTTAGTAATAATAGAATGATATAACTTAGTAATAATAAGATGATAGAATTTAGTAATAATTACATGGTAGAATTTAGAACTGGAAGCTGACCTCTTTCTACTTGATTTAAGTCCCTTTTTATGAGAAATAAGTCCCTTTATTTATGAGGGAATGTAGGTCAGGAATAAGTGACTCTTTAAAAATAATATTTTAAAATATTTACACGTGTGTGTTTATGTGTGTGAGTTCAGCTGTCCACAGAGGCCAAGGTGTTGGGTCATCTGGAGCTAGAGTTAGTTATAGGTGGTTGTGAGTCTCGAGATATGGATGCTGGGAACTGAACTGAATTCTGGGAACTGAACTTGGTCCTCTGCAAGAGCAGTATGTGCTCTTAACCGTGGACTCTTCACTTGAGCACCTTACTAAGGAACCTTACAAAGTCAAAGAGCTAGACTTAAACTCAGATCAGAAATAAAATGCTTAAAAATAACACACTAGTACTAAGTGCCTGTGCGGGTTTTGTTGTTTGTTTTTCTGCTTTTAGCACTTGAAAAAAATTTAATCTTCAAATTAAAGAGCAGTAATTAGCTGTACTGTAAGTTTGTATTGCATATAATAACATGACCTGTTCCTTGCTTCTCATTGCCTTCTTTATGCCAGATAAACAGGCAGAAGAAGTTCGGCTATGAAGTTTTGGTTGTCCAGGTGGCATCCACAGCAGCAGGGGCAGTAGCTCTACAAAATTCAGGCAAGTTTTGTTCCTCATAGATAAAATGTGATCATTGTTAACAAATGGACAATAGCATGATAAAATTCCAGAATATCTCTAACTCTAAAATTCTTCTTTCCAGTGTGTGACCATGAGAAAGAAAGTTTACAGGATTGTGTCTGCTTTCCATGAAATTACAGTGCTGAATATTTTTCTTATGGAATGTGGAGACTCTTATCTACCTTTTTGTTTTTAGAACAGTGGTGCCTAATTATCTGTGCTAAAGCTTGTTCAATAGTGAAGATCCCTCTTCACCTTATAAGCTTAATGAATGTCATCTGTCTTGGTATAGTTAATTATCCTTGACAGAATGGCTCAGTGTTTGGTTTAGTGGATTTGCATATGCATCCAAATGCACACTAGTACTAGTAGTCCTGTATCTGTACCATTTCTTGTTTCTGTCATTCCTCCTCCCTCTAGAAAGCATTTCACCCACTCTGTAGCCTTCACACACTCTGAAGTTTGCCGTCCATATGTCTTTTCCAGTATCAGCTGGATTTATAGGGAAGTAAGCCACCATGATTGTAATATGCCCCATGTTTAAGTTACTGACACTGAGCAACACATAATTTGTGATACAGAAGAGAAATTTCTAGTTGGAAATGATGAATTATATCAGTTTTAGTAATCACTATTGCTTCACTACTTATACCCAAATCAATCAATCTCTCTCTCTCTCTCTCTCTCTCTCTCTCTCTCTCTCTCTCTCAACCAATTTGGGCTCTTTGTATAGCTTCCTTGATAAAACTGGCTGTAAATTGAGTCACATTTTTCTTTTACTTAGAATAAAATTTATGTAGCATTGTGGACAGGAATATATTAATAGAACCATTTGAAGTCTAGATTTAATCCCAGATCTGCTTGTCATTGAGTAGTTAAGCTTTTGAACCTTATCCTCCCAAACTTTCTTGAGGTGGCTAAATGAAATTCTACACAGGTCTTAGGATGACTGCAGATTCCCAAGCTTACTTTACTTACATTACAGGTATTGCATTGGCCCCTACATATGCACTGTCCCATTTGTGTGTTGTAGAAACACTGGAATTTCCATTCTCAAATACTAAAAGGTCTTGAAGAAGATGAGGGACTCCCCCTACCCTCTGAATGCAAACTGATCAATAAACTCTTAATTTATACTCTTACATTAGACCCCAATATTCTCAGTTTTAGAGCCTGCATTTTTTTAAATTGTGCCAGAAAACACTTCTCTTATTTTGTTATAAGCATATTGGTTTAACCTAAATTTGTTTTTTGAGATTTTGATAAAATTACATTATGCCCTCCTCTTCACTTTCCTTCATTCAGGCCCTCTCAAATACTCCTTGCTCTCTGTAAAAATTCATGGCCTCTTTTTTTGTTATTGCTGCATACATTTGTATATTCATATACATTCCTAAAATCATAAATGCAATCTGCTTGGTCTCTATAATATTACTTGTATGCTTTTAGGGCTGACCGTTTGATACTGGATAACAAATTGATGTGCTCTTCTCCAGGGAAAAATATTTTTCCTGCTCTCGGCATTCCTTAGTTGCCTGTAGTTCTTAGTGTAGGGTTGAGGCTTCTGTAGGCTTTCTCCCCTGTCCACTTTGTCAAATTGTTGTTGTCCTTGTTCAGCTCATGTTGAGGCAGTTGTGTTGGTAGATTTTATGAGTGTAACCTCTGACATTTCTAGGAGACACAGTCTCACAGCAAACTCCCTGGCCTCATATTCTTCCAGTCTTAGCATGCCGTCTTCTGTTATGTTTCCGGCGCCTTAGGAGTGGGATTTGTGTTATAGTTATATCCACTGGGATGAGACTTCATCACTCTGCATTTTGATTGGTTGTGGCTTTCTGAAATAGTCCCTACTTGTCAGAAAGAGAAGTTTCCTTGATGGGGGAATGAGGACTACACTCAGCTATGGGTATAAAGATAAATATATAGAATGTGATCAGGAATTAAGGTGTACTGACTTTATGATTTGATGTTAGGTTTATAGACATAGTGTATGATTTGAAAAATTTAATAATCAGCTTTAATATTCATTTTAATGTAGTTAGATAGTATTTGACTCAAGAGAATTTAAAGGTCTCATTGAAGCAAAGTTCAGAATTGTTTTAAACATGGAATTATAAATGAATATTGGATGAAGTGAACATATTCTTTGGATGCCTGCTCGACTTTCTGGTGCCTCCTTTCTCTTCCCCCCGCTCCTGAACACATTCTTTACAGTCTCCAGGGAAATATGTTCCCCATGATTTAGTTAATGTTACAGAGTGATGGAATATCATAAACATTTAGTAAAAATAGCAAATACCATTTCTATCAAGAGTAGAGATTACACTATTATTTTTGTAAGAAGCAAATGTTTTTCATCTGTGAGGATAAATAAGTCTTTTCATAAGAATAATGCTATCTTCCATAAGCCAGACCATACTATTTTATACCACAATATAAATTATGCTATAAATATGACATAAGTAATACTTTTTCCTAGGCTTCATTAGTGCGCTTATAACTGAGTTGTGGTCCAATCTTGAATGTGGAAGAGACGATGTAAGGGTGACCCATCCCAGAGCTACTCCAGTGGATCCTATTGACCGAAGTTGTCAAAAGGTGAGAAGATGGCGACAATAATGCATAGATTTGAAGGTCGCACAGGGAGGACTCCATGGAAACCTGACCAATGTCACTCATAAGCAGCACACTTCCTTGTTTGTTTGTTTTTTTGACACAGGGTTCCCCTTTGCAGCCCTGGCTGTCCTAAACACTGATGGGTAGATAAATGTATTGTGCTGTTTCAATTTTAGGATATCTGATACCACAAACACATTTAGTGTACTTTTGTGGGAACTGATTGAAAATAGTTTTCAGTTCCATGGATGATTAATACATTACAGTTTTATGATATGCTCAGTGCCTTTAAAATGTCTAGTGTGTTTGTTTGCTCTTGGGGTAATCTGAAATTTTCTTGAAGTCTCTTTAAAATTATATGCAGGTTATTTGTTCTCAAATACAATAATTGGATTGTTTTCATCTGAAGCTCTACTTGATTTGCTTAGAGTAGCATATTAGATTTATTACAACTACATACCAACAGAATTATTTTATTTCTTAGAAAAGAGATTCCATAAACATGTGTAGAGCTTGTCTGTATAAAAAATAAGAAACCCTCAATATGTTACTATATGCTTGATAAAGGAATATATTTCCTTTCAGAGTAGATATTTATTCAATTTATAAATTGTATTTGTAATCCATTACTATAGAGAAGAAATTTATTTATTATTATATCTAGATATTAATGGGTTAATATCATAAAATGTTTAAAGCACTCCAAGTTGTTACATTTTATCTTTGATGTAGTCTCTAGATATTAAGATGAATTTTTAAAAGTTATATTGAAATCTGCAAATCATCCTTTTGCATAACACCTGCTTGGTGAATTTATTTATGCAATGGTTTTGCTGGTAGCCATGAGCCCTCTAGTTTCCTTGTGGTTCCTTTCACCGTAATTTAGAGACACATTTCTCTAAAATGCTTTCCGTGATAGCCAGTCTTTTCCCCTCCTCTTTCCTACACTCATGTAGAGTGGCAGTATTCCCGCATAGTATTCTCTTAACTAAGCATGCTTTGTAAATTTTAACTAAATCATTACATTTATTATTTGGTAATTTTGCTGTTATGCTAATATATATTAGGTTTAAATTCTACTTTTTGTTGTTAGAGTTGATGAGCAATTTCATCTTTGTTTTTAACAGGTTGTGGCTGGTGGGGGAATATGGATACCTTAAACTTAATACTTGTTCATTTTATCCAGAAATACAATGGCTCCAGAGCACTGTATGTTGTGTATGTTCACCATATGGCACTGTAATTTGTGAAGTATCTCTCCATTGAGTGTAAGGGAGGAAATGGGAAGTGGACTCTACTTTCTCGATTCACAAACAAGGACTGGATAGTGGCTGTCCCTACTAAATAGTATCGGATAGCTATGTTTTTATTTGCAGAGAGAAACTTTAGCCAGAAAAAGGGAAAATGTAGTTTAGTTCTTGTACAAATGTGTTGTTATCACAACTTCAAATTTCCTCATCTATTAACGAGAAATCAAATCAAGTAGTTTTTTATTTTTCTCAAATTTTAATTTTCTTATAGTGAAAAATTTTATTCACAAATTTTCTGTCTATTGAATTTTTAAAATATCAAACTGTTAAGCAGAACACAATGCTTACAAATAATTACAAGTAATATACAAACTAGTAATGTGTGGAACTCTGGGAAGAAGACGGAGGCTACTGGAAAGAAAGTTCCAAACTTTCTTTTTGACGTCAGTACTGTTGAGGGCAGGTGGGGTACATTAGCAGGACAAGAGAAGTTTGTGTAGGTGACAGTCAGTTGAAGGTGACTGCTATTTCATTTCGGAGAAAGGTGAGAAATGAGACTTTGGAGAGGCAGAAGAGAATCAGGTGTCCTGAAAGTCATCTAGAGAACTTGGCTCTCCTTACTGTCTCATGATGGCTACCCATGGAATGCTTTTGAGCTAAGAGTAAGAATGGATTTTGTGGGGAAAATCTGTCTAGTTGCTGTTAAGTAGATGAAAGTGTCATGGAAAAGATGTAGTTGGCCTGCAAATGCCGTGGAGAGGTGAACCTGGTATGATCAGACTGGGGTAAAGGAGCTACTTCTCATAGGAAGGCCCTGGCTTTTGAAAATTAACTATAATGTCTGGGTTCTACTGATTTTGATTGAGTATGAGACAATTTTATGGTTTAAGCTTGAGAATATATAGACTTTATTATCTTGCCTTCGAGCGTTACTCTCTTGTGTTTTCTTAGTAACAATGGTATAAGGAGTGAGAAAGCACGAGCTTTTTCATTTTTTTACCAGACTCTAACTGTGGGAATTGCATAGCATTTGGAAATGTTTTTAAGCTCTTACATGTGCTCCTTAACAGTTGTTATATTAGCGCTCTAAGCCCTTAAAATATTGCCATTTTGTTATTCTTAACCTATTATGGGTAGATAGCTCACACTGACAGTAGATTCATTTTTAAAACTACCCCTCACAGACATGCATGAGGGCTGGAACATTTACATGAATGACTCTTTCTGTGCAGTATTAAAAAGAAAAATGTCTCGTCCCTTGCTCCAGTCCTTCCTAGCGCTGGTGAATCTGCTGTCCTACCCTGCTGTGTATGAGCTAACAGGCAATCAAGAACTTCCCAATAAGGCAGAATATTCTCTTCGTGAAGTTCCAACATGTATTATTGTAAGTTACTTTCTTTCAATTGTTCTCTTTCCTCCTTGCCTACTGTTTGATATTGGTAGCAAAGACATAATTTGACAATTATACACAAAATCCCCCATGCTTATCAAGGTCTAAATTGATTACTTATCCCTGGAATATCACATTTTGAGTTACCTATGCATGGGAACTTTGGTCCAGGCCATGGAACTGTTGTTTTACCTATCAGAATGCAAAGCTAACCCTCTATAGCCAGGAAAGCAACTTGGCATTTATACAAACGTCTGTAGAAATGGGTTTATATGACTCAGTAGCTTATTAACCATGCTTATGCTGCTCCATCACTAACTAGGATAATTAAGAATAAATTATATCTGTAGAGTCCAATATATTTTCAACCTATGTTTTAATGAATTTTGTATTATGTCCACGAGGACAGTATATGTATATTTATTTAATTTGAAGCTTAATTATACTTAAAATTGCTCATATTATTGGCTTGGTTTAACTGTTAAATGGGATGTAGTTAATTGTCTTTGGGTGTTTATGAATTAAACACGAATGTATTAACATGTGTGCATGAACACACATACGCAAGGATTAGAAAGGAATTACTGAATACTGAAATTCTATATTCCAAACATTTCCTTGCCATTTTGTCTTACATATTATTAGTTTTAGAAATGGTATTGTTCTTCTTGAATACTTTTTACTTTTGTTAATTCCAAACATTTAAATTCATAAAATTGCTTTCTCTTGTGGGGAAGTTTTGGTAACTATTTTGGAGTAAAATGTAAAGTTAGATATGTCTCTCACTAGATCTTTAAGACTGTAGGGTCTCTTATTTTCTTAAATTATCCCAGTACCATCTGCTTGTGCTCAGTTTTATCTTATTGCTTATGTACTTTATGGTTAGCTTTCTTATTCTGCTGCTTGACTGGTTTGTGCCTGTGAATGGGTTAGATATTGATTTTCCCATCTGCCAAAGGAGGGCACAGATAAGCACAAATGTTGTGTGACACCTCTAATGTGAGGACTCTCAAATAGTCCAGGAGTTAGAGTTGGCTGCCAGGACTAAGGCTGGGCAAGAGGGCAAAGAACCAAGCCCTAGCCCCATGGACAAGGTTTTGGTTACACAAGTAAAAACATCCTAAAGTTTTATTGTATAACAGGATACTTATAATTAATATCACTCTATTATGTATTTAAAATTTCTTTGTGGAGCAAATGTGTGTTAAATATCTTTTGCAGACTCAAAAAGAAGTTGAGAGAAAACTTCTATTTGTGATAGAATAATTAAAGGTGTCATTAGAGCTAAACTCCCTTCTCAGGGATCTAGGCAGGACTCTGTTATTGAAGAGTTCCTACATGATTACTATATGCACATCATTTTCACCTTCCTCTTTCCTCAAACTCTAATTATATCTCCAACTTCTCTCAAACTCACAGTTCTTTTTATTATTTTTTTACACACACACACACACACACACACACACACACACCCCTACCCCTTATTGAGTCTATTTGGTATTGCAGAAGCTGATGTAAAGGCCACGGAGGGGTGCTGCTTACTAGCTCGCTCTTTCTGGTTTGCTTGGCCTGCTTTTTTATAGCACAAGCTGTAGCACCACAAGCCCGGATGACACCACCCACAGTGGGCTGGGCCCTCCCTCATCAACCTCTAATTAAGAAACTGCCCTAATGACTTGTCAACAGCCCTGTCTTATAAAAACACTTTCTTAATTGAGGTTCCCTCCTCTCAAACGACTTTAGCTGATGCCAAGTTGACCTACAACTGTCCAGCTCAATAATGTATTTGGGAGCTTTTTAAAGAAAATGGATTCCCTCTCTTTCAACAGCCATTGATTGCTTGTAGCTCTTCAGCTAGGAGTGGGACCTTGTACAGTATCTCTCATCCACTTTGTCATGCTGACTGTTTTATTCAGGACACCATTTGCTTGGTGGCATCGTTTAGGTCTTCTTTAGACAATCACATTGTTGAAGTTTCATGGGTGCAGCTTCTCTCTCAAGCCCAGGTGATGCTATCATGCTGCTGACATCCTGATTTCCTGGATAGTAAATATTCTTGTCCCCACTTCTGCCACTTTCCCTGAGCCCTAGGTGTAGGGCTGTATGTCAGCATCAGCGGGATACTGATGTACACTGTGTATCTGCTGGAGTTGTGCACCTCATGTTCACTTGTTCTCTGCATTATGAGACTCTGCAGTTGTCACCGTCTGCTCAGAAAGAAACTTCTTTGGTAAGGAGTGAGAGCAGCACTTATCTGTGCATATAAGGAGAAGTATTTAGAATATAGTTAGAAACTGTATTATCTAAGGAAGATGACAGTTATAGGTTCTTTTATACAGTATATGATTTCTCAGCCATTAGTAGTTGGCTGGCTTTGCAGTATAAGACATGGATTCCCCCTTCCCCATCCTGTTAAGCAGACCCTAAATCCAATTAGACAGTTGGTCACTTCCAATATAAAAGTGCCACTATTGCACCATTGAGGATATTTTGCCAGGCCAATAATTGTTGTGGCTTGTAGGTTTCACAGCTAATGAGAACTGTGGGGTTCTTTTCTCCCTTGGAATTTGCATAGCACTTTCTGATACTATGTCCTCAGGGTAGAGGCTTTCAGATCAGTTGCAGCTCAGTTCCTCCAAGTCCTGTGTTCAGAATACCATGGTTTCAGGGTCTTATGGTGGGAGGCAGCTACAAAAACCTATGTTGTTTTGGGAATCTCTTGGAGTACCTGACTGAAAACCCAGAGGAAGGTTTACAGTGCCTGTGACTAGGCTTTTGTCACTTAATTCTATGACTTTGGGCAGAAACATGAGTCTATTTAAATGATCTGTTCATCTTTCTAACATCTATCTATCCATTCTCTTTCTTCTATCCATCTATTACTATCTTTCATCTTTATCTGTCATCTATCAATCTTCCATCTATCTATCTATCTATCTATCTATCTATCTATCTATCTATCATCTATCTATCCATCCATCCTATAAATGTATTGTAGGCATTTCATGTCTTGTTGCTGCCTGACTCCAGTTCTTTACATGCCTAACTATCTTTACATGGCCGTTGTCTCTTCCTGACTGGAATCTTCCATATTTCTCTTCTCTGGATATTTGTCTTGGATTATCAAGGTCCTGTTGGATGACCTAAAATGACTAAGATTTTTAACTTAATTCCATCTTCAACGATCCCTTGTTCAAACAGGGTGACATTCAAGTTCTGGGGATTACGACAGAGACAGACTTTTAGGAGGTTGGTATTTAACCTTCTCACTGTATGACCACTGAAGAGTGGTCATTTCCTATAGTTCCCCACGATGAAAAGTCCCAAGGAAGGAACTCGATGGGGATTCATTTTCATTACAGGCTAACCGGGGTAATCCACTCTTGGAATATATAGTTTTAGGGCCTTATTGACCTATTCCTTATCATGTATTTGTTCATTTCCTAAAAGCATCAAGATAGCATGAATATGGGCACTGGACCACTTGCCTAGATGGGCCCTCAAATACCTACTTTATACCAGGCTTTTTCTTTTGGGCCACCAACCAGCTCTCAAATCATGACACAGAGACTATTAACTTTGAATGCTCAGCCTTAGCCCTTTTAACTTAAATTAACCTGTTTCTCTTTATCTACCTTTCCCCCATGGCTTATTACCTTTATTACTTTTGTAATCTTACTTTCACTGCCTTTCTATGTCTGTCTAGCTGGTGTCTGCCTGACTTCTTGCCCCAGGCGTGTCCTTTCTCTCCTTCTCTCCTTCTTCTCTTCCTTCTTCTTTCGAGCCTACATTTGTCCTCCTATTTATTCTCTCTGCCTGGCAGCACCACCTATCTTTTCTCTTGCCTTGCTATTGGCCTTTCAGCTCTTTATTAAGCCAATTTGGTGCTTTAGGCAGACAAGGTGCAACCGATGCAACATATCTTTTCATAATTAAACACACATCCTTACATAATTAAACAAATATAACACACCTTTACACATTTAAAGTAATATTCTGCAGCATAAACAAATATAACACATCTTTTCTAGTTAAAATAATATTTTACCACATTACTTATACTGAATTCTTTGTTTATCCAGTCCTGGTTTTAGACTGACTGCTAGCTTACTGAATAAATTCTCAACATGGACAGTACCCTTTGAAATCGTATTTCTGTAGACTGCTAGTTCCGGGCCTTCCACTAGATTTTTGCTGGCTTATTCTTGTTCAAGAAGCTAATTCTTTTCCTGACATGTTGTAGTGCTTAGAAACCAGCATGGTTATGGTGCTCTCCGTAAGACAGGTTTACTAGGAGTTCTGCTTTCTTCCCTAGGTGGGGCTACATCAATGTAATCCTTTTTTAAGAAGAAATTATTTACTATAACATTTTTCTTGTCTGAAAATGCATTATCATTGATGGATTGTTTTAGTCTCTCCTTCCATCAGCTTGTTGGCAATACCATATCTTCCCATCATTTTGTTCTTCCTAATCTACTTCTTCGATTCAGACCCAAAACTTCAGATCTCCCAGGTGTCACCCACCATCAGTATGCTTAGCTTTGTATTCGGATAGCTGTGCAAATTTGTGCTAAGTGATGAAGACAGAGGGGACAGCTGTGGAGAACATGACTTTGCAGCTGGGCGTGTGAACGTGAGTTGTATGTTCATTTCATTACATGATGATTGGAACAGAGTGCCCAGCTAAGAAGAAGACTGCAGACTACAGTGACAGAGCTTTAAGAAGAGTCTTTTTCTTCTCTATTATTCATCAATATTTTCTAGTCTAAACTTATGTATTATTATACGTTTATACAAGTTATCAATAGATTTGTGAATGTGAATATATATCTGTGATACACACACACACACACATATATATTTATGGTATATATGAGATAATATACATACAGACATATATATGAGTTAGGTTCTCATGTGGCCCAAATTGGCCATGAATTTGCTGTATATCCCAGAAGGCCCTTGAACTTCTGGTCCTTTTCCTCCACCTCCTGAGTGCAGGGATTACAGGCATGAACCAGCGTGCCTAGTTTTTGTTGTGTTGAGAATCAAACCCAGGGCCATATGCATGCTAGGCAGACACTACCAATTGCGCTATATCCCTGGCCCTGTATATTCATTCTTAAGTGTTGAGCCTTAGATCTTGCTAGGATAAATTTACCTTTTATTGTGTGTGCTTATAGTAGTATTTCTCGAATGTATTTTGAATTATTTATTACTTCTTTCTCTTATAAATTCATCTCTCACCTCTTATTCATATGCTGGAGCTGTTTCCATGGCATCATTCATATAGAATGAATAAATTTTATTTGACTTCGTTCCTTACCTAAACCTTTTTTTCCTTATTGGCTGGCCACAGTAATATGTTATAATTAAATCCATTGATGAATTTATATATAAAGAAAATTTTTGGATTTGTACTCAAAATATACACAAAAACAGGGTTTTGTGTTTTGTTTTTTAATTACTTCATTTACACTTGTGCTTTTTTTTTTTTTCAATTGAGATATATTCTTACCCTGTAGCCCAGACTAGTCTTAAACTTAAGGCAGTCCTTTTACTTTAACCTCTTGAGTCCTGGGTTTAGGCAATATGGGTCATGACATCAGGCAAAAGGCAGATCGTTAAAGCAAAGCTTTTGGAGATGGATGTATTGACGTAGAGAAAACTGTGGTGGACTGAGGCTGTCAGGGCTTGAGGCTGCTTGTTGCTTCCAGTTTCGAGGGATGGCTGCATAATGGGAAATCTAAAGGAACTTTAAGAATCTTAATGCTGGAACCTCAACTGTTGTAATTGCTCTTAAGTAGACTAATCTGTCCATCTGTCTGTCCTTCTACCTATCAATCATCTATTAGTCAGTCATCTGTTTTTGTTCCCTAGATGATGATAATATTTTCCCAGGATTCTAAACCACTTATTTACCCAAACTAGAGAGGCTATTCACATACTCTTAAGTAGTTACTAGACAAAAAATTCAAATCAATTGTTTTTTGCTTCACATTAGAAGATTTTATATTTGCTTTTCACAGTAGTTTGTGTTTTGGGCTCTTTTATCTTTATTGTACATACATCCTGCTTGCTGCTTTGACAGTTAGGGGTATATCATGGTTCTCCTCTTGGGGTGAACATTGACCTCCGTTTAGAAACGTTTCCAAATCATAATGCTCAGGTCTCACCTAGACCAGGAAGTTCACAAACTCTAGGATGGGTCTGCGCATCTTTAACCCCAGCATCTCATGACTTCCAGTAGTTCCAGTGTGAACCCAAATTTTGGAATCATGAATCTAAATGAATATTTATTGCTTTAATTCATTTGACTAGCTTCTGTTACGTAGAGTCTCAGTGTTTCTTTGTTATTTTTAGGATATAATTGATAGGCTTATCATTTTGAACTCTGAAGCTAAGATTCGCTCGTTACTGAATTATGAACAATCACACATCTTTGGTCTAAGGTAAGCTGTTAAACTTTAAGCATATTTTACAAACTGCGGAGATTAAGCATTTGTTCTATATATATTTTGTGTGACTATATAGTATGTGTCTATACATGTGCATGAGATGGTATATGTGCACATGTGGAGGCCAGAGTTTGATGTCAGATGTTTTCCTTGGTGGTTTTCTCATTCTTTTGAGACAGGACCTGTTAGTGAACCTAGAGCTCACGGACTGAGATAGACTGGTTGGCCAGTGAGGTTGGAGGAATCTGTGTGGCTTTGCCTATTTGCACTGTGGGTCCAGACGAGTGTCTGACTTTTATGTGAGTCCTTGGGACCAAGCTCAAGTCCTCGTGTTTGTACAGCAAGCGCTCATCCACTGACCTGTCTCCACAGCCCGATTCTATATACTTCAAAGAGTGCTTAAATGGGCTAACTTAAAAACAGTATTGAAAGATGTCATTCTACAACATTATAGTAAAAGCAAATTATAGTATTTAGGTTTTGATACTATAGGCTTTGTGTGAATTTAGGTTTTGCATGGTTAGTGGCTGTCACCTTTGCTCAGTGTGTCGGGACACATTAAGGACTACTTTCATTAACTTTTCTCAGGAGTCTCATGAAGATTCCCTGCGCTGCCTTGTGATTAGATCCTTTTTGTAATAAGGCCTTAAAATAGGACTAGACATGGATGTTTGGTCTCGAGGTCCAGATTTTGCTTCATGGAATTGATCATTAATCATCAGCTCTTCCTTCCTTGGGGTTTAAGACTGGTTGAGTTCATATTCCTTGACATTTTAGTTAGTATGTTGAAATGGGGAAGAATGCAGGTTTGGCAGGGATACAGAGGCTTAGGAACTCTCAGTATTTTGCTCATAGGGAGATGTGTAGCTTGCTTTCCCACCTACAAATGACTGATTTGAAAACAGCTGAATTAAGGAGAATTTCTGTGCTTATAGGTTCATGATTTTTTCCCCTTTGTATTATCAAAGCAACTTTCTCGGTAGTAAGAGAGGCCAGCGATAATGTGTCACTCTAAAAGCAGGCCTCTTTGCTGGTTGAGTATAGCCTACACTTGAACATCTGAATTTTTTCTGTTCAGTAATACTTGAACTTTACATTTTGACTTCTTGGTTCAAAGTAGTTATAAAGAAGCTGCAATTATTATAGTTTTTTTTTGATATTGGACCTTTATCTCAAAACATGTTTTCACATGAAATTTTAACTTTCAATTTATAACATTAGAAATATCATATAGCATGAAGCAAAAGGGGATTGCCGATTAAAATATTCAATAGAATTCTCATTTGACTTTTGAGTAATTAAAAGTAATCGGTTTCTTCTTGTTATATACTAAATAAATATTCCCCCTTGTATATTCATTTATGTATTTAGCTTGTGCACAAACACTATGACATGTATGTAGAGGTCAGGAGACAACATTTGTAGGTTGGTTCTCCTTTGTTACCATATGGATTCTTGGGGATGAAACTCAGACAATCAGGCTTGGTGGCCGGTGACTTTAAATGCTAAACATGCCTCCTTCTTTTCTCACCTCTTCTCCTGTCCCCTTGCATTTCTTTTGTGATATTTCTCCAACTGCACTTAAAGGGAAACTACTAGAATTTTGTTATAGAAAATAATATAAAAATGAAAGCTTTACTAAGTATTTTTTGGGTCCTTTCTTACAGTGTACAAATGGAATTATCTGTCTTATAGAAAGAAAATTTTCTGTCTTGGTGTACTGTTACCCCACTGCTGGTAGAGTGGTACATTCTCACAGCTTGTGTCCTGAGCCCGGGGACAGTGTACTTGTAGGAGGTGGAGCTGCATTCATACAGCTGGGAAATGTATGACACTCACATTATTATCCTTCCAGGGAAGTGGGCATTACATCTGAACGACTCAAAGGACTTCAAACAGTGTGTGGCACTTAAAAAACATTGCTTGTAACCAATATTAACAAATAGTACTTTGTGTGTTTTAGTATTTAACTAGCTGTATTCTGTTTTTGTTATGAAACAAGTATTGCCAGGGCAGCTGTCTCCTATACACTGCAGAGCAAAGTACTTTCTGTAGAAAAGTTTGCATGTTAATTTTGGGCATTTTTGACTGGTTTTTAGAATTAGTGCTTTGCTTTTGGAAACATTAAAAATTATTTAGTGTGTGCCTATGTGCACACCTGCATGGATTTGTGTATACCTATGTATGTGTGCAGTTGCTTATGGAGACTAAATGAGGGTGTCAAATCCCTTGTAACTGGACTTCAGATGATTGTGAGTACCCTAGTGTGAGTCTTCAGAAAGGCTAGTAAGGGCTCTTAACCATTGTGCCATTTTTCCAGCTCTTTTGACAAGGGTGTTTTTCTGGAATTTTAATTTTTATTATGTGCATTGGTAATTTGTCTGCATGTTTGTCTGTGTGTGGGTGTCAGATATTATAGACAACTGTGAGCTGCCCTGTGGGTGTTGGGATTTAATCCCAGGTGTTCTGAAAGAGCAGTCAGTGCTCTTTAACTACTGAGCCATTTCTCCAGCCCTTGTCTTGTTTTCTAATAATCGTCCTCGTTATTTTTTCTCCTTGGGTGTAACAGACAAAAGCAGCTTAAGGAACAAAGGATTTTTTTTTTTTTTGACTTACAGATTCAGGACACATTCCATCCCGCTGGGAAAGGCGTTATGGCTGTGCTAGAGGAAACTGTTCATAGTGTTTTTTTAGTTAGGGAGCTATAGGTGAACACTGGTGCTCAGGCAGCTTTCCACTTTGTGTGAGTCCAAGGCCTTTAGCCTATGGGAGGGTGCTGCCCACATTGAGAACGAGTTTCTCATCTCAGCGAACCCAACCAGGAAAACCTCTTCCAGCCATGCTTAGAGGCTCATCTTTTGAGGGCTTCTAGAACCTGTCAAGTTGCCAATGAATGTTAAGCATCATAATAATGCGTATTTCCACTATATTTGAAGTCTTCTCATTGTCTCATCCAGCAGTAGTTTGGAGGGAAATATCTGAAGTCATTTCCGTCCGCTATTTATTGTCCATTTAGGCCGCATGGCGGTAGATCCTAGCATTGCATTGGCTATGAAGCTTGTGTTTCTTTGGGTTCTGGAATTTTACCAGGATCTTTCCTTCTTACAATCACAGTGCTGTGCTTGAGACCATACCTTCTTCAATATGCCTTCTGCTGCAGGATACAGCCTCCTGTGTGTGTCTGACTTTGGTTGCTTATCTGCCCCTTTACTTTTCTCTGCTTCAGAACTCTAGAAATGGCAAATTTGAACTACCTTGTGTCCGAACACGTCAGTGGGACACACATGAGGCTTAGTGAAATGTGGTTTATGGGTTTTCACGTCTTAGCAGCAGCCCATGTTACTTAGAACTCGAGAGTCTAATTTGCCAAGATGGCCTAAGAGATCTTACACTGCAGTCCTCTCTCACTCAAGCAGATGCTCTTTAATTAGCCCTGTGCTCCTTCCAGCCCATCATGTCATCCTGGACCACTCTTAGCAGGGGGGAAATGTCTCCATACATGCCACCTCACACTGAGAACAACACTAAACACTGCAAAGAAGCTCCCCTTGCCCTCCTTCCTCCCTGCCTACACCCATGTTCCTTCTCTGATTCCCACCTTGACTTTGACTTTGCATCCTCCCAGAGTTATGTATTCCATATATTCAAGGTCAACATCACTCCCATGTTAATGATTCCAGAGCATCCATTTTTACATTCGATTCTCATTGTGTTGTTGGCACTTTCAGTAACATTGAAAATAGTGGGTTTGGCTTTCTTTTTGTATAAAAAATTGTCTTTGTGGCTGGGCATAGTGACTCATTCCTGTAATGCCAGCATTTGAGACGTGGTAGCAGGATACTCAGGAGTTAAGGCTATCTATCCTTGGCTACATGGTGAGTTGAAGGCTAGGGTGAGCTATCTTAGACTCTATTCCAAAAAACAAAAACATACATTTTTGCTTCTGTAACACTACATACTTCTTTATCTTTTTAAAAATAAAACTATCTTTTTTTTTTTCCATTTTACATACCAATCCCAGTTCTTACTCCCTCCCCTTCTCCTATTCCCTTTGCCTTCCCCCACCACTCTATCCCCTCCTAAGAGAGGGTAAGACACATTGCTTTGGGGAAGGTCCAAGTTCTTCCCACTATATCCAGGCTAAGCATGGTATCCATCCTAAGAGAATAGGTTCCCAAAAAGCCAGTACAAGCAGTAGGGATAAAACCTGGTGCCATTTCCAGTGGCCCTGCAGTCTGCCCCAGCCACACAACTGTCACCCACATTCAGAGGGTCTAGTTTGGTCTTATGCTGGTTCCTTCCCTGTCCAGCTGAAGTTGGTGAGCTCCCATTAGCTCAGGTAAGCTGTTTCAGTGGGTGTCCTCCATCGTGGTCTTGACTTCTTTGCTCATATTTTCACTCCTCCCATTCATGAACTGGACTTTTAGAGCTCAGCCCAGTGCTCTGCTATGGGCCTTACTACAATTTTTTTTTCCTGTAATTTCTGCATCTTTCTCTGAGAAAAGTCTCTGAATGCAATACTATGGATTTGGTCCTGGGACAGCCTATCCAATCACCACTCCCCGATACTGTTTTTAGTTCTCATCATATTTGACATCTCAAGTCACACATTTCTCAGGCACCAAAAACTTAATATGTCAAATTTTTAACTCTGGGATCTCCTAACTTCCCCCCACCCACGAATAAAAACAGACAAAGTAAATTTGGTTTCTGTCTCATTAAGTTACTCATCCATCTCTTTAGTTGCTTCAGTCTGAAAGTCATTTTATTTTCTCATTGTTTTTCAAACAGTAATTTATCTTATTATGACTAAATTAAGCAAGATGAGAAATTAAATATAATAAATTAAGTGAAATTCTTCTTAATTCACAGTGTCATTATTAACATTGAAGGAAATTATTCTAGGCATCACTGTATGTGTGTGCTGGCAAGTAGGCTGCATCCCCACACAGAAATAAGTTCAGTTATGGAGATGGAATCAAGAGAGCCACTTT